CGAATTTGTCAATGCCAATGGTGTTCAAGTGGTGCTCCAGTTGTTTTGGGATTGCACCCAAGGAGCCTATTACTATTGGTATACCCTTGCTTGCTTTTGCCACAGTCTTTCTATTTCTATTTGTAGGTTTTTGTATTTTGTTATCTTCTCCAGTTCTTTCTCGTCTGTTCTGCTGTCTCCAGGCACTGCCACGTCCACTATCCAGACTTTTTTGTCTTTCTTATCGACAATTGTTAAGTCCGGGGTGTTATGTTGCAGGTGCTTGTCTGTTTGAATTCTGAAGTCCCAGAGCAGTTTAACTTTATCATTTTCTATGACTTTCTCTATTTTATGATCCCATCAGTTCTTGCTTACAGGCAAATGATATTTCTTGCAGATCTTCCAATGCACCATTGTTGCTACTTTGTCATGCTGCTGCTTGTAGTCAGTCTATGTGCGATGTTGTTGTTGTTGTTGTTGTTGTTATTATTATTATTATTCCCAAGCGCAGACTATGGGACTGGGGTATCATTGTATTGTCTTTGTGATGGGAAAAAAAATCATGAAAGAAGCAAATTAATAAGAAGATCAAGAATCCACTTCCATACGGCTATATGTCTACCTTATCCAGCATGGAAGATTTACTTTGAGAATCTGGGAAGCGCATATACAGAGAGTCCTCGACTTACGACGGTTTGCTTCGTGGTTGCTCAAAGTTACGATAGCACCGAAAAAAAAGGGACTTTAGGACCGTTTTTCACACTTACGTTGCAGCCTCCCCGTGATCGCATGATCCACATTCAGACACTTGGCAACTGACTCCTATTTATGACGGTCGTAGCGTCTCGGGGTCACGTGACCCCCTTTTGCGGTTTTCTGACCATCAAAGTCAACAGGGGAAGGCAGACTCTCTTAAGAACCGTGTTCCTAACTTAACTAACTGCAGCGATTCACTTAACAACGGTTGTAAAGTGGGGCAAAATTCACTTAACAAATATTGCACTGAGCAGCAGAAATTTTTTGCTGAGTTGTGGTCATATGTTGAACAGGACATGCTTTTAACTGTAAATATGGAATTCTTTTGCAGGTCCCTAAAACTAGTTTTCATGTTATATAACTTGGGGACGCTTCCTTTCCAAAACAGCATGACTCATCTTTTTTAAAGAGAACCAAAGTCCTATTTGCCCGTAGATAAAGTTACGGTGGAACAAGAACTTCTAGAAAGCAATTCCCGTTTTGATTCGATGAGTCACTTTGATTCGATTTGATCTGATGAGTCATTTGATTTCAAGAGCGGGGTTTGGAACGGCGCCAGTCAAATAGTGAGCTTTCTCCAAAAACCATTCATATTAGGATATGTTGACATCTCCTTGGAGAATGGTTGTTTAAAATGAGCTGCGAAAGTATTAAATTCCTGACCAAAGGCCAGATTCTGAACTTCTGACTCAGGCAGGAAATAATTTTTTTTCGTAATGTTCCTGTTGCTATGTACACACTGATCTATTCTATCTGTTCCGTTCTCTTTATGCAATACTGAATCCGTTTCTCTATAAAACTCACGGTGATGATGATGATGATGATGATGGCCTTACTGGGGACCCCTTATTAATCTCTGTTAAAATTCTGGGCTAAAAATTGGAGCTGATTTTAAGAAATTGGTGGCTACTTCAAGCCGTGCATCGGCAGCTAGCACGTTGCTGCTGATTCACCTGGTCCTCAACTGAGAAATATTTGTTTAGGGACTGTTCAAGGTTACAAGGGCACTGGAAAACGACCAATCCTTGCACTTACGACCGTTGCAGCATTCCCCCCCCCACCCAGGGCCATGTGATCAAAATCGGGGCGCGCCGTCTAGGTTTACGGAGATTCTCAGTCATCCAGGCTGTGGTCGTTCCAAAGGTGCTTTTTCCAAGAGGCAAGTGGACTGCCTTTGTTTTGGCTTGAAGAAGTTTTGCTTTCCATCCCAGAAGCTTCTTCAGCTGAATCAGAATCTGATGAAGCTTCTTGGATAAAAAGTGAAACCTCTTCTTCTTCTTCCACCTCCAGGAACAACACGGTCCGGTTGTCTTTTGAAAAAGTGCCTTTGTCCTTCTAGGAACGGTAGCTGCCTCCTCAGCTACAGCTGTTAATTGTAGATATGGCTGTCCACAGCAGTAGTTTACAAACAAGATGCACTGGGGGGGGGGGGGGGAGAGAGAGAGAGAGAGAGAGAGAGAGAGATGATAAATGGATGGATGGATGGATGGATGGATGGATAGATAGAGATATAGAGATATAGAAGATAGATAGATAGATAGATAGATAGATAGATAGATAGATAGATAGATTAGATATATGTATAGATAGATAGATAGATAGATAGATGATAGATAGATAGATAGATAGATAGATAGATAGATAGATAGATAGATGATAAATGGATGGATGGATGGATGGATGGAGAGAGATATAGATAGATAGATAGATAGATAGATAGATAGATAGATAGATAGATAGACAGAATAGATATATGTATAGATAGATAGATAGATAGATAGATAGATAGATAGATAGAAGATAGATAAAGAGAGAGATAGAGAGACAGAGAATAGAGAAATAGAGAGATAGATAGATAGAGAGAGAGAGATATATAGATAGAGATAGAGATAGAGAGATATAGATAGATAGAAGATAGAGAAAGAGATAGATAGATAGATAGATAGATAGATAGATAGATAGATAGATAGATAGATAGATAACTTGTTTGTTGTCTTCTTCTAAAATAAAATTGTTTCGGTCTTGATGCCACCTTTGATTTCACCAGCATTTTATCAGCAGTGTGGTGTTTCTCTTAAAATTTAGCCAGGTATATTTATAAAGATTATTTTTGGGGGCGCAGGGGCTTATTGTTGTACGACTCCTCTTTTATGTCGACGCTTGGATGGCCTTAATTTTGAAACAAGGATTGACCAGATAATTCCAGACATTGCAAAACAGGCAGACAACTTGGCTGACCGTGTACAGGGAGCCCTCGACGTACCACCGCAACTGAGCCCAAAAATTGATGTGAGAAATTTGTTTTAAGTGACTTTTGCCCCGTTTTACGACGCTCCTTGCCACCGCTCTTAAGCGAATCGCTGCAGTTGTTAAATGAGTGACACGGCTTTTTAAGTGAATCTGGCTTTCTCCCTTGGACTTTCCCCGTTGGAAGGTGGCAGAAAGGGAATCACGTGATCCCAGGACGTTGTGACCGTCATAAATATGAACCTGTTGCCAAATGTCCAGTTTTGATCACGTGACCGCGGGGATGCCACAAACGGTGAAAAACCGGCCTAAGTCACTTTTTTCAGCGCCCTTGTAACTTCGAACGCTACTAAGCGAACCGTTTTAAGTTGAGGGTTGCGTGTCGCTCATTGCTAAAGATATACAACCATCATCTGTTTTTGTGTTGTCTTAAGGTCGGTAAATTTGCTATGTGGTGGCTTCACAATTTCACTAGCACCCATACCTACGCATCTCTTTTATGTCTTGCAATTTCATAGGTGTTTTACGCTGGAAAAATCCCTGGAACTAGACTGGCTGAGCTGAAGGCAAAATATGCCCTGTTACATAATACTCTAGTAAGGTAAGCTTCTGGTGTTTCCCGTAGATATAATATTTCTGTAGTTATTTAAAAGCTGCGTTTCAGCCTTCCTGAAGTTTGTTCACTTATGTCAGGGCTCTTCAAACTTGGCCCTTTTATGACTTGTGGACTTCAACTCCCAGAATTCTTCAGCCAGCGTGCCTGGCTGAAGAATTCTGGCAGGGGTCTTCAAACTTGGCCCTTTGGTGACTTGTAGACTTCAACTCAGCGTGCCTGGCTGAGGAATTCTGGGAGCTGAAGTCCACAAGTCATCAAAGGGCCAAGTTTGAAGACCCCTGACTTATATAGCATTGTGTAACTTAGTTACTATGCTTTGCAAATTGTCACCTAGGGTTTGGAATGTGGGTTAAACCAGATAACTGCAGCTTTATTTAAAAAAAAAATAAATCCTTAGCTAATCAATTCATAGTTTACTGTAGTGCAGAACAACCTTTATTCCTGTACTACAAACTTAAAGTGGGGTACAAAGTCAGTAATCTACATCTGTGCAAAAATACATGATAAACTAAAGATAGCTTTAAAATATATGGAGATGAAAGAACGATAATAAAAGAGTTTATAATGGGAAATAGTTGAAGAAACCTTTACTTGTCTTTGCTTGTCAGAGGATTCGCCAAAGGGGGGGTCACGTGACCCCGGGACACTGCAACCGTCATAAATACCAACCAGTTGGCAGGTGTCTGAATTTTAATCACATGACCCTGGGGATGGCTGCAATGGTCATAAGTGTGAAAAATGGTCGTAAGTCACTTTTTTTTAGTTCCGTTGTAACTTCGAACGGTCACTAAATGGACTGTTGTAAGTCGAGGACCGCCTGTGTTGAAAAACGTAGGAGACAGAATCAGCTTTGACGATACCACGGGATACATCCCCGACGCAAGGAACAACTTGTTTACAAGCATTGCCATTTCACAACCACAGGAGATTTGTTGTTGTTGTTAATTGCGAAGTCGTGTCCGACCCATTGCGACCCCATGGACAACGTTCCTCCAGATTGGAAAAACACTATTCTGAAATCTCTCTGGCAATCTAAAGCAGTGGTTCGCAACCTTTTTAATGCTGCGACCCCCAACCGGTCGTAAGTCGAGGACTACTCAACCGGTCGTAAGTCGAGAACTACTCAACTGATGCAGCACCGTTTGCAGAATGGGACTTTTGGTGGGCTCAGCAGGGCAGAGACAGCCTGGACAATTCCTGTTGGCTTTGGAAAGCCAATAGAATTAGACTCTATTCAAGAGAGTCTGTTCTATTGGCTTTCAAAAGCCAATAGAATAAAAGGGAGGAGCACAGCTAAGGAAAAGGGGGGGGGGAAATGGCGGACTGCGTTGTTTGGCGACCCCCGTGAAATGGTCTTTCGACCCCAAATGGGGTCCCGACCCACAGATTGAGAACCACTGATCTAAAGAGATACTATAAATGTGATAGAATAATAGACTGGTAGAATAGATCTGGAAGGGACCTTGGAGGTCTTCTAGTCCAGCCCCCTGCTCAAGCTTACATTTCCTGCCCAGGTTGTTGCATCGGCACATTAAGTGACCCTTCTCAGTTACGGTGAATTCTTCAATCGAGTGTTATCGGCTGGATTAAAAAAAAAAATGGACCTCCCTGTTTTTATTCTAGTTTGCAGGAATCGGAGATTCAGCTGCTGCAGGACGCCAAGCGGTTCACGGTGAAGCTCGAAGAGCAGCAGCAGGAACTTGAGAAAGCCGAGCAGTTTCCGGAAAGCGCCACGTCGGAGGTCTCCAAACTGAGGCAGCAATATCTGAGATACTTCAATGAATACAACGCCATCCAAGAGAGAGAGTTTGAAATTCAGTACAGGCTGAACAGGTAGGGGTAAGAGGTGGCCAACGGCCGGTTTTACAAACCTGCACGGGGCGCTCCTTCCAGGCCGCCAATCAATTTAGAAGGAAGAAGGTGGAATAAAGGTAGTCCTCAAGTTACGATCACAAGCGAGGCCAAAATTTCTGTTGCTAAGTGAGACAGTTGTTACGTGAGTTTTAAGAATAGAATAGAATAGAATAGAGTAGAGTAGAATAGAATAGAATAGAGTAGATTAGAGTAGAGAATAGAACAGAACAGAACAGAACAGAACAGAATAGAATAGAATAGAATAGAATAGAATAGAATAGAATAGAATAGAATAGAATAGAATAGAATATTATGGAATGGAATAGAATATAGAATATAGAATTTAGAAAACAGAATAGAATATTATGGAATGGAATAATATAGAATATAGAATAGAATAGAATAGAAAATGGAATAGAATAGAATAGAAAATATAGAATATAGAATATATAGAATAGAATAGAATAGAATAGAATAGAATAGAATAGAATAGAATAGAATAGAATAGAATAGAAAATGGAATGGAATGGAATAGAATAGAATAGAATATTATGGAATGGAATGGAATGGAATGGAATGGAATGGAATAGAATAGAATATTATGGAATGGAATGGAATGGAATGGAATGGAATGGAATGGAATGGAATGGAATGGAATAGAATAGAATATTATGGAATGGAATGCAATAGAATATAGAATATAGAATTTAGAAAATAGAATAGAATAGAATATTATGGAATGGAATAGAATAGAATATAAAATATAGAATATAAAATATAGAATATAGAATATAGAGTATAGAATATAGAATAGAATAGAAAATGGAATGGAATGGAATAGAATAGAATAGAATATTATGGAATGGAATGGAATGGAATGGAATGGAATGGAATGGAATAGAATAGAATATTATGGAATGGAATGGAATAGAATATAGAATATAGAATTTAGAAAATAGAATAGAATAGAATATTATGGAATGGAATAGAATAGAATATAAAATATAGAATATAAAATATAGAATATAGAGTATAGAATATAGAATAGAATAGAAAATGGAATGGAATGGAATAGAATAGAATAGAATAGAATAGAATAGAATAGAATAGAATAGAATAGAATAGAATAGAATAGAAAGCAATTGGGCTTTCTTGTTTTTTTTTCCTTGAAAACATTTTGCTTCTCATCCAAGAAGCTTCTTCAGTTCTAAACTGAAGAATGTTAAAACTGAAGAAGCTTCTTGAATGAGAAGTGAAACATTTTCAAGGACAAAAACCAAGACCGTCCAGTTCTGCCTTTTGGAAAAGCACCTTTGGGACAACCAGGACCTGGAAAGTTGGGAGTCTCCCTGGATAATCTTTATTCGACATAGCCACGGCTGTGGTGTATTGAAAAAAAATGAAAAACGCTGTTCCTAATGTTCGTTTTATTTCAACCAGACACGAAATGGGCCTTTTCTAAATTGCACATGGTCTGTGCTTTCAATTGATCCACATTATTTGACATCCGAGGCTGATTTTTTTTTCTCTTTCATATTATTTATCCTGTCTAGTTTACTCGAAGACAAGAAATTAATTGAAAAGGAGTATCGCAAAATTCCCAAATCTTCTGTAAGTAACATTTCTCACATTACCTCATACACTCATTCAATATGCCGAAAATTAAAAAAAATCACGAAATTAGACAACAGGTCAATTAAAGGTTGCAATCACATATTTGTTTAGCGGAGGATAAGTCCCTTTTCACGCAGCTGTAAATAGACGTGCCCAGAATTGTTCTATAAATCTATGAAACTTGATAATCATCATCATCATCAGAACAGAGCTGGAAGGGACCTCGGAGGTCTTCTAGTCCAGCCCCCTGCTCAGGTGGGGGTTCCTAGATCATTTCCGACAAGGGGCTGTCCAGTCCTTTCTTAAAAACCTCCAGTGATGAAAGGCAAATTCTGCACACCAGCCTCAACTGCGGGGCTGCTTCTACCTGGCTGTGCATAAAACCGAGTTTTTTAAAAAAATTTATCCTGGCTTAATTTTGGGGGCAACTTCTCCGCCGGGATACGACACTCATTCGGTTTCATTTTTTTTTTTTTAAAGGACGCGGACAAGAAAATCAAAGCCCTGAGGGACAGCTGCGAAGACCTGCGTAAAGAAACAACCCAGAGGAGGCAGGAAATTAAAACCCTGAAAGACGATCTGTTTGCAAGGCATAAACGTCTCACGAAGGAGCACAAAGAGCTGGAGGAATTGTTTCGGAAGCAAGAAGAACTGAAGGTGATGGAGGGTGACCTGCGGACGCCTATTGATAGGGCTGTGTTTTGATGTCCACTTCCAAGCTGTATAGACCAGCGGTTCTCCACCTGTGGGTCGGGACCCCATTTGGGGTCGAACGACCATTTCACGGGGGTCGCCAAACAACGCAGTCCGCCATTTTTTCCCCCCTTTTCCTTAGCTGTGCTACTCCCTTTTATTCTATTGGCTTTTGAAAGCCAATAGAATAGACTCTCTTGAATAGAGTCTAATTCTATTGGCTTTCAAAAGCCAATAGGAATTGTCCAGGCTGTCTCTGCCCTGCTGAGCCCGCCAAAAGTCCCATTCTGCAAACGGTGCTGCACCAGTTGAGTAGTCCTCGAATTACGACCGGTTGAGTAGTCCTCGACTTACGACCGGTTGGGGGTCGCGGCATTAAAAAGGTTGAGAACCACTGGTATAGAAGAAGACTCAAATGTAATAACATCGCTACCATCTCAGACAAGTCTCTTCTTAAAAACCTCCAGTGATGGAGCGCCCACGATCTCTGGAGGCAAAGCTGTTCCACTGGTTAATTGTCCTCCCTGTCAGGAGGTTTCTCCTTAATTCCAGGTTGCTTCTCTCTTGGGTCAGTTTCCAACCATTGTTTCTTGTCCTGCTCTCTTCTGCTTTGGAGAATAGAATAAGAATAGAAATAGAAATAGAATAGAATAGAATAGAATAGAATAGGAATAACGAAGAATAGAATAATGAAGACTAGACTAGACTAGACTAGACTAGACTAGACTAGACTAGACTAGAATAGAATAGAATAGGAATAATGAAGAATAGAATAATGAAGAATAGACTAGGCTAGGCTAGGCTAGGCTAGGCTAGGCTAGGCTAGGCTAGAATAGAATAGAATAGAATAGAATAGAATAGAATAGAATAGAATAGAATAGAATAGAATAGAATAGAATAGAATAGAATAGAATAGAAATAACGAAGAATAGAATAATGAAGACTAGACTAGACTAGACTAGACTAGACTAGACTAGACTAGAATAGAATAGAATAGAATAGAATAGGAATAATGAAGAATAGAATAATGAAGAATAGACTAGGCTAGGCTAGGCTAGGCTAGGCTAGGCTAGGCTAGGCTAGGCTAGAATAGAATAGAATAGAATAGAATAGAATAGAATAGAATAGAATAGAATAGAATAGAATAGAATAGAACAGAATAGAATAGAATAGAATAGAATAGGAATAATGAAGACTAGAATAATGAAGACTAGACTAGACTAGACTAGACTAGACTAGGATAGGATAGGACAGAACAGAACAGAACAGAACAGAACAGAACAGAATAGAATAAAATAGAAATAGAAATAAAAATAGAATGGAATAGAGAATAGAATAGAATTGAATTGAATTGAATTGAATAGGAATAGAATAGAATTGGAATAATGAAGAATAGACTAGACTAGACTAGGATAGGACAGGACAGGACAGGACAGGACAGGACAGAACAGAATAGGATAGGGCTGGAAGGGACCTTGGAGATCTTCTAGTCCAGCCCCCTGCTCCAGCAGGAGAACCTATCCCATCTCAGACAAGTGACTGTCCAGTCTCTTCTTCAAAACCTCCAGTGACGGAGCACCCACGGTTCCCAAATGCCACGATTCAACTTCCAGCCTCAGACACATTTCAAAGAAGAAATATATATATATATTCATTTTCATGGACGTTTGCCTGATTGTTACTCTTACCCAGCTTGAAGTTAATTCACCCTGAAACCTCCTTAAATGCGTAGATTCACGCTGGCTAATAGTTCTGCTTATTTCATCACCAGGATGAACTCGTCCGTCTCCAAGCCATCCCTATTCAGCTCGGGAAAGATATGGAAAAAATAAACCGCAGAATGCAGTAAGTTCTTAGCGCCCTTTATTATCATGGTTGGTGGCACCATCAGCCAGATGCTTAGACTGGATTTGACATTATTGTATTATTGTCATGATCGTTACGTTATTCCCCCCCTTTTTTAAATATATAACTCGAGGAGGCATACTCCTGGCTCCTGTTTTTCCTACAATAACCCTGTGAGGTGGGCCAGGCTGAAAAAGAGCGATTGGCCCAAAGTCACCCAACTGCCTTTCAGGGCTGAGGTGGGACTCGAACACAGAGCCTCCTGGCATTTTGGAAAAAAAAATACCTTTGGGTCAAGGCACCTAACGTATCCAACACACCTTCCTCCTCCTGTTTTTCCCACCACAGCAAAAACATTCCAGTGTATGTTTTAGCCTCCAGTCCCCTAATCAGCTGAGAGGAAATGACTGGCCCCAGGTCACTGACTTGGCTCTCATGGCTAAGGTGGGATTTGAACTCAGAGTCTTCCCCTTTCTAACTTGGAGCCTTCACTACTAGAACTAAACTGTTTCTCCTATTAATGTCTCTATGATTTATGACTTCTCACTTTGTTGTTGTATGTGTGTACATACTGGGAGCTTATGTGCCAGAAACAAATTCCTTGTCGTTCCAATTACACTTGGCCAATAAAGAATTCTATTCTATTCTATTCTATTCTATTCTATTCTATTCTATTCTATTCTATTCTATTCTAGTCTACTCTAGTCTAGTCTAGTCTAGTCTAGTCTAGTCTAGTCTTCATTATTCTAGTTTTCATTATGCCTATTCTATTCTATTCTATTCTATTCTATTCTATTCTATTCTATTCTATTCTATTCTATTCTATTCTATTCTATTCTCTAGTCTAGTCTAGTCTAGTCTTCATTATTCTAGTCTTCATTATGCCTATTCTATTCTATTCTATTCTATTCTATTCTATTCTATTCTATTCTATTCTATTCTATTCTATTCTATTCTATTCTATTCTATTCTATTCCTTCATTATTCTTATTCTACTCTACTCTACTCTATACTCTAGAGTTTGCTCATTCCTTAATTCATGTCAGCATCTGCCTCTGCTTACAGAGACATAGAGAAAAAAAAAATCTCGCTCCAGGAAGACGCGCAGGAACTTGTGGAGATGGCCAAAAAAATGGAGGCCAAGTGCGTGGAGGCGATGGAGGAGAAAGAAGGCGCCATCAAAGAGGTCGAAGGGAAGAAAGCGCTCCTTGAGATCAAAGAGCGAGAATTCAACACACAGACGAAGGTGCACGAGATGAATAAAGAGAACGAAGGCACCGCCATTTCGGAGAGGTGGGATTGATGAGTTCCAGCAACCGTCCCTTGTATGTTTTAGCCTCCAGTCCCCTGATCATCTTTGTTGCTCTTCTCTGTACTCTTTCTAGAGTCTTAACATTTTTTAAAAATTGTAGTGATCAAAACTGGATGTGTGGCTTTTAGTTATTAATTAGGGTGTTGATGGCCGGCTATTAAGATAATGGATGTTTTTCTCATGCCACGGTGCCCTCGAGCCCTAAGTAGCTGGTAGGCTGGTGGTAAATCTGCTCTCCTGTGGACTGACCAGGGCCTCCTTTCCCCATTGTTCAATCATTTCTCGGGCTGTTTTTGTCTCTGCTCAGCCAACAATCGTAATAGCTGTGAAACGGAACTCATGCCTTCCCTTTTATTTCTTACCACGGCTTCAAGGTAGCTTTACACTGTCACCTTTTTGTCCTAACCAAAAATTTCCTTTCTGCCCTGGCGCAGGGGCATGTTGGAAATGGGTTTTCGCAACGTCTCCAACCTGAAGCAGAAACTGCACGACACGCTGAGCCGGATGCAAAGGGAGAAAGAGAAGGACTTCAGGACTTTTAAAAAGATGGAGATGCAGCTGAAAATTGCCCAGGAAAGCCTGCTACAAGTTCAAGCGCATCACGAAAGGATGCTTTTAGAGGTGTGTGCGGGTCAGTCTGAAGAGCAGTGTTTGAGTTTTATTACTTCTCATGCTCTTTCGACCGAATACTGTTCAAACATGGCTACTAAGAAGAGGGTAAGCGAAGGACGTAATGCAATAGACATTTGGTAGGGTTTTTTTTGGGTGTGGGGGGAAAAAGATAATACAAATTGAAGATTTCTGAAGCTATAAGACAGTGAGGGCGAATCTTTTAGAGACCGAGTGCCCAAACTGCAACCCAAAACCCACTTATGTATCGTTGGGTGTTGGGTGGGTGTGGCCCACTGGGTGGGCGTGGCCCATTGGGTGGGCGTGGCTGTGGTGGTAACGGCAGACTGGGTGGGACTAAAAAGTTCAATCAATCAATTCCAACTTTGCGAGAGATTTTTTTTCCCTGCGAAAAGTTGAAATTGACTGATTGATTGAACCTCTTTTTTTTTTGGGCACACGGCGGTGGAGGCCTAAAGTGAAAAGGTTTTATAAAACTCAGCTGAAGGTCTAGGACTGGGTCGACGGCGCGTATGCCCACAGAGAGGGCTTTGAGTGCCGCCTCTGGCATCCGTGCCATAGATTCGCCACCACTGCTATAAGACTTTGGCAATTTTTATTATATCAGCGGTCCCCAACCTTCGACTTGTGCAAGTAGAGCTGCGCGTATGCACACGGGCCGGCCAACCACTTCTGCAGCCCGGGTTTCAAATATGGCCTTCTTCTTGTTGCATATCCGTTATCGGACGTTGGCGATCATGTTGGTGATCCTGTTTTTACCAGTAGCCGCACGAAAAAGTGCTGCTGAGTTTTGTCCAAACTAGTCCCTTAGATTTTGAAGCCACGATGTTCTTCTTCTGCCTGGACCTCGTTTGCCTTCCGTCTTTCCCTGGAGGATTAAACGGAGTATGCCGTATTTTTCTGGGTGTCACATCCCATGTCCGAAATATTCTAATTTTCGTTTTTTAATTGTTTTGATGATTTCCCTTGGCTTTCCCAGGCAGCTTATCCCCTCCTCATTTCTGATCTTGTCAACCCAGCTTATAGGTAACAGCCACCTGTCAATTCACATTTCAAATGCTTCTAGTCTCTTCGGGTGGCCTTCTGTCAGAGAGCAACTCTCTACTCCATAGAACAGGATAGGAAAAATAGAGCATCTGAGAAGCCTGATTTTTAGTCTTAGGCTTCTGTCATGACTGCAGAAGACCTTTTTCATTTTGAAGAATGCTGTTCGAGCTTTCTCTATCCTTGTCTTTACAAATATGGCCTTGGTTACATTAAAATAATGCGCTTCTCTTCTTGTTTTGTTTTTTCCTTGTACAGATAGATGCCATCCCCAAAGACGATGGGGCAATATTAGAGAGGCGAAGAGAGCTTCAGAGAGAAGTCGAAATAGCAAAGAGAAATTTGACGCAAGAGGTAGAGGGATAGCTATTGTCCATCCATCCGCCCAGCGGGCCAAACCTTTCATCTGATGCTGCTCTCCACTTGCGCTCACCGATATGTTAAAGAACAGAAATGTTATTTCTTGTTTTTTTAAAAAAGGAATTATCTCCAGGAAAGCAGAAATGTTACTTCTTTTTTTTAAAAAAAAAAAATCCCCCCAGGAAATCCAGTCTGGCGTACTTACGCTATTCGTATTTTAAGTAGTCAGAAAGCTCTACACAAAAACAATGTTCATTATGTGGACTTGTGTAGCTGCCCGCCTCGAATTTGTGATTCTGGGCAGCTCGCTGAATGAAACTATCTATCTCCACCCATCATTCATCCATCTGTTATCTATTTGTCAATCTCTATCTCTATCTCTCCCTCCCACCATCCATCATCCATCCATCATTTATCCGTCCGTCCATCTATCTATCTATCTGTCTATCTAAATCTATCTATCTGTCTGTCTGTCTGTCTGTCTGTCTATCTATCTATCTATCTATCTATCTATCTATCTATCTATCTATCTATCTATCTATTTATCTCTATCTATTCATGTCTATCCATCCATCCATCCCCTATCTATCTATCTATCTATCTATCTATCTATCTATCTATCGATCTATCTATCTATCTCCATCCATCATTCATCCATCTGTCATCTATTTTTCAATCTCTCTCTCCCTCCACCATCCATCATCTACCCATCCATCATCCATCCATCATCCTCTCTCTCTCTCTCTCTTCATGTCTATCCATCCATCCCTCATCTATCTATCTCTATCTATCTATCTATCTATCTATCTATCTATCTATCTATCTATCTATCTATCTGTCTGTCTGTCATCTCCATCCATCATCCATCCATCTGTCATCTATTTTTCAATCTCTCTCTCCCTCCCTCCCACCATCCATCCATCCATCCTATCTACCTGTCTATCTGCCTGTCTATCTGTCTGTCTATCTATATCTATCTATCTATCTATCTATCTATCTATCTATCTATCTATCTCCATCCATCCATCCTTCTCCATCCATCATCCATCCGTCATCTATTTGTCAGTCTCTCTCTCTTTCTCCCTCCCTCCCATCATCCATCATCCATCCATCATCTATCTATCTGCCTACCTATCTATATCTATATCTATGTATCTATATCATCTATATCTATATCTATATCATCTATCTATATATCTATATCTATATATCTGTATATCTATATATCTATTTATCTCCATCCATCCATCCATCCATGATGGTTAGGAAAAATTCAAGGGAAGGAAAATCACGAAAGCGATGCCAAGGTCCTGAGGACATGTGGGGTGTAGATAGAACACTTTCAGTCAGTGTTTCCCATCCCTTTTCCGTTTGGCTGCACAGCCCCTGTGAATGGACTCCTCTGTGCCCCTGTGACATCTTGTTCCTTCTCCCCCCCCCTCAATGCTCCGTCAGGGAAGAAAACTGGAGGGGTGACCCCGTGCTTGGCAGATTGCCAGATTTCCTCTCCCCATTTTCAGCCCTGGCTTTCCATGAAACTCTTTGGTCTGCATCTGGTTTTTCCCTCCATGTCATCCCTTTCCTTTCGTGAGGGATACTGTACTCCCGTCCTGCGTAATGCAGTATTTTGGGCACCGAATATGGCACACAGTGGTGAAAATGTTGGGTTAGCGGTGGGGGAACCCAGTTTCGAATCCCACCCCCCTTTAACTCTCTTGCATGCTTCCGCTCAGCCCATAGCATTGTTGTTATTGTTGTGCGCTTACAACGGGAGGTGGGGATGCTATGTACAGACCCGCCTTAGGGATATAAACCTAACAAACATGAAGAAAAATAGCCTTTAGCAAGCACTGTGCCTTATTGTTTCGGAGTTTTCCATGGCCGCTATCCAGAAAGTCAAAATTAAAAAAAAACAAACCTCTTACATTATTTATTCCAGCCTTAGCCCCACTTTTTATTCTGATAAAACCATAGTTATATTACCCCCTAAAAATATTTTAAGTAGCGCACCTTCTAAACAAAAAGTCAAGAATATTCTTTCCCCTCCGATACATTTATTGTGTACAGTTACTGATTTATTTCTTTAATTTATATGCCACTGCCCCTCCCCAAAGCAATTCTCAGCAACATGCAACAGAACAATAAAAAAATAAATATAAAAACAATTTAGCATTATAAGAATTAAATAGAGAGGAGAAACCAGGGGTCCAGCAGTGCTGAAGTGGTGTTTTCTCTGTCACCCTGTTACAATCCACATCTTTTCTTGGTATATTGTTGAAATGTAGAGATTATTATTATTATTAACAATATCAAATGATAGTAAAATAGAATCTATTCTAAGATTATTATTATTAAATATAACAAATGATAATAGAATAGAATCTATTCAAGATTATTGTTAACAATAACAAATGATAATAGAATAGAATCTATTCTAAGATTATTAACAATAATAAATGATAATAGAATAGAATCTATTCTAAATTGCTATTAACAATAACATGATAATAGAATAGAATCTATTCTAAGATTATTATTAACAATAAATGATAATAACATAGAATCTATTCAAGATTATTGTTAACAATAACAAATGATAATAGAATAGAATCTATTCTAAGATTGTTATTAACAATAACATGATAATAGAATAGAATCTATTCTAAGATTATTATTATTAACTAACAAATGATAGTAGAATAGAATCTATTCTAAGATTATTGTTAACAATAACAAATGATAATAGAATAGAATCTATTCTAAGATTATTATTAACAATAACAAATGATAATAGAATAGAATCTATTCTAAGATTATTATTAACTAACAAATGATAATAGAATAGAATCTATTCTAAGATTATTATTAACAATAAATGATAATAACAGAATCTATTCTAAGATTATTGTTAACAATAACAAATGATAATAGAATAGAATCTATTCTAAGATTATTATTATTATTAACTAACAAATGATAATAGAAGAGAATCTATTCTAAGATTATTGTTAACAATAACAAATGATAATAAAATAGAATCTATTCTAAGATTATTATTAACAATAAATGATAATAGAATAGAATCTATTCTAAGATTATTATTATTAACAATAACATGATAATAGAATAGAATCTATTCTAAGATTATTAACAACAAATGATAATAGAATAGAATCTATTCTAAGATTATTATTAATAATAATAATAATGGTTGTTTTCTTGCAGACATTTCATTACCCAACTAGGTAACATCATCAGTGCTAGAAAGGAGTGGGGTTTGTGCAATGGAGGAGAAGGAGAAGAAGGACTGTGGGGTCCTTGGTGCTCTCTGAGCTTGGTGGTTTTCTTGCAGACGTTTCATTACCCAACTAGCTAACATCATCCGTGCTGATGACATTAACGAGTTTGGGTCACAAAACACCAAACTCAGAGAACACCAACCAAGGGGCTCCACTGTTCAGCACCCAAGGCACAAAATTCCTCTTCCACAGATAGATTTATGAACCTATCCCATCCTGACATGTCCCTCTGATTGTTTCCTGCCCAGAAAACCTCCACCGATTCCGAAGTGCGGATTCTTGAGCAGTGCATCGCCGAAGAGGACCAACTGATCGTGGCGCAAGAACATTACCGAGAAGAACTCAACAACTCGATCCGTATGACCCAGCTGAAGGCCGACGAGAGAGAACAGAAGTGTAAGGATTTCTTGAAAGCCCAGGTAAGAAAATTCCAGGAGAGTTTCTATCTTGGCCCATCTGGACTTCCCGTGCATCCATCGTATAGAGTTGGATCCGATTCATCCTATCTTCCCCTTCGTTTTCAGCACAGGACCCACGACGCACGCCTAGAAATGGGAAGGCCTAGGGGGAAAAAAACTGAAAAAATTGGGGGAAAAAAACAGATGTTTTTTCCAGTTTTTTTTCCCCCAAATGGCTTGGGGGAAAAAAGACCCTGTTTTTTTCCACACAACCCCCCCCCCAATTTTCCCCCCAAGCCTTCCCATCTCTACCGGGGACGTACCCGTTTCACATCCAGACCTCTGGCAAGTCTAAACTTACTTGTAATATCATTGTTCTTCTCCCTCTATTGCATTCACATGCCGCGGGAAATGAGAAGAATTAGGACTTACAATGGGACGCTCGGTAAGTCGGGTTTGTTCTTTTCTGCAAAAGTTCTAAGGTGCTCATTCGGGAAGCTTGAATTTTCAAAAAAAACATCTTGGGACTCCCAAGTACAGGTAAAGTCCTTGGGTTATGACCACCGTTGAGCCCCAGATGTCCATGGCTGAGGAAGACAAGTTGTTGAGCCAGTTTTGCTTCATTTGACGACCTTCCTTGCTACAGTTGTTAAAGGAACTGCCGGTGTTAAGTTAGTAGTAACACAATGGCTACGTGAATGTGGCTTTCCCCGTTGACAAGCTAGAACCAAGGGTCTGCAAACTTGGCCACTTTAAGACTTGTGGACTTCAACTCCCAGAATGCCTCAGCCAGCCCTGAGGGCTGGCTGAGGCATTCTGGGAATTGAAGTCCACAAGTCTTAAAGTGGCCACATTTGAAGACCCCTAAGCTAGACATTCCCCATTGGAAAGATAGTAAAATGTGGGATAGACAGCACCTTCACCAGGTGGGTTTTCAACTTATTGGTTAAGATTTGAATATCGTGGGGAAAACACATTTAAATAAGGATGTAAGCAGGACCTACGATGAGGCAAATCCAGAGGACCAGTGAAAAGAAGCTTTATAGTGATGTGGTTATCCCTTGCAGAAACCTGAGAAAAATGTTTATATTTAATTGTTCTCTTATTTAAACCAGAATTGTATTAATTTAAGGTCAGCAAAAGAGAATATTATCGGAAGAAGAGGAAATCACGTAAAGCTATCATACGGACTACAGAATTATAAAAATTAATGGTTATTGCTTGTTTTTTAAATATTAACCCAGACAACACAATGTTTTACTAAATATTAAACCAGTGGTTCTCAACCTTTTTAATGCTGCGACCCTCCAACCGGTTGTAAGTCGAGGACTACTCAACTGGTGCAGCACCGTTTGCAGAATGGGACTTTTGGCGGGCTCAGCAGGGCAGAGACAGCCTGGACAATTCCTATTGGCTTTTGAAAGCCAATAGAATTAGACTCTATTCAAGAGAGTCTATTCTATTGGCTTTCAAAAGCCAATAGAATAAAAGGGAGTAGCACAGCTAAGGAAAAGGGGGAAAAAATGGCGGACTGTGTTGTTTGGCGACCCCCGTGAAATGGTCGTTCGACCCCAAATGGGGTCCCGACCCACCTTGAGAACTGCTGTATTAAGGTGTATGTTAAAAAATCAATAAAACATATTTTTTAAAAAAAACAGTAGAAAAAGGGAAAACGAAAAAGGGGGAAGACTCTCTCAGTTGCAGTAAAATCAGACATTAAAATCAAATCTCAACCTTTTGATATTTCTACGTTAGTATGCGCTCGCCATTTCTGTCTCGGCAAATCCGTCGAATCGGTAAAACCCAAAATACATTCTCTTTTGGAATGAAAGAGAACCGTACTCTTGAATAATCTTGGCCGCCTTGATTTTTAGAAACGGCCTGGCCATTTTGACAGCTCCCCAAATATCCACTGCTGTTTCTGGGGGTTTTTTTCTGTTTTTTTTTTTTTTTTTTGCAGCTGCGTCTGAATAACATCATTGCAGAAATCAAAACCAAAGACTTTGAAATTAGGGAGCATACCAAGAAACAGAGAGAAATTCAGAGACAGTAAGACGATTATTACCGTGGGGGTTTTGCTCGCCCAACATTGGGAGGGGAAAAAAACAAAGGGAAGTTGACCGCTTCAGTGTTTTCCTTAAAATACTTATTTTTTTTTGGTGTGTGTGTGTGTTTCAGGATGAGAGAATTTGCCAAACTGTACGACGTCGTGCGACACGAGAGAAACAAGCTGGTGAATCTGGTACACTGCGCTCGCCAGAAAACGAACGAAATGAAAGATAAAGTCAAAATGCTCGACAACGAGATGGAAATTTTAAGGAACAACGCCGTCATCAAAGAGAGGTGAGTATTCAGGTTTAAAGGATTCACCCGGTAAAATAACATCCTTGATTTCGTTTAGAAATCAGGGTTTGTTTGTTTTTTTAAGGGCAAGGGTACAGGTCTTTTTTATATTTGCTTCTCAATTATACTCTTGATAATATTTCCCCCACAGGTCAAAATCTGCTCCCTATAAATTCTTTATTCCAGTGGGGGGGAAAAAAGGGGGAAATTTCTTATTGCCTCTTTTCCGAGCAAAACGATTTCTTTGCCATCTTAACGTTTTAGGAAAATAGCCGAAGAATCTCCGCTGCTTCTTTAGTTTTCTTGTTCTTTGAAATGTCCTTCGTGAAGGGATGTCTTGTTTCTTCTTCCTTGCAAAAAACAAACAAACAAACTACGGGTAGTCCTTGACGTACGACCACAAACGAGCCCAAAAAACCTCTGTCATTAAGCGAGACATTCGTTGAGTGAATTTTGCCCCATTTTACGTCCTTTCTTTCCATAGTGAATCACTGAAGGTGCTCAGTTAGTGACAGGGTTGCTAAGTAAATCTGCCCCCCCCCGTTGATTTTGCTTGTCTGGACATCCGAAGCACAGGAGAGAACAAAAGAGTTGGAAGGGACCTTGGAGGTCTTCTAGTCCAGCCCCCTTCTCTGATAGGGCATCCTTCTGCCAGGGGTCTCCAAACTCGGCCCTTTTACGACTTGTGGACGCTGGCTGAGGAATTCTGGGAGTTGAAGTCCACCAGTCTTCAAGTTGCCAACTTTTTTTTTCTTTTTTGTAAAAAAGTTTTTGTTTTCAATTTTTCATTACATTCATAAAAAGTACTTCAGATACAGAATAAAATAAATTTATTACACACAACTTTCGGTATTGCTCACCCATCTCCCCCCAAACCGCATCCACCCTCTAACCTCTTCTCTCACTTCCCTCTTCTTCCTCTTCTTCCTCACTCTCCCCCTCTCCTCCTTCTCCTCAACCTTCCTACTTACTTCTCCCCTTCCTCCTATCTTCTCACTCCGGGTGCAGTCCAGGGGAAATGCCGGAGCAATTCCTCTCTCCAAATTGAAACATCAATATTATATACAAAAAAAACCCCTATTTCTACTTATCTGACCTATTTAACCTCCAACCCATCCTCCCCCCCCCCCCGACTTCCCAGAGCCAAGTACAGGGTTATACAAACATATTAAACATAATCTACTTAAGTTCACTAATTATACAATAACCAAAATCATACTAACCCTTAACTCTCTTCAGACTTTAACATCATAATTTTGAGCCGAGGTGGCAGTTAGAGTGCAGTACTGCAGGCCACTTTAGCTGACTGTGTTCAGCAGGTCAGCGGTTCAAATCTCACCGGCTCAAGGTTGACTCAGCCTTCCATCCTTCCGGGGTAGGTAAAATGAGGACCCAAACTGTTGGGGGCAATGTAAATATATACATACATTGCTTACTGGTGTACACCGCTTAGAGAGTGCTTGCACTTAAAGCGGTATATAAGTCTCATAAATAAATAAATAAATATAAACAAATCCATTACTCATAGAATAAATGAAACTTTGTAGTTCCATATTTCTTCTGAATGTGTTCTATCCATCTCCTCCATACAATGACATCTCTCTCTTGTGAATGGTCCTTTAAATAAGCAGGAATTTTGGCCATTTCTGCTAAATTAGAAACCTTAAATACCCATTCTTCTAAAGAAGGCAGAGAGTCTTTCTTCCAATATTGACCCACCAATAATCTTGCTGCTGTTATTAAATTCAACTTCAAAAGGTTGAAGTTGCCAACTTTGAAGACCCTGGGTCAAGAGCAATTGTGTTTCCTTCGTCTTTTTTTTTGTGTGTGTGTGTGTGTCTTCAGGAAACTGCAGAAATACCAGATGAAGTACGCAAACAACGTGGCCATCAAGGATAGCATCCAGAGCGACGTTTGCAAGGTCTGTCAAAACCTCCAGGAAATGAAGGAAAAACGGGAGCAGCAGCTGATGGACGTTGAGAGGCTGACCAACACCCTCACCCACATCGAGGAGGAAATGGTCCAGTTGCGTAAAACCTACGAAAAGGCCGTTCAGCGACGGAACGAAAGGTAGGGAGACGGGCCCTCGGCGCCTTAGCTGGGAGAGGTACCCAGGCAGATCCTCGGCGTACGACCACAACGGAGCCCATCTTTGTTGCTAAGCGAGACACGGGTTTTGCTCCAGGCTACGACCTTTCCTGCCCCCGTTGCTAACTGAATCAACGCAAGTGGTTAAGTTACTAACAGGGTCGTTAAATGAATCGGGCCACCCCCCTATTGATTTTGCTTGTCAGGACGATCGCAAAAGGGGATCGCGTGACACCCCCCCCACGAGGACACCGTGACGGTCATAAATATGAGTCCGTTGCCAAGCTTCTCAGTTTTTGATCACGTGACCATGGGGATGCTGCAACCGCCGTAAATATGAAAAATGGCCGTAAGTACGAAAAATGGCCATAAGTCACTTTTTTCAGCGCCGTGGCCCCTTCAAACGGTCGCTAAATGAACGGTTACTAGTTGAGGACTACCTGTCCAGAAAATGTAATTTAACAAGTGTCATTCTTACCCTTTGTTAATTAATTTGACTATGTTTTGGTCTTAACATATATGAGCGTGAGCATCGATGGGCTAATTTCCAAATAAACCTTTATAAGAATGCACGGTTGAAATAAGTTGTGGCTGGTGTGGCCGCGTTACAACACAATCTGCCTAATAACTCTGTGGCAATACCGCTGAACTATTTATTTATTTAGCTGAGTGTTTATCCCGTCTTTCTTATTTGAGAAGCAAACGTTGACTTTTCACAATGTGCCTTTGAAAGACTAACCAGGAATGTGCTTTTACATTTCTTTGAAGTAGTCACACATTTCTCAATCTGTGAAGCTTGTTCTCGAACAACTGTTCTTAAAAATAGGAACGGGTTTCTAAACAATAGGCAGTTATATTGGAGCGAACAATTTGTTCAGAGGTCGAACAAAAAAAAAAAAAATGAACCCAAACATTAGCCATTCTGGTTTTTTTAAAAATTATTTTGACTCCCAAAACGTGGCTGATATTAATCTAGTCCAGGGGTGGGGAACCTGGGCTCTTTTATGACTTGTGGACTTCAACTCCCAGAATTCCTGAGCCAGCGTGGGGGAACTATGGCCCCTTCATGACTCCTGGACTTCAACTCCCAGAATTCCTGAGCCAGCATAGGGGAACTGTGGCCCCCTCATGATTGGTGGACTTCAACTCCCAGAATTCCTGAGCCAGCATGGGGGAACTACGGCCCCTTCATGACTCCTGGACTTCAACTCCCAGAATTCCTCAGCCAGGTACACTGAGGGGAAAGGGAGAGGTTTCCAAACTGAGCCATGCTGGTTCAGGAATTCTGGGAGTTGAAGTCCACAAGCCATGAAGGGGCCATAGTTTCCCCATGCTGGCTCAGGAATTCTGGGAGTTGGAGTCCACAAGCCATGAAGGGGCCATAGTTCCCCCATGCTGGCTCAGGGATTCTGGGAGTTGAAGTCCGCAAGTCTTAAATTTGCCAAGGTTGAGGACTCCAGGGTGGGGAACGTTGACTCTTTTATGACTTGTGGACTTCAACTCCCAGAATTCCTGGGCCAGCCATGCTGAGGGGAAAGGGAGAGGTTTCCAAGCTGAGCCAAGCTGGCTGAGGGATTCTAGGAGTTGAAGTCCACGAGTCATAAAAGAGCCAAGGTTCCCCACCCCTGGGCTAGCCAAAGCCCAGAAATTACTACTGAATAAACAAAATGTAAAGGAAGAGAAAAAAATAACACCTTTTAATGAAAAAGAAGTTTATGAAGTATCTTTGATTTGACTGGCAATAAATGCACTGTTAATACAGATAGTCCTCAATGTATGACCGCCACTGAGCCCCAAATTTATGTTGTTAAGCGAGGCATTTGTGAAGTGAATTTTGCCCCCTATTACGACATTCCTCGTCGCCCTCGTTAACTGAATCGCTGAAGTTCTTAAATTAGTAACCCGGTTGTTAAGTGAATCTGGATTCCCCATTGACCTTGCTTGTCAAAGGAGGTCATGTGACCCTAGCGGACGCTGCAAACCGTCATAAGTACATGCCAGTTGCAAGCATCACATCACCACGAGGACGCTGCAGAGGCCGTAACTGCGAAAACTGGCCGTTAAGTCACTTTATTCAGTGCCGTTGTAACTTTGAACAGTCACTAAACAAACGGTTGTACGTTGAGGGCTGCCTTTATTCCGTGTCGATTAAAGGGATCTTTTATAATCTGCCTTTTTGAAGCCTTTGCTTTGGGTTTTGTTGCAGCGGGGTTCAGCTCATTGAGCGGGAGGAAGAGGTCTGCATTTTTTATGAAAAAATCAACATTCAGGAAATGATGAGCCGCAACGGCGACATCGAGATTAACGTGATGGACGAGAAGATACGCTACCTGAAGCTGAAGATGATAGAGAAAAAAAGGCAGATTGAATTATCCGTGAAAATGTTGCCCACGAAGAGGACTCTTGATGCCGATTTAGTAGTCCTTCAGATTCAAGTAAGCAAGTAATAATAATAATAATAAAAAAACTTGGAAGGGGCCTTGGAGGTCATTTAGTCCAACCCTCATCCCCTTCTTCTCTTGCCCTCCATCTTTCCCAGCATCAGGCTCCTCTCCAGTGAGTCCTTCCTTCTCTTTAGGTGGCCAAAGTATTTGAGTTTCAACTTCAGGATCTGGCCTTCTAAAGAGCAGTCCGGGTTGATCTCTTCTAGGACTGACCGGTTGGATCGCCTTGCAGTCCAGGGGACTCGCAGGAGTCTCCTCCAGCACCAGAGTTCAAAGGCCTCCATTCTTTGGCGCTCAGCCTTTCTGATGGTCCAACTTTCACAGCCATACATTGCAACTGGGATTGTACCCCATGGGCTGCTGCTATTCCTCTAGTTCAGGGATCCCCAACCCCTGGTCCGTGAACCGGTAGCGGGCTGTAGCCCGCCAGCAACCGGTCCACACAAACAAGCAAAGCCCCATCCGCAGGATGCAGGCAGCACACAAAACCACACACACTCTCCAGTCCGTGGGAAAATCTCTCTCCACGGAACCGGTCTCTTGTCCCAAATGGTTAGGGACCTCTGCTAGGAATAGTAGCAGCTATTCAGGCTTTTGGAAGTTGAACCAGAGGGAAACCTCTGCATCTGTGGTGACTAAATCCTTGCTCCGCAAGGATCTTAAAAGGTTTCTGTTCAAAAGAGGAACTCTGTAAGTTCTTTATTTGAGCTTTCATTTTTTAAAAAAGAAGAAAACCAAGTTGTGGTGTGTTATGTTCCGTTGTCTAGAAACCATTCTAATATAAGCCTAAATGTAGTTTCACTTCTATTAATGTCAAACAATGGCTCGGCTCAGCCAAACAGTTCTACAGAAGATAAACTCTGTTTCGATTTTAATCCTTGGGCTCGCCTCAAAAAAAGTTGTGGGTACTCCGTCCCTGGAGGTGTTTAAGAAGAGATTGGGCAACCGTTTGTCTGGAACAGTACACGTAGGCCTCAACTCGCACCCAGAACCGAGCCCCAATTTTCTGTTGCTAAGGGAGACCTTGGTTGAGTTTTGCCCCATTTTACGCTCTTTCCTGCCACAGTGGTTAAGAGTGAATCGCTGCAATTGTTAAATGAGTACAACGTTCGTTAAGCAAATCTGGACTTCCTCATTGACTTTGCTTGTCAGACGTTCGCAAAAGGGGCTCGGGTGAACCCCGGACACTGCCGCTCTCCTGGCAGTAGAATATATCCTTTCAACTAGAACTAGCTAGATCTTCCTTAATCTGATACAGTAATCTACTCCTGCAAGTCCCCTGGACTGCAAGGCGATCCAACCGGTCAGTCTTAGAGGAGATCAACCCTGACTGCTCTTTAGAAGACCAGATCCTGAAGTTGAAACTCAAGTCCTTTGGCCACCTAATGAGAAGGAAGGACTCACTGGAGAAGAGCCTGATGCTGGGAAAGATGGAGGGCAAGAGAAGGAGGGGATGACAGAGAATGAGGGGGCTGGAGGAAGTCCCTGAAGCAGGAGGCGTGAGCTTCAAGGGACTCCAGAAGATGGTAGAGGACAGGAAGGCCTGGAGGAACGTTGCCCATGGGTTAGACACGACTTCGCAACTAACAACAATCTTGTTGAGCCAATTTCTAGCTGTCTGGGGAGAAATCTTGGCCAGTGATTTTTTTTGCTGAGTCGTTTCATAAATGCGCTCTGGATGTAACGTACAGGATGGCAGGGACTAACGATGGCAGGTGTAAATATTATATGTCGCTGTGCCGCTTGCACATTTAAGTGTTCGCTGGAACGACAACCACATCCTGTTATTTGGAGGTACATGCATTTTTTTTCCCCCTTAGCACTTTTCATTTTGTAGCATGGAGTGTCCCGTTCGGCTATTGTGGATCCTCACCAACATTTGTCATTTTCCTGAAATGCAGCAGCCCAGCCAATTTTTAAAACAAAGTGTTCTCGGGAAGGGACGTCAGTTTTTATTTTTTTTTTAACCTTATTTTCCCATGTTAGTTCTCCCCTTCCCTTTTAAGCGATTTTTGCTGAGGTTCTAATTTTTCTGGGTGGTGGTGGTGTTATTTACACCTTTTTCCTGTGATGCAAGTTAACTTCTGAAAACAGGAAGCAAGTGGATGGTGTAACTTTGCAAGAAAAAAAAAAGAGAGAAGTAGTAGTTCCAGAGAATGAATCACCTGCTAATTTTTTTTTTTTTTTTTGAGAAAATGCTCGTTTTTGTGGCTGAGTCCTGTTTTCTTAGAATTTGTTTTGCGGAAGGAAAGGAAAGGAAAGGAAGGGAAGGGAAAGGAAAGGAAAGGAAGGAAGGAAGAAAGAAAGAAAGAAAGAAAGAAAGAAAGAAAGAAAGAAAGAAAGAAAGAAAGAAAGAAAGAAACAGAAAAAAGAGGGGAGGGAGGGAAAGGAAGGAAGAAAGAAAGAAAGAAAGAGGGGAGGGAGGGAAAGGAAAGAAAGAGGAAAAAAGAAAAGAAAAGAAAGAAAGAAAGAAAGAAAGAAAGAAAGAAAGAAAGAAGAAAAAGGGGAGGGAGTGAAAGGAAGGAAGGAAAAAAGATGAAAGAAAGGGGGAGGGAGGAAAAGGAAAGGAAAGAAAGAGAAAGAAAGAAAGAAAGGGGAGGGAAGGAAAGGAAGGAAGGAAAGAAAGAAAGAAAGAAAGAAAGAAAGAGGAGAGGAGGGAGGGAAAGGAAGGAAAGAAAGAAAGAAAAAAGGAAAGGAAGGAAAGAAAGAAAGGAGGGGAGGGAAAGGAAAGGAAAGGGAAGAAAGAGAAAGAAAGAAAGAAAGAAAGAAAGAAAGAAAGAAAGAAAGAAAGAAAGAAAGAAAGAAAGATGAAGGGAAGGAGGGAGGGAGGGAGGGAGAGGTGGGGGTCCAATTGCTCTAGGAAGGAGAATCTTCACTTGTTCTAGTATTTTGTTTTGTAATGATGATGATGAAGAGGACAACCGCCGCCTTACCAAGCCAGTTGCTTAGGATCCACTTGTCGATTTTGCCTGATAGTTTTCACAGTGCAAGGACAAAATTAAGAGCCTGGAGAAGCTGTTCACAGATCCGGATCGAGAAAACAGAACCAGGGCGTTGCCTGGAAAGGATCCCTCCGTGCAAGACCTCTTCAAAAAGATAGAGGAGGTAACACCCAGTCTGCCAGAACACCCTCGCAGCAAATCCCCATCTTCCCATAGTCACTGGATTAAAAGGGCGGGGGGGGAGGAGAGGCCTTGACACACGCATAAAAAACTCACGAGACTGGTGCCAAAAACAGCATCGCATTGCCGTGTTTTCCCACCAGCTCTCCACACACCCCTATGACATCAGTTAGCACTGATGGCGTTACCTAGTTTGGTAATGAAATGTCTGCAAGGAAACCACCAAGCTCAGAGAACACCAAGGACCCCATAATTGTTGTTCTCCTCCTCCTCCTCCTCCTCCTCCTCCTCCTCCTCCTCCTCCTCTCCACAAACACCACCCCCTTCTAGCACTGATGGCGTTACCTAATTTGGTAGTGAAACATCTGCAAGGAAACCACCAAACTCAGAGAGCACCAAGGACCCCATAGTTCTCCTCCTCCTCTCCACAAACCCCACTCTCTTCTAGCACTGATCGTGTTACCTAGTTTGGTAATGAAACGTCTACAAGAAAACCCACCAAGCTCAGGGACCCCAAAGGACCCCAACTCCTATGAAATGATGGAGCTCCCGCATATCTCTCCCACTTTTTCGTGCATAATCCCAGCACGGCTGGGCAAACCAGGGTCAAAGGGTGGGCATTCTCCCCATCCCTGCAGGCTCCCCAACTTCCATTTCATTTTCCCAGAGAGTAATTAGGAGATTCCCCCCCCCAAAAAAAATTGGCCTTTGGATTAGCAGGATTTTGTTGTTAAAAACGCAACTAGAACCAACTAGAACATTAGCCTCTGCCTGCTTTTATACCTTTGCTCTTTGCTATATAGTTAGAAATTCAGCTGACTCGGAAAGAGGAAAAACTGCTGGAAAAGGACTTTATTTACGAGCAAGTTTCTCGGATGACGGAGAAAGTCAGCGTCAAGGCAGAAAACAGCAAGGAGGAGACATTAATCCTGGCTAAAAAGGTAGCGTCGCTGTGGTTTGGTTTGATGATGCCAGTTCCTTGTGCAGGTCGTCCTCGTCGGACAGCCGCAATTGTCCCAACTTTGCTCCATCTTAACAAACTTTCTTGCGCAGAAGTCGCGAAGGGACTCACTGCAGTTGATCAGTTAGTAACCCGTTTGTCCAGTGAATCTGGCATTCCCGTTGACGTTGCTTGTCGGAAGGTCACTAAAGGCAACCGTCGTAAATATGAAGCAGTTGCCAAGCGTCCGAATTTTGATCACGTAAATGGCCTTAGGCGTGAAAAACGGTCATCAGTTGCTTTTTTCACTGCCGTCATAACTTTGAACGGTCACTAAACAAAGGACGACTATAAACCCAATTTAGGCTTTTGGTGGCAATGGCAAGCAGGATATTTTCAAAAATAAACTGGGCCACCATTCAACTGGGATGATACAAGGTTGTCAGCTTTGAGAGGGTATGTGTGTGGCGGGTTGGACTAGAACAGAGTTCTCCAACCTTTCCGGGCTTGCGGCCCAGAGGGGAGAGCAGCTTCCAAATTACTTCGTGCCCGCGTGCGTGCGAGCACACAAACAGGGCCACGCCCACTGGCACGGTACTAGTGGCTGCATTCGTGCATGCGGCATGCGCTGGCACCATGCGCGAAGGGCTGTGCATCCCCGTGGCGGCTAGCGCCCGTTCATGCATCGCAGATGGGCCACGCACACACACTCCCGTGCTAGCAGCCCATTCGTGCATGCGCAAATGGGGTGCACACGCCCCCCGCGCTAGGGTTCCCGTTCGCGCAAACAGGGCCATGGGCACTAGCGCAAGCAGGGGGAGAATGGGTGCCGCACATGTGCATGCCCTGGCCAGCCATTTCTGCGGCCCGCTGGCCAAGAGACCTCAGGCCAATACCCGGCCACGACCCATAGGTTGGGGAACCCTGGGCTAGAGGACCCCACGACCCATAGGTTGGGGAACCCTGGACTAGAGGACCCCTTCCCGCCGTAGGATTCTATGCTCTTTGCTCCTGCGATTCCTTCCAGATGAACGTGCTTCAAGAGAAAATAAAGAGCACCACCCAGAAGATAATGGCCCTCATCGCGGAGCTGTCCATGCACCAGGCCGTGGCCATTAACCTGCAGCAAGAGATGCGGGACAAAGAGCAGACCGTGCTGTCCGTGGTCTCCCGACTGGCCAAAGGCCTTCCTCCTCCTAGGGACATCGAACAGGATTGGCTCCGGGTCCTGCGGGATGAAAAAATGCATCAAGTTGCAAGCGAAGCGCGAGAAAAAGTGAGCCTTCACAACGGGTTTTCTCAGAACATCGATATTTTTCAGGAGGGAGGCAGCTTTGGTCAGTGGGCAAAGCAGCGTAGAGTCTGTAAAAATGTCCCAAGTCCTGGAACATCACGAGAAGATGGTGGTCAAGCGCCGGGGAAATCAGAAGATCCAGACAGTTGAAATGGGGATAAAGGTTTAGGGCAAGCTGAAGCTCTCTCCAAGAATCTGAGCTACTAACGGTCAAGGGAAATTGGCAGTAGATAAGAGTCAGTGGAATAGAACAGTGGTGGTGAACCTATAGTACGGGTGCCAGAGGCGGCACTCGGAGCCCTCTCTGTGGGCACACGTGCCATTGCCCCAGCCTTGCCTCCCCCCACGACCTCCTCCCCTCCAGCAGCCCCCCTGAAGGAGGGTCGCCCCCGAGCATGGCCCACGCAGAGCAGTGCAGCCAAGGACATGGCAGCCAGGCAGCGTAGACAAGACTCTACCCTCACGCCCCATCATGCAGTTGATGCTGTGGGGCATGGGCAGAGGGCGTGGCCGCCATAGCACTGCTGGGCGATATGCGGCAGGCCCTGGAGGTGGTGAGTGGCCCTGCGGGCAGGCAGGGTGGGGGAGGAGCAGGGGCGGGGCAGGGTGGAGCAGGGACGGGACCAGTTTTTGGGCACTCAGTCTCTAAAAGGTTCACCATCACTGGAATAGAAGGTGGACTGGACTTAGGTCTCTTGTGGGTGTGAAGGCATAGTGGCACAGTGGTTAGAATGCAGTATTGCCAGCTAACTTTGCCAGGAGTTTGATTCTGACCAGCTCAAGATTGACTCAGCCTTCCATCCTTCCAAGGTCAGTAAAATGAGGACCCGGATTGTTGGGGGGCAATAGGTTGATTCTGTAAACCGCTTAGAGAGGGCTGTAAAGCACGGTGAAGCGCTGTATAAGTCTAACTGCTATTGCTATACAATTGCTCTGAAGTCAGACAGCACAGAGGGACTCTTCTAATACAGAGGTCTCCAACCTTTCTCAGTTGGAGGACCGGAGGGAAAGGGAGAGGTGAAACGTTTTACACACACGTGCAGGTGCACACGCAAATGCTACGCTTGCGTAGCAGCATCGGTGCTAGCGCGAGTGGGGATGTGAGTGTGTGCTTACATGGGCAGTGCTGGCCAGCCTGTTCCTCGGCCAGCAGGCCACAGGTTGGGGACCCCTGTTCTAGCAGATCAATTGTCAGAGCAGGCACAGTCTTATTGCGCTGAGCTAACCCAGGAGGAAACACAGTAAACAGTGGTCTGTGTTAAATGATGGTTTTTCTTACACTATCTACAATATCAGAAACAATATACATACACGTTGTAATACAGCAGTCTTCAACACAGCAGTTACAGCAGGAATACAGAAGAGAAAACATCTTTCCTTTTATACAAGGCTCTTAAATAGACACAGACCCTGCTGAGTCATTCCCATCATTACAGCATACATTATATCAGCTGGTTTAGCTTTGAAATCATTACCTTGACCTCAATGCATCTTAGTCAGCGGCTGAGAATAAATTTAATGCTGACCCCCATATTCTGTTCCTCCAGCAGGCTCTGGAAGAAGAACAGGCAGCCCTGCCCACCGCCATCCACACGACGGCGGAACAGCGTCCCAACGCCTACATCCCCGATGACGAAAACGTTCTCCCACTACCGAGGCCTTACGGGGCGCTAGCGCCGTTCAAACCCAGCGAGCCCAGCGCAAACATGAGACACCTCAGGAAGCCAATCGTGAAGCCCATCGAAATCTGAGAGACTCCAACTTCTGTGGAAGGAGAAAACTGCTGGCCGAGGAGAAATGCTCCACTTTTGACTCGACAAAAGGGAGTTCCTCCGGATTACAAGAGGCGGGCGTGAAAATGTGTGGCTTCAGAGCTGTGGGAATGTTTTTGCCTTCTTGAAACTTCCTGGGGTCTGATGAAATAAATGTTTGAAAATATATCTATATCTATATTTAGATTTTGCTGACAAAGAGTTAAAGGGAGACTAGTATAGCTATTTCGAGCTATTTAGCTCTCATCAGCTAGCCATACCCTTCTGAGATTCGAACCTGGGCCGCTTGCACATTAGGCAGCTGTATTAACCTCCAGGCCACAGGCTCTCCTCACTTCTGTCAGCTGATACACACACACACACACACACACACACACACACACACACGAATGCTCGTCGTTTCTTCTGGTATGGCAAAATGCTGTCGTCATTTACTATACTTTTCTTCGTTTGGAATGGAAACATTTAAGGCAATATTTGGAAGCCCCAGCTGTCGTAAAATAGAAACTTCCATCGCGCTACGTTTTGTTTTAATACATACTTTTTTAAATTATTATTCAATGTGAAGGTGTTGGATCAGGATAGGAGATCCGGGTTCAAGTCCTTCCACATCCAGGGGGTTAAGTGGATTATTTGGGGCCCTCCCTTGCTCAGAGCCCAACCAAGCTCAGGGATTGTGGGGGTGATAAAATAAAAGGGCTATGCACGTCACCTTGAGCTTCTGAACAAAAAAAGCTGGATCAAAATCTAATAAATCGGTAGCATAAGCAAAAAAAAAAAAAAAAAACCAGCTGGAGAAACAGATTTCAACTGTATTTCTGCACAGTTAATTCTTTCAATCCTGTTTGGACACCGAAACCGTGGTTTTGATCCTTACTATACGTGTAAGCTCTTGAGTAAAAAGATTTTCTACCACAAGAGGAAAAAGCTGAACAAGGAAACAAAAAGATCAGAACACCAGCAAATCAACACTCAGATAAACAGGGATTAATACCTATTTATCAAGCAAGCAAGCAAGCAAGCAGTAAACACCCTAATCTAGGAATTGCCAGCTCAAACAAACAAGCATTTAAACAACACACTCCTACCAACACTGCATATAAAAAGAGGGTGGGCCTTTAACCCCAAGCCTTTCCTATGGTTTGGCATGCCATCTTGACTTTTCTTTGTTGCCTGCAGAAACCTCCTTGCAGTACATTTAAACGATGAGAAAACGCACAGAAAGTCTATGACATCAATGCAATAAAGACATCGAAGTCCAGTTCCAAATCTATACATTTATTTCCATTTACATCCAAGTTCTGGTTTCTCAACTGCAATATTCTATAGCACCCTGTTTGTGGGTGTATCTCATATATACATAATACGATAGCTGCCACCTCCTTATCGGTCCATTATATTATCCAATGTTGTAAGTAAGAATTTAAAAGCTAACGTCCGTGTGTTTCACTCCGACATTCCCTCTATTTAATCCTAATTTTGTAATTTACTCAGAACCGCAATTGCTTCGGGGGCTCAGCAGCACAATATCCTATTAATAATAAATACTACGCTGAAGTCAGATTCAGTTTTATTCTTGTAATGTTACAGTGAGACGACCTCCCATCCGTTTGAATATCGGATTATAAAAATTTATTTCGGAATATTCCAGTCCACCTATTTACATTGATGCAAAAAAACAAACCCCAATAGCTTGGGCTATTCTGAATTCCAAAATACCCTTTTTCTAATTCAGAAAAATATTTCTTCATCATTGGAACAGGCCACTCCTTCCAGGAGAGGGAACTGGTTTGAAAATGAAAATTTAGCACCACCCGAATTTAAAATATTTTGTCTTCAGAACCATTTGCAGAATCACTGAGCCATTTTTAAAAGTTATAACGAATTCTGGTCAGCAGTAAACCAAAGTTGTGATATTTCTTTTGGGCATCCTGTTAAGAGCTTCATACCCGTCTCTTCTCTGGATTGCAGATGTTGTGCAGATGTTACGAGGCCCAGCAACATTCTGAAGCTCCTGGATTCATAATTTTGTCTTGCTAATGAAATAAGTTAAAGATCCAAGAACATTGTAGTGTGTTTCAGGGTCACCTCTTCAACCAATCTTGCGTTCATGTTGGTGTCTTCCATAGAAGCTGTCCATCCTAGGAAAGAATCATGCAGAGAAATAATATTATATAGAAATAATATCATGGGCTGGACGTCGATCGCCAGGGTCATCAGTAAAACTAAAACCGCTCATTTCAGTTTGCAATTGTTTTGCTTTTTAACCCAGCTGGACAAACACATCTTTTTATTTTTTTCCCTTTGTCATATATTTTTCCCTCCCTTATTTTTCTAATGTTTTCTTTTGTATTTTTTGTAGTTTAGATTATAAACTAATAAAAAAAAACCAGTTTCTGCACGTGTCGGAAACATGCAACTGCTTTCCATTTGCACATCCAGGACGAGAATATGAATCGCGATACCTTATGCATGTAATTGGTACATCATGAATGTATTTTAAAACATTTCACAAGCATAACATAGACATTAAATACGATTATCATCTAAACCAAGATAAACTCAATTAAGCTACAATAAAACAGAAGGAAATAGACTTACCTTGACGTTCCATCTCTGTGATGATAGCCATCAAATAGTTGAGTGGGAGAAACTCAATTTGGGTGGGTATTCTGTCCATAAATGGTATATTATACTGCAAGAGAAGAATGCATTCCAGCACTGAATGGCTATAATTTAACTCCATGTTTCAAGGAATTAATTTTTTAGACGAATCAGAGGCAAAGAGATCAAAACATACGAAGAACGGCTGTGGGATTTGGGTTTGGCTAATCTAAAGAAAAAGAAGAAACAGGGGAGACATGATAGCAGTGATCCAGTATCTGAGGAGCTGCCACAAAGAAGAAGGGGTCACGTTATTCACCAGAGCATCAGAAGGCAGGACGAGAAGCAACGGGTGGAAACTAATCAAGGAGAGAAGCAACCTGGAATTAAGGAGAAATTTCCTGACAGTGAGGACAATCAACCAGGGGAACAGAAGTTGTCTCCAGAAATCGTGGGTGCTCCATCACTGGAGATTTTTAAGAAGAGGCTAGACAATTACCTGTCTGAGATGGTATAGATTCTCCTGCTTGAGCGGGGGGCTGGACTAGAAGACCTCCAAGGTCCCTTCCAGATTCTATTCTATTCTATTCTATTCTATTCTATTCTATTCTATTCTATTCTATTCTATTCTATTCTATTCTATTCTATTCTATTCTATTCTATTCTATTCTATTCTATTCTATTCTATTCTATTATTCTACTAGCTGTACCCAGCCACTCATTGCTGTGGCTCAAGAAAGAAAAGAGAAAGTGCACGTTTGTAATATGTTTAATTTCACAATCCTTGTGGGTATACAATATTTTTTGTTGTTCCATTGTGTGTGCAGATATAGAGATTACGTCCAACAGATGGCGCTGTTTTTCAAAAAAAGCATGTTTTCACCTGTTTTTTTTCAAAAAAAGCATGTTTTTACCTGTCACAGGTGTGACATCTATATAATATAGGTATATAAAAACCTGAGCAGGGGGTTGGACTAGACGGCCTCCAAGGTCCTTTCCAACTCTGTTACTCTAAGCATCTTAAAGGTACTGGAGATTTCAACTCGCAAAAAAGCTAAGGAGGGGAAGATGTGAACACCTGAAGCCTTGCTCCTGGGAATCTAACTTCAATATCTGTATCTTATTCAGACCCAGATTTTTTTTTTTTTTTTAATGAAAAGGAGCAGAGACAAACTAGCCCACATTCTTAACAGGTGATCAAACTTTTACCTGTTCGTTGCTGAGTTTCTCAAATAAGAGTTTCACATAGTTCCTCGCAATAACAGCTGTGCTTAAAGAATGGGTCCACAGCTGACACACCTTGCAACCAATTGCCTGCAGGGGCAAAAGAAGAAAAGGGCGGAGGGAACCTTTTAAATATCAAATATGAACTGGAACTTGGAGAACTGAATCTGTTCCTTCAGGGGTGGAACCAACATTCATGATAAACCACACACTTGTGTGAATAGCGGTTTTTTTTTTTTACGTACAGGACAGGTGTGGACAGAATTGCCCTTTACCTGTAAAGTACCGTATTTTCCGGTGTATAAGACGACTTTCTAAAGCCTCAAAATCTCAAAAGTCAGGGATCGTCTTATACGCAGGAATATACGGGTAGCTGTTCTCTGAATTTAAAACCAATCTGCCCCCTAGTGGCCAGCCCTATTTTTTTACAGAAATAAGCACTAACACAGTGGTTCTCAACCTTTTTAATGCCCCGACCCCTAACCGGTCGTAAGTCGAGGACTACTCAACCAGTCGTAAGTCGAGGACTACTCAACTGGTGCAGCACCGTTTGCAAAATGGGACTTTTGGCGGGCTCAGCGGGGCAGAGACAGCCTGGACAATTCCTATTGGCTTTTGAAAGCCAATAGAATTAGACTCTATTCAAGAGAGTCTATTCTATTGGCTTTCAAAAGCCAATAGAATAAAAGGGAGGAGCACAGCTAAGGAAAAGAGGGGGAAAAATGGCGGACTGCGTTGTTTGGCGACCCCTGTGAAATGGTCGTTCGACCCCAAATGGGGTCCTGACCCACAGGTTGAGAACCACTGCACTAACAGGACAAAGCTTTCTAGCAGCAAAGGAGCACCTATTATGCTCATCTATAAACAGAAATTCAATATTGTACTGTATTTTCTGGCGTATGAGATGACTTTCTAAAGCCTGAAAATCTTCTCAAAAGTTGGGGGTCATCTTATACGCCCAGTCGTCTTATACACCGGAATATACGGCATATAGAATACCATTAGCCTATTTTACAGTTTAATCTTTTAACCCACTCCGGGTTTGTTTTTTGTTTTTTGTAACACTCCAAATTCAACTACCGATAGTCCTTTGACTTGCAACTGTTCCTTTAGCAATTGTTCGAAGTCACCACGGCCCTGCAAAAGGAACTGGTGACCGTTTTTCACACTTAGGACCATTGCAACATCCCCAGGGTCAGACTTCAGATGCTTGCCAATTGGCATTTACGTATGACGGTTGCATGGTGTCACGTGATCACCTTTTGGTGTTCGCTTAAAACAGCTGCGGCAAGGAGGGTTGTAAAATGGGGGAAAAAAATCACTTAACAAATGTCTCACTTAACAACATAAATTTTTTGGACTCAATTGTGATCGTTAAGTTGAGAACAACCCATAGCATTTTTATGGACAGGACAGGTATGGATACAATTTCCTTTTACCTGTAAAGTATATAGAATTCCATTACTGTATTTTACTGTTTTGTTTTGTTTTTTAATCCCCTGCATTTTTTTTTTAAAGAAGCAACCTGGAACTAAGGAGAAACTTCCTGACAGTGAGAACAATTAACCAGTGGAACAACCTGCCTCCAGAAGCGGTGAATGCTCCAACATTGGAAGTTTTTAAGAAGAGACTGGACATCCATTTGTCTGAAATGGTATAGGGTTTCCTGCCTGAGCAGGGGGTTGGACTAGAAGACCTCCAAGGTCCCATCCAACTCGTTGTTATTTTACACCCCAAGATCTGCCCTCTTCACTGTGTGCCAGATTCTGGCATCCTTGCACTGTTAGTATAATTCATTTTCTTCCAACCCACCGACTGAAACACCGTGTAAACTCGCACGGATTGAAACAACCCCGACCAGCCAAGAAGACACAAACGTCTCTTAAGCAGCCACGAAGACGGATGGCAAAATAATATTAATTCTGGCTCAGAATCCAAAGAGGAAGAAACCTGATCCCCGTGGCTTAAAAATAATTTCCAACGCGGCGAAACAGCTGTTCTGGAAGAAAATGTCATTCGGCTGACTTTCTGCCTTCTCCGAAACAGAAAGGACAGCGATAAGACAGAAGTGGCTTTGTGGATGCTGTTGTCATTGCTGTTTTTCAATACAGCCAAACAAAGAAGGCCTTTCTGTCGAGAAAGTTCAAGTTGTTCTTATTTCTTGAAATAGACAAGGAAGCTTGCCGGAAGAAATTTGAGAGAGAAAGAGAAAGATAGAAAGAGAGAGAGAGAGAGAAAGAGGTAGGGATAGGGGGAGAAAGAGAGAGGGAGAGGGAGAGAGGGAGAGAAAGAGAAAAAGAGAAAGATATAGAGATGAGTTAGGAAGAGGGAGGGGAGAGAGGGAGAGAGAGAGAGAGGGAGGGAGAGAGAAAGAGAGAGAGAAGGAAAGGGAGAGAGAGAGAGGGAGAGTGAGAGAATTCAGCAGAAGGAGGCCTCCCAGGTCTAGAATGGCCTACCACTTCTGGATACCACTTCCAGAAGTCTGTTCTAGGCCTGGGAGGCCTGGAGGAGGCCTCCCAGGCCTAGAACAGCCCGCCGGAAGTGCATGGATGCCACTTCCGGAAGTTCGTTCTAGAACTCAGCCTGGATGAGGCCTCCCAGGCCTAGAACAGCCTGCCAGAAGTGCACAGATGCCACTTCCGGAAGTTTGTTCTAGAACTCAGAGGCCTGGAGGCAACCTCCCAGGCCTAGAATGGCCTGCTGGAAGTGCATGGATGCCACTTCCGGAAGTCCGTTCTAGGCCTCAGAGGCCCAGGCCTGTATCCAATAAGAGAACTGATTGTTTAGCTATTTGAATCCCACCCCTGCATTTACTGCAAACAGATCTAAGACTAGTTATCGGAATACGGCGGTTAGTTAATAGTTACCTGGGGAAGCCTTGTAAGGATACTCAGCTTGAGCTTCACGTTCTTTTCAGTGTCGTCTAACTCTTAAAAACAAACAAACAGGTTTGAGAAAAAGGATACGGGCTAAACAAGACCTTGGCTTGGCTTCAGTCCGGTTTACGCCAATGGAGACTAGCTTTGCAAACACAGATCTACTCTGCTGGAATGTGGAACATGGTTAGCATGTTTTTAGTCCCCTTACGCAAGAGAATGACGCATATTACAGGCCGTCCCCGGCTAACATCCACAACTGGGCTGAGAATTTTCTTAGTTAAACAAAGCGGGTGTTAAGTGAATCACACGGTACTTGAAGAGAAGGCCTAGGGGTGACATGATAGCAATCTTCCAATATCTCAGGGGCTGCCCTAAAGAAGAGGGAGTCAAGCTATTCTCCAAAGCACCAGAAGGCAGGACAAGAAGCAACGGATGGAAACTAACCAAGGAGAGAAGCAACCTGGAACTAAGGAGGAATTTCCTGACAGTGAGAACAATTAACCAGTGGAACTACCTGCCTCCAGAAGCTGTGAAAGCTCCAACAATGGAAGTTTTTAAGAAGAGACTGGACAGCCATTTGTCTGAGATGGTATAGGGTTTCCTGTCTGAGTAGGGGGTTGGACTAAATGACCTCCAAGGCCCCTTCCAACTTTATTATTATTATTATTGTGGATCATCGCACAGTCAGCCAGATGTTCAGACTGGATTTGGCATTTTGTCTACCTATCGAGTCCTTACCCAGGACCTGGGATAGGTAGATCTGGGTGTTGGATGGTATTACAGGTATCGTCGCAGGATGGAAGCAGTTCCTAGTAAGGCTGCCTTTTGCAATTGACTAATAGCGAATTTGTCAATGCCGATGATGGTGTTCAAGTGGTGCTCCAGTTGTTTTGGGATTGCACCCAAGGAGCCTATTACTATTGGTACTACCCTTGCTTGCTATTATTATTATTATTATTATTATTATTGTTGTTGTTGTTGTTATTGTTGTTATTATTATTATTATTATTATTGGCTTTGCTTGGCTGGGAAGATTGTAGATGTGACCCCAGGATGCTACAACGCTCGTAAATATAAGCCAATTGCCCAGCCCCTGAATGTTGATCCCATGACCAGGGGGATAGAACACAGAATAACAGAGTTGGGACCTTGGGAGGTCTTCTAGTCCAACCCCCTGCTCAAGCAGGAGACCCTACACCATTCCGAACAACTGGCTGCCCAATCTCTTCTTTAAAAACCTCCAGTGATGGAGCACCCACAACACCACCAGTGCCAGCAACGAGTGTGCCCCTCCCTGTCAATCTATACAATCTATATAAGAGCCGCGGTGGCACAGTGGTCAAAATGCGGTACTGCAGGCTATTTCTGTTAATTGCCGACTGCCAGCAGTTTGGCAGCTCGATCCTGACCGGCTCAAGGTTGACTCAGCTTTCTGTCCTTCCGAGGCCGGTAAAAGGAGGACCCAGATTGTTGGGGGGCAACAGGCTGACTCTGTAAACCACTTAGAGACAGCCATAAAGCACTGTGAAGTTATATATAAGTCTAAGTGCTGTTGCTATTACTCATATGTATAGTGGCTACTACTACACGCAGGCTAAGCATGAAGGTAAAATGTGCCTCTTAAGAATCTTATCATTCCTTAAGAAATGTTTCCATTCTGGGGAGATGAAATCCACAAGTCTTAAAAGTTGCCAAGTTTAGACACCCCTAAAGTAAAGCATTTAGAGCTCTTTTATTTAGCAGTCAGTTTTAGACAGAAAAAAGCAGCAGGAATAGAGAAGCTCCAATAATGCAGCCTGTGATTTTACATGGATGGATGTTCTGGGAATTTGTCGTGAGTCACAGGCTTATCGGGTGTTGCAAGCATCAATGAATAAGCGAGGCAGATGTAAATATGAAGAAATCATATTTTGTGTGTGTGTGTGTGTTTCTGTTCCTTTTGATACTTGCAACCTTGCATGTTTCACACTTTTTCATCCTTCTTTTTTTATCCTTTCCTCTGAAGTTTTTGAGACTTGCGAGATTGCAAGTAGGTCAAAGGTTTAGAACAGTGGTTCTCAACCTGTGGGTCGGGACCCCATTTGGGGTCAAACGACCATTTCACGGGGGTCGCCAAACAACGCAGTCCGCCATTTTTTCCCCCCTTTTCCTTAGCTGTGCTACTCCCTTTTATTCTATTAGCTTTTGAAAGCCAATAGAAGAGACTCTCTTGAATAGAGTCTTATTGGCTTTCAAAAGCCAATAGGAATTGTCCAGGCTGTCTCTGCCCTGCTGAGCCCGCCAAAAGTCCCATTCTGCAAATGATGCTGCACCAGTTGAGTAGTCCTCGACTTACGACCGGTTGGGGGTTGCGGCATTAAAAAGGTTGAGAACCACTGGTTTAGAAATAAGGATTGAAAGAGTATCAAATGGGCCATGTGACCGGTGTGAAAAGGATCAGAAATTCAGGTAGTCCTTGACTTATGACCATAATTGTAGGTTGCTAAATGAGACATTTGCTAAGTGAGCTTTGCCCCAGAGTCCGTGTATTGCCTCCAACAATCTGGGTCCTCATTTTACTGACCTTGGAAGGATGGAAGGCTGAGTGAACCTTGAGCCGGTCAGGATCGAACTCCTGGTAGCAGGTAGAGTAGATAGAGTTAGCCTGCAATACTTCATTTTAACCACTGCGCCGTCATGACGCAGACTACAATCTGTATGAGTAGACCCTGACTTACAGCCATTCATTCAGTAACCATTCAAATTACAACAGCTAAATGACTCAAGTTATGGCCATAGTATACTCTCCCACCCCCGTGGTCATGGGATTATGGTCTGAGCGCTTGACAGCCCATTCATACTTACGACTGGTTGCCAAGTGCCCCACGATTGTGTGACCACTAGTTTTTCCTGCCGTCTTCCCCAGAAAGTCAATGGTGAAGCTGGTAGGGAATGCCACAAGCCATTGCTGCCTGCTGAGAGGATTCCCTCCAGTTTCTGGTTGAAAAAGGATTTTCAGCTCCACAATGGAGAGGTTTGAAGTTTCTCTATTCTGAAGCTGAAAATAGGTCTATGCCAGACAACCTTGGCTCTTTTATGACTCGTGGACTAACTCCCAGAACTCCTGAGCCAGCCACACTGAGGGGAAAGGGAGAGGTTTCCAAGCTGAGCCATGCTGGCTTAGGAATTCTGGGAGTTGAAGTCCACCAGTCATAAAACAGCCAAGGTTGCCTACCCCTGGTCTATGCTGAAATCCTCTCTGGGGCTGACAATCCTGCTGGGATTTCAGCACAGACCTCTTTCAGCAGCGGAGCGTGGTTGGCTGGGAAATTCTGGGAGTTGAAGTCCACAGGTCTTAAAGTGGCCAAAGATGCTTTTTCAGGAGGCAACTGGACTTCTTTGTTTTTTCTCGGAAGACGTTTCGCTTCTCGTCCAAGAAGCTTCTTCCGCTTCAGAAGCAGAAGAAGCTTCTTAGACGAGAAGCGAAACGTCTCCAGAGACCAACAAAGAAATCCAGTTGCCTCCTGAAAAAAGCCTCTTTGGGATAACCACAACTGGGACGACTGAGGATCTCCGTAGACACAAGTCTTAAAAGCGGCCAAGGGTGGAGACCGTCGCTCTAGTGTGCAAGGAGGAACATTACCTTTCCAAAGATTCAGGACGTACTTTTCTGTTAGGTGCAGAACTCCGTGGTCGATGTACTGCAGGACGGTGTGCAAAGGGAAGCACCTCATCCCCACCTCCAGGTGCAGAGTGTGGAATCCTGCGTTAAAGGAAGACGTCAAGGAAGCGGTAAGGACGAAGCCCATGAGAAAGAGAGCCGAGAGAGTCGGTAAAGTCATCCCACGTCATTCACGCATTCTGTTTGTTAACGAGAAAATCACAAGGCTTAGATCTGGCGGGCGGGATCGGTGTGGCAAAATACGTACTGGTGGACCTTCCACTTTCAACCATTTGAAGTAACAACGGCAGCGGGAAAAAAGGGACTTTTGACCGATTCTCACACTTGCGTCTACCGTTGCGGCGTCCCCAGGGTCATGTGATCAAAATTAGGATAAATATCCTGTAGATATCCTCCTCCTCTCTGTCATCTCTATCTATTATCTATTTTTCTCTCTCTCTCATCTCTCTATTTCTCTCTATCATCTCTCTCTTTCTCTATCACCTCTATCTCTATTTATCTGTCTCTCATCTATTTAATCTCTCTATTTATCTCTCTCATCTTTCTCTCTCTCATCTCTCTGTGATCTGTCATCTCTATCTCTCTATCATCTATTTATCTCTATCATCTCTCTATCTCTATCTCTTTCATGTCTCTATCTCTATCATCTCTCTATCATCTCCATTTCTCTATCTCTCTATCATCTCTTTGTGATCTGTCAACTCTCTCATCTCTATTTATCTATCATCTCTCCATTTATCTCTATCTCTATTTATCTCTATCTCCCCCCCATCCATCCATCCATCCACAGAGAGGGAGAGAGAGAGAGAGAGAGAGAGAGACTGGACCAAAGCTTTCATGGCTAAAGTGGGACTAGAATTCACGACCCCCCATTTCCTAGCCTGACGCTTGAACCATTATACCAGTGGTTCTCAACCTTTTTAATGCCACGACCCCCCACAACCGGTCGTAAGTCGAGGACTACTCAACCGGTCGTAAGTCGAGGACTACTCAACTGGTGCAGCACCGTTTGCAGAATAGGACTTTTGGCGGGCTCAGCAGGGCAGAGACAGCCTGGACAATTCCTATTGGCTTTTCAAAGCCAATAGAATTAGACTCTGTTCAAGAGAGTCTATTCTATTGGCTTTCAAAAGCCAATAGAATAAAAGGGAGGAGCACAGCTAAGGAAAAGGAGGAAAAAATGGCGGACTGCGTTGTTTGGCGACCCCTGGGAAATGGCCGTTCAACCCCAAATGGGGTCCCGACCCACAGGTGGAGAACCACTGCATTAGACCAAACTGGGTAGAACAAAACAAGATAAATGTGGAAGGGAAGTACTTCAAAGTTGATGTAACTTCTCTGCAACTTGACCTGCATTTAAGCCATGTCACAGAACCATCAGCCATGATCACAAGGCAGATCTATCTGCCAATTAAAAGCAGGACTGGCCTTTAGCTTTTAAACTCTCCCATATGATATTCTTTCTCCCATAGCAATATCCCTCCCCCCAAAAAATAAAACAATAAAAAAAATTCCACTTTGACCGTTGTGAGCTAATGCTCTGTTAAGCATTTCCATTTTTAAAACTTGTTCCTTCATAAAATCTGTCCTCTAGGGGCCATTAACATTTTCATCTGTCCTCAGACTTATCAGAAACACCAACGGCCTCTTAGGAAGTAAAAAAACCCGTGACTTGAAAAAAAAAAAAAAGCCAGCCCTAAGCATCTTACCCAACAACTCACAATGGTTTCGCAATGGACAAAACCACTAGCCAACTTTTCCGGTGAGACCCGTCTTAAATCAGATTTAAAAAAAAAAAAAACAAGTCAAATGTTTCGGGGACAATTTTAACCTTTTGCTCATTCGGAAAGAACTGTGGAAGTATCTTGGTATTAAGACAGGGATGAGATTCTTCTCAGAAGTTCCTATTCTCTTGCTATTCTTAGAAGTAATTCTCCAAAACAGCTGAAGGCAGGACAAGGAGTAACGGTTGAAAGTTTATCAGAGAGAGAATAAACCTAGAAGTAAGGAGAAATTTCTTGACAGAACAAATAATCAGGGGAACAGCTTGCCTCCTGGAGTTGTGGATGCTCCATCAGGGAATGTTTTCAAAGATAGGCTGGATGGTATAAGAAGAGACCCAACTTAGAACAATTTCTTGACAGTTAGAACAATTAACCAGTGGAACAGCCTGCCTCCAGAAGCCGTGAAGGCTCCAACACTGGAAGTTTTTAAGGAGAGACTGGACAGCCATTTGTCCGAAATGGTATAGGGTTTCCTGCCTGAACAGGGGTTGGACTAGATGACCTCTATGGTCTCTTCCTATCCTATGGTTCTATGTTCTAGGGCAGGAGTCTTCAAACTTGGCCCTTTGATGACTTGTGGACTTCAACTCCCAGAATTCCTCAGCCAGGCAAGTCATCAAAGAGCCAAGTTTGAAGATCCCTTGACTTGTGGACTTCAGCTCCCAGAATTCCTCAGCCAGCATGTCTGACTGAGGAATTCTGAGAGTTGAAGTCCACAAGTCATCAAAGAGCCAAGTTTGAAGACCCCTTGACTTGTGGACTTCAACTCCCAGAATTCCTCAGCCAGGCAAGTCATCAAAGGGCCAAGTTTGAAGACCCCTTGACTTGTGGACTTCAACTCCCAGAATTCCTCACCCAGGCAAGTCATCAAAGGGCCAAGTTTGAAGATCCCTTGACTTGTGGACTTCAGCTCCCAGAATTCCTCAGCCAGCATGCCTGGCTAAGGAATTCTGGGAGTTGAAGTCCACAAGTCATCAAAGGGCCAAGTTTGAAGACACTTATTCTCGGGACTATGTTCTGCTACTAGGTGCTGTCACTCTGATTAGACATTTTTGCTGAAAAGTGACATGGCGTTCAGCTGTTGCAAAGGTTGGTAGAAAATGAACAGCCAAGGGTTGTTGAGCTACTCAACCATTGTCACCGGACTGCGCACTGAACATCATTGCTTAGCAAAGTTGAAAGACAAGTTTCCAAGTCCGTCACGAAGATCTCAAAGTCAAAATTCTCAAAAGATGACAATGACAGGCCTTGGACTTATATACCGCTTCACTGTGCTTTACGGGCCTCTCTAAGCGGTTTACAAATGTCAGCCTATGCCCCCCCCCAACAATCTGGGTCATTTTACCGACCTCGGAAGGATGTTAAGTGAGTCAGGCTCACCCCTTGACTTTGCCTGTCAGAAGGTCACCAAAGGGGATCCCGTGACCCCAGCAGACGCTGCGACCGTCATACGTACGAAACCCAGTTGCCCAGCATCCGAATTTGGATCCCGTGGACCCCGAGGGATGCCGCAACGGTTTTATGGGTGAAAAACGGTCATAAGTCAGTTTTTTTTCAGTGCTGTTGTAACTTCGAACGGTCACAAAAGGAACTTTTGTAAGTCAAGGACTTTAGGAAATTGTTTTTGTCAACTATTTAGAGTTATGAATGTAAGGTGGGCAACTGTGTACATTTTCTAAATAAAAAAACTCTCTCTCTCTCTCTCACCCTCCCTCTTGGTCTCTCTCTTCCTCTCCCTCCCTCCCTCTCTTCCTCTCCTTTCTCTATGCCCCTCTCTCTTCCTCCCTCCCTCTCTTCCTCTTCTTCCCTCCCTCTCTTCCTCTTCCACCCTCCCTCTCTTCCTCTTCCTCCCTCCCTCTCTTCCTCTTCCTCCTTTCCTCTCCCTCTCTCTCTCCCACTCCCTCTCGGTCTCTCTCCCTCCCTCTCTTCCTCTCCCTTTCTCTCTCCCTCTCCATCCCTCCCTCTCTCTTCCTCTCACTCCTCCTCCCTCCCTCCCTCTCCCCCTCCTCGCTCCCTCCCTCCCTCCCTCTCCTCTCTGTCCCTCCTTCTCCCTCCCTCTCCCTCTCCCTCCCTCTCAGTCTCTCTCCCTCCCTCTCGGTGAACCTCCCTTCCTCTCCTCTCCCTTTCTCTCTCTTCTTCTCCATCCCTCCTTCTCCCTCCCTCTTCCTCTCCCCCTCTCCCCCCTCTCGGTCTTCTCCCTCCCTCTCTTCCTTTTCTCTCTCCCTCTCTCTCTTTCTCTCCTTCCCTCCCTCTCTTCCTCTCCCTCCCTCCCTCTCCCTCTCTCCCCCCCTCTCTCCCTCCCTCTCGGTCTCTCTCCCTCCCTCTCTCCCTTTCTCTCTTCCTCTCCCTCCCTCTCCCTCCCTCTCCCTCTCCTCCTCTCCCTCCCTTCCCCCTCCCCCTTTCTCCCTTTGGAGTGGCCTATGGTTACGTTTGGCTATTCTAGGCGGATGAAGCTACAGCTCTGCAGCCGGAGGGCTCACCTGGGGGCAAAGGCAGACACATCCCACCGGCTGCCTGCAGAATCTGACACATGATACGGAACACGATGACCTCATTGGCTTCCTCTGGTTGCCTGCTGTACAAAAAAGACACAAGAACATGAACTGCAAATGCTGCACAGTGGTAGAGAACGAGCCAGGCTTGTCCCTCACAACGGGTTATCCTGCTTCATAAATCAAGTTCCCTTTAAAGCTCTTCTACAGAGGGAGGAAGGGAAACGAGGGCACAGGAGGGGACACCGTGCATCATGGAGTCAGTCAGGATAGACTAGGCTAGAGCAGACTAGAAGAATAGGATAGGATAGGATAGGTTAGGATAGGATAGGATAGAAATACAGAATAGAATAGAAATACAGAATAGAATAGAAATACAGAATAGAATAGAAATATAGAATAGAATAGAATAGAATAATGAAGAATACAAATATAGAATAGAATAGAATAATGAAGAATAGAATAGAATAATGAAGAATAGAATAGAATAATGAAGAATAGAATAGAATAATGAAGAATAGAATAATGAATAGAATAATGAAGAATAGAATAATGAATAGAATAATGAAGAATAGAATAATGAATAGAATAATGAAGAATAGAATAATGAATAGAATAGAATAATGAAGAATAGAATAGAATAGAATAATGAAGAATAGAAACATAGAATAGAATAGAATAATGAAGAATTAAATAATGAATAGAATAGAATAATGAATAGAATAGAATAATGAAGAATAGAATAATGAAGAATAGAAATATAGAGTAGAATAGAATAATGAAAAATAGAATAGAATAATGAAGAATAGAATAATGAAGAATAGAATAGAATAGAATAGAATAGAATAGAATAGAATAGAAGAGAAGAGAAGAGAAGAGAAGAGAAGAGAAGAGAAGAGAAGAGAAGAGAAGAGAAGAGAAGAGACGAGAACATTCCTGGGGTTCCTCACTGTCTCCATGTGCTATGCTTTGGGGTACAAATATGGGAGTCAGGCGCTGGGAGTTGCTAATATTCAACGCGTAATAACAATAAACTTTTAAGTCCCGGTTATGGTTCCTCCATCAGGAAGTCTGGTGAATGAATTTGCTATGGTTCCTGTTTCTGTCTCTCCCTTTCTTGTCTTTAAATGTCTTATGGAAATTATCTGCTTACAAGGAACAGGACAAGGAGCGAAGACTGTATTTCCTCCAAATGTTTTCCAACATCCGACAAATTAGGTCCAGCTGCAAAGAGAGAGAGAAAAAAGAAAATACTAGATGGCTTTTTGGAAAAATGCTAGATAACTTTCCAGAAAAGCTCTAGATGGCTTTCCAAGAAAACAAAACCCTCAGCTATATGGCTTTTTCAGAAAAACGCTACATGGCTTTCCAGGAAAACACTCATCGGCTTTCCAGAAAAAAGCTAGATCGCTTTCCAGAAAAAAAAAAAAAAAAAGCTAGATCACCTACCAGGAAATGAAACCTCAAAAGTGTTTGCTTTGAAAATCATGAATGCTGGTCTTTCAACTCTGTTTCGTTCCTGTGAAAACCCAAACACGCAAATGCTTCTTGAGAGCTAAACTGAGGTAAGCAATTTGCAATCCCTCTTCTCCTTTTTTTGCAAGCAAACAGAGAGCATATTTTCCTATCGTCAGCAGAAATTGATGAAAACTATAACGCAAGCCAAAAACGGGCGCATTGCTGTTAAAAGACGATTTAGCAAAGCTCCGGTTTCCTACGAAATCTGGCCATGCCCATTTTGCTCCCCCAACCTTTCCCTCCCAAAAGATTGCCCAAATTTCCAAGAAATTTATCTTGCTTTATTTTTTTCAAAGAAACCTACCAGTTTCGAAACGTAATCCACCGCTATTTGATCTATCTTCTTTCTGCCGACATACTGCAAGGGTCTCAGGAGGTGCTCTTTCAACTGTGCCACCATCTGTAAAAAAAAAAATACGTGAACAACTAAAATCAAAATATTAAACTGTGTGTTTTGACGTGCAAACCATTGCGCAAAACGGACTTAGCCTCCGGGCAAAATTTGAGGTCGGTGGGCAAAGAGCTACAGAATCGTATTATTTCTGCTGTCAAGAAGTAATGTGGTGAGTTGGGAGCCAACTGATGAGTTTTCTGCACAACTAAAAGTGTGTGTGTGTGTGTGTGTGTGTAAATCACTATATCTGTTCCAGAGAAGTAGCAACAAAAGACTGGAACCTCCGTTACTACGGATGTCTAGCAAGGGAACAATTCAGTGGTCTTTCTGCTCGTTGACCATCGGTGGATTCTTTTCAACCATCCGTTGTCAAAATATCACAGTCCAATTAGGAGAAGGTAAAACCACTCTAATTTTCAATGGGAAGAACCAGCTAACGTTCACTGATCTTTTAATACAGTTGGTTCCAGTTAATACTTGGATCAGAGACACTGAGAGTTCTTGATCTTTTAGGATAGAGAAAGCCCAGCAAAATATCTTGGCAGGACGCAAAGCAAGCTACTTCCACCCTGTTGCCAAGATAACGACATGGACGTGTTCATGAAATCACCAAAAGTTGAAACTTGTGGAGCCAAACTTCATATTTTTTAAAATTGGCTAGGTAGCAGCACTTTCTACTTGAAAAGTTTATAAACGTTTCTGCCTAGCTGTTTTGCCAATGAAGAGAAACAGAAGCGGATCAAGGAATAACAGAATAATAGGGTGGGGAAGGGACCTTGGAGGTCATCTAGTCCAACCTCCTGCCCATGCCTATACCATTTCGGACAAATGGCTGTCCAGTCTCTTCTTAAAAACCTCCAGTGTTGGAGCATTCACCGCTTCTGGAGGCAGGTTGTTCCACTGGTTAATTGCTCTCACTGTCAGGAAGTTTCTCCTTAGTTCTAGGTTGCTTCTCTCCTTGGTGAGTTTCCATCCGTTGCTTCTTCTCCTGCCTTCAGGCGCTTTGGAGAATAGCTTGACTCCCTCTTCTTTGTGGGCAACCCCTGAGATATTGGAACATTGCTATCATGTCACGCCTAGTCCTTCTTTCCCTTAGATTAGACATATGCAATTCTTCAACTGCTCTTCCTCCAATCCCCTGATCATCTTTGTTGCTCTTCTATTAAAAAATAATATCTACTGTATATTTTCTGGTTACTCTTGCAGTACTAGAGATTTCCTAATGTGAAGTCAAGAATGCACCTACCAATCCTGTTAGCAAGCGTTGGTGGTAATCCTCATCTTGAAAGAGAGGAGCTATTCTTTCTTCTGAAAGAGAGAAAGAGACAGAGAGAAAGAAAGAAAAAGAGGGAGAGAGGAAGAGAGACAGAAAGAGAGAAAGAGAAAGAAAGAGAGGAAGAAAGAGAGAGAGAGAAAGAAAGAAAGAAAAAGAGGAAGAAAGAGACAGATTAGAAAGAAAGAAAGAGGAAGACAGAAAGAGAGGAAGAGGGACAGAAAGAGAAAGAGAGAGGAAGAAAGAGACAGAGAAAGAAAGAGAAAGAGGGAGAGAAGGAAAGAAAAAGAGACAGAGAGAAAGAAAGAAAGAAAGAAAGAAAGAAAGAAAGAAAGAGGGAGACAGAAAGAGAGGAAGAGAGACAGAAAGAGAAAGAAAGTGAGAGAGGAAGAAAGAGACAGAGAGAAAGAAAGAGAAAGAGGGAGAGAAGGAAAGAAAGAGACAGAGAGAAAGAAAGAAAGAAAGAAAGAAAGAAAGAGGGAGACAGAAAGAGAGGAAGAGAGACAGAAAGAGAAAGAAAGAGAGAGAGGAAGAAAGAGAAAGAAAGAAAAAGAGAAAGAGAGAGGAAGAGAGACAGAAAGAGAAAGAGAGGAAGAAAGAGAGAAAGAAAGAGAAAGAGAGAGGAAGAGAGACAGAAAGAGAAAGAGAGGAAGAAAGAGAGAAAGAAAGAGAAAGAGAGAGGAAGAGAGACAGAAAGAGAAACATTTCAACATGTTCTGATTACCAGCAACATCGTTACAGAGATTAGAGATTTCATGACAGATTTTATACATTCATTTTAATGGGAGATGCAGAATAAAATGAACAATATATACACACACTCCTCAGATTACGACCACTCATTCAGCCACCATTCAAACTGGCAACAGCAGTCATGGAGGATTTACGACAGGTCCTCTGAGTTCCGACTATCCTTGAAGCATCCCATTGTGATTTGGGAGTCCGGATCGCAATTAGGACATTGAAACAAGCTGCAGCCACGTGAACACAATTTCCACTGATCCTTGCCAGCTTCCCACAGGTAACGTCAACGTGGAAGCTGGCAGGAGTTGGAAAATCAGGGCCCTGTGATGCCCTCGCTTAACAACCCACACAATCCTTGCTTAACGAGGTCAACTGGGATTGCCGTCACTAAGTAACACAATCACGCGAGATCACACTTTACAACCGTGTCACTTAGTGATGGCGCTTCCGGTCCAAATTGCCATCACAAACTCAAGGACTACTTGAAATTTATTTTAAATATTTCCACCAAATAATGGGTTGACGCACAATAACACAGCATTCTTTTAAACAAAAAAACTAAAAAAAAAACCCAATTACATGTACCCATAGATATATGTACACACATAGACTCCTGTTTATAAACATATCTTTGCCTTTTTTTTCATTAGGTTAGTATAAGATAATGTGTCTGATTTTATAGCCAAATGTTATATATTAGTTATAGTTTTCATCTACTTCCACTTCTCAAAGTGGTAGAGATTATATGAATTATGGTGACACTTAGACCAGTGGTTCTCAACGTTTTTAATGCCACAACCCCCAACCGGTCCTAAGTTGAGGACTAAACTGGTCGTATGTCGAGGATTAAACCGATCATAAGTTGAGGACTACCCAACTGGTCGTAAGTTGAGGACTTTCCCTGCTTGGGAGCACCGCACATGCCGCCCCCTGCGCCGGCCGAGGCATAGCTGGCAAGCGGCAGAGACGGAGCAGGCTGACCACCGGCTGGGCCACCAGCTGGCCCAGCCCAAGGGAGGTAAGGGACCCGCCGGAAAAGGGGAAAAAAATGGCGGACAGCCTTGCTTGGCGACCCCCGTGAAATGGTCGATCGACCCCAAATGGGGTCGCGACCCATAGGTTGAGAACCGCTGACTTAGAAGAAGCTAAGAACTTGTTAACGTGCTATGCTTGCATGTATAAACGTGTAACTTCCTGAAAACCAATCTCTTGATGTTCTCCACGCGTGCCACCATCATTTCCAATCTACAAGACAATATGTCAGTGGTGGCGAACCTATGGCACGCGTGCCAGAGGCGGCACTCAGAGCCCTCTCTGTGGGCACACAGGCCATGCCCTGGAGATGGCAACCGTCCCTCTTAAACCAGCCGCCCGCTAACTTGCCGAGGTCCCACATGGCCGGATGCATCCCAGCACCCATGCGCTCGCTGGCCTCTGTGTGTGGGGGTCAATGGTGTCAGGCAGCAACTGCCCCGGCCCCACCTTGCCCTGTGACAATGGCACCCCCACCCTGCCTCGCCTTGCCTCGCTTCACCCCGCAGGACGAGACTCCTGCCCACCGCCCCACCTGCCCGAGACCCCCTGGATCTCCCCCAAGTCTGCCCAGCCCCCACAGGTGTCCCTCCCCACGAGCAACATTGAGGTGATTACGCCCACCTTGGCCACACCCACCCAATCTGCCATGAGCACCACAGCCACGCCCACCCAGTGGGCCACGCCCACCTGGCACCCGGCGATAAATACGTGGGTTTTGGGTTGCAGTTTGGGCACTCGGTCTCTAAAAGGTTCGCCATCACTGCCAAATGTAAACCACGGTTTTATCTATATAAGCCACCAGCCACCACAGGAAGAAGCTTCTCTACAAGTTTAGACAAAAGAATATGCTTACTCGAGATACGCTCAGCTCCTGCCCTACTAAGTCTGAGAAAAGAGCTATCATATCCAAGGAAACTGTTTTTCCACCCCGCAAGTCAGGAACAACAATTTCACAGAATTTGTGGAAGCAGAAAGGATGTCCTTTCCCTTTCCGAAGTTGACATTTATAAGTTACAGACCGCACAAACTCTCTGAAGAAGAAAACAAGGAGTGTTGCCCTGAATTAGAAGAACATCTACTCTCTTTTGAAGAGAAACTCAGCTCTAAGTAAGGAAAACACTTCATTTCCTTAAGCACAATAACTACCAAATAACAACAACAACAAGAGTTGGAAGGGACCTTGGGGATCATCTAGTCCAACCCACTGCTCAGGCAGGAAACCCTATACCACTTCAGACAAATGGCCATCCAGTCTCTTCTTGAAAACTTCCAGTGTTGGAGCATTCACCGCTTCTGGAGGCAGGTTGTTCCACTGGTTAATTGTTCTCACTGTCAGGAAGTTTCTCCTGATTTCTAGGTTGCTTCTCTCCTTGATGAGTTCCCATCCACTGCTTCTTGTCCGGCCTTCAGGGGCTTTGGAGAATAGCTTGACTTCCTCTTCTTTGGGAGATACTGGAAGACTGAGATACTGGAAGACTGCTATCCTGTCCCCCCTCGTCCTTCTCTTCATTAAACTAGACATACCCAATTCCAGCAACCGTTCCTTGTATGTTTTAGTAAGAAACCAATGGATCGCCACATCCTGTGAAACAATGATGCTCAGCTGGGATCGAGGGAAGCTGTTACTTACAAACTTTTGAGATCAAGAAACACTTACCTGTTTCCCACCTGGGCAAACTGGAAAGCACCCTAGAAGAAAAGGAGCAATGTTTCTTAACAGCTTCAGTGGAGGGAGACCTTAAAAAGGCAATGTCAACGCTGCTAACATCGGATGTTCTTGCTTTGACAACATATGGAGATGCAGCCATTTTCCTTCTTATGGTTTACTCTTAGAATTGAGAATTAGATGATACTGGGGGGGGGGAGGAGGAATGTGTATGGGAGTTTAGTTAGACATAACAATATTGTAACTAGTGTGAGAACCAAGGTTTTTGAAATAAGAGATGATAAGAACTGGCGGGTGGGAGAACTGGAGGGAAGGTCTGCATTTCAAACTAATTGGAGAATGTGATTTATGACTGTTAGTTAGAGGAGAGAATTGTGCTTTGATACTATGTGCTCAGGGGAGGGGAATTCAGATTTGGGCTTTGCCGATGTACGTGCCGATGCTATGTTACTCGAATAAAGATTCTTTAAGGTAAACAATGCCTTGAAGTTCTTTGAAGAGTTTCATCTGTCGGAACCAGGACAGCCAACGCATCTATACAAGATCTATAGAAGTAGTTCTCAACTTACAAACAGTTTGTTTAGGGACCATTCAAAGTTACAAACCGCACTAAAAAAAAAGGACTTATTCCCCCCCCCCCGCTTTATTTCATTTATTTCTGAGACCCGTGGACAACGGCCCCTTTTAGGGCCATCCGATTTTATGATGGCAAAAAGATGCTCGACTCACTTTTTCGTGTTTTCAAATATGCTTTTGACGTAAGAAGTCCTGGATGCAGTCTTCTGTGAATAAGGTTATGCAAAAGAGCCAATTTACTCTCTCGGTATTTCATAAGAGCTGCATTCAAGAAACAGTTGTGCTCCTTCCTTCCTTCCTTCCTTCCTTCCTTCCTTCCTTCCTTCCTTCCTTCTTTCCTTCTTTCCTTCCTTCCTTCCTTCCTTCGTTCCTTCCTTTCCCTTCCTTCCTTCCTTCCTTCCTTCCTTCCTTCCTTCCTTCCTTCCTTCCTTCCTTCCTTCCTTCCTTCCTTCCTTCCTTCCTAGCCTTAGCAATAGCACTTAGACTTATATACCACTTCACAGTGCCTTACAGCCCTCTCTAAGCGGTTTATAGGGTTAGCCTGTTGCCAACAATCTGGGTCCACATTTTACCAACCTCGAAAGGATGGAAAGCTGAGTCAACCTTCAGCCGGTCAGGATCGAACTGCTAGCAGCAGGCAGAGTTTTCCTGCAATGCTGTCTTCTAAGCTCTGAGTCGCCACGGCTGACTTACCTCCTCGGAAAGCAGTTTATCCCATTCCCTCTTCAGCACTGTGTGGCTGAAATGCAAGGGGGTTTCGACACATTTCACGTATTCCAGGTTCAAATTCAACTTTTCCCAGAAGCCTTTGCAGTTTCGCACCTCCAGCAGGCAAATAAACGGGAAGAAAGAGAGAGAGGGGGTTTTCCGTCAGCGTTATTTCCTCCTCGGCCTTGTGACCAATAGCCTACAGGCGGTCAACAGCTTGCAAGCGTTCGAAGTTACAGTGGCATTAAAAAATACAAACTAACAACAACAGAAAATTCTGGCTCCATTTTGGTCGTAATGCAAAGAAACTCTGTGTTGTATTTAACTTATTTTCAAGACGGATATCAGCAGGAGTGAAACCGCTGTGTTGCCGAAGCATTGTTTGACGAGGCTGAGATTTTGGGGGGGGGGGGAAACATTATTTTTCAATGTCTGTTAACGCCTTCCAAATCTTTGTGGAGATGTGGATAATGAACAATAATGAAGCTTTTAAAAGCATGATCAGTACAGTGTCTAACATAAATAGTGTTAAAGGAGATTAAAATTGAGGACTTGGCATTTCATTTCCTCATTAGACTTATATTCCCACCTTCATTTTATACAACTCAAGGCAATTGACAGGTGCAAAAGATCCACACACACAAAGGTCCAATTATACTGATTTACTGCTAAAACCCTGTGCATAGGAATCTTCTTAAACAGGGGTCTTCAAACTTGGTCCTTCATGACTCGTGGACTTCAACTCCCAGAATTCCTCAGCCAGCATGGGGGAACTATGGCCCCTTCATGACTTGCAGACTTCAACTCCCAACTCCCAGAATTCCTCTGCCAGCATTCAACTCCCAGAATTCCTCAGCCAGCATGGGGGAACTATGGCCCCTTCATGACTTGCAGACTTCAACTCCCAGAATTCCTCTGCCAGCATGGGGGAACTATGGCCCCTTCATAACTTGTGGACTTCAACTCCCAGAATTCCTCAGCCAGCGTGCCTGGCTGAGGAATTCTGGGAGTTGAAGTCCACAAGTCATCAAAGGGCCAAGTTTGAAGACCCCCCGTTCTTAAAACTGATGGTTAGCGAATGCTAGGAATTAGATAAGGATCTACGAAATTCAAGGCGGGATTGTTTGGATTCTAGGCTGATTCCTCTTTTGACTTCATCCTCCAGTTTCTGCCACTGCTTCTCTCTTAACATACATAATGCATCATCCATCCGTTCAGTTTTAGTGCTGATCGCGTTTGACTCAGCCATTTTTAAATAACAAATTTTTAGCACACCCTTATACAGCTAGCAGCTGTATCACGTCATCCTTTCATTTTAAAATCCAATTTTCCTGCACAGCACGACCATCCCAGTTCTCCTACGGTTATAATAGCAATATTAAACCGATCAACCCGGGATGCTCAATTCATTACAATGTGATCATCCGGCGAGAATTGCAAACAAAGCAAAAGACACAACTGGGCACAGCAGGGCTTCACAAATGAAAGGGCACAAGTGTGACAAATTCCTGCTTGGTAAATCATCAATAAAATATGCCAAACTAATTTGTCCTCCCGAGTTAACTAGAACTGCTTTGTTGAACACAGCTCCAAGTGCTAGAATCATCTCCATGTGTAAATGTTAAATATATGATGTCATGATGCTAGTTATAGAAGACTCCTTGGAACAATTACGCCTCTTTTGAGATAATCGCTTGGAATGAATGCAGGCCAAGACTGACCTCAAGTGGTAACTTAAAAAAACGGACTGCAAATTCTTCATATAGTCAAACTGGTTTTAAGCGATTTTCAGTTCTGGTGTGGAATCAGGCAGCGAATAAGGCCTGGAGACTAAAACATACGAAGAACGGTCGTAGGAATTGGGTATGGCTAGTCTAGAGAAAAGAAGGACTATGGGTGATGTGATAACAGTATTCCAGCATTTGAGGGGCTGCCACAAAGAAAAAGGGGTCAATTTATTTTCCAAAGCACTAGAAGGCAAGACGAGGAACAATGGATAGAAAAGGAGAGAAGCAACCTGGAATTAAGGAGAAACTTCCTAACAGTGAGAACAATCAACCAGTGGAACAACTTGCCACCAGAAGTTGTGGGTGCTTCGTCACTGGAGGTTTTCAAGAAGAGACTGGACAGTCACTTGTCTAAGATGGTATAGGTTCTCCTGCTCGAGTGGGGGGCTGGACTAGAAGACCTCCAAGGTCCCTTCTATTCTATTCTATTCTATTCTATTCTATTCTATTCTATTCTATTCTATTCTATTCTCCAAAGCACCAGAGGGAAGGACGAGAAACAATGGTTGGAAACTGACCAAAGAGAGAAGCAACCTGGAATTAAGGAGAAACTTCATGACAGTGAGGACAATTAACCAGTGGAACAGCTTGCCACCAGAAATCGTGGGTACTCCATCACTGGAGGTTTTCAAGAAGAGACTGGACAGCCACTTGTCTGAAATGGTACAGAGTCTTCTGCCTGAGCAGGGGGCTGGACTAAATGACCTTCAGGGTCCCTTCCAGCTCTGTTCTGATTGAAATTTATCACGGGATTTGGGGAAGATGGAGACTAGATTTCCAAAATACAGTTGGGATGTTATGTCTGAACCAGCCAAGTTATCTCGAAGAATACAGACAATCCTTGACACATAGCCCTATGTTTAGTGACCGTTCAAAATTACAACGGCACTGAAAAAAAATGATTTATGATCAGTTGCCAAACTTAATAATGAACCATCCCTACGGTGACATGATCAAAATTCAGATACCTAGTAATTGGTCTGTATATTTGTGACAGTTGCAGATGCTGTCCTGATTTCTGACCCAGCAAAGTCAATCAGATAAGCCAAACTGCAGTGTTAAATCAGTTAACAAAATTGCAGTGATTTGCTTACAACGGCAGCAAAGAAGCCATAAAATGGGGCACAACTTACTTCACAGGAAATCTCTTCCGTTAACTATGAATCCTGTTCCACGATAGGGTGATTATTACAGGAAATGTTATCCACTGAAACTGAGTGTAAATTAAAAGTCCCAAGCACGTATTATCATGTTTGGTGGGCATGTGATAAAGTAAAGAATTATTGGAAAAAGATACATACCTGGCTAGAAAAGATATTAGGAGAACATGTTGACTTTAAACCTGAACTTTTTTTATTAGGTACAATGCCAGAAAAGACTAACAAACAAAGCTTATACTTGACTTTGCATGTTGCAACAGCGGCAAGAATTATATTTGTGCAACACTGGAAAAATGAAGGAATACCATCAGATGAAGAAATAATTTAAAAAAATTCTAGAATGCGCAGAGATGGGCAGATTGACTATGAGACTGAAAGAAAAAGAAGAAATGGATTATTATCAAACTTGGAATTTATTTTACCATTGGCTGGAGGAAAGAATAAAGGATTAGGAATTAAATATGTATTAGCATGTAAACTCAGACATTGGTTGAAAAAGTATTATTGTATGTATGGAAAAAACAAATAAAAAAATTTATACACAAAAAAATAAAAGTCCCAAACATGCCCTACTTCACTATATTGTTAGAATATTTTTATTATGCACTTACCTTTAAAGAGGGTAATGAGATAATGTATGTTGTACACCGAATTCCAGGAATATCCTAGAAAGGTGGAAATAACAAGTGTTAAGTTTTCCGACAAAATACATCAATGGAAGACAATTATTTAATTAAGCTGAAAAACATGTGGCCTTCAAAGAAGGACCTCACCTTCTAAACCTCCAGGGAAGCTGGTTTTGTAAAAATCCATCAAAATATTTTGATTACTCTTTTTTTTACCGATACCAGGATATCATACCACGAAGATTCATTATGGGCAAGGAGAACGTCTTGTGGGCTCATTCTTAAAAAGAACATCTGAATCATAGAATTGTGGAGCAAGAAAGAGACCTTGGAAGTCTTCTACTCCAACCTGCAGAAGACCTTAATTCCATCCTGGACAAATGGCTGTCCAGTGTCTTCTTAAAATCCTCCAATGATGGAGCACCCACAACTTCTGAAGGCAACTTGTTCCATGGATTAATTGTTCTGTCAGGAAGTTTCTCCTTAATTAACAAACTCAGATCTGTCTCTGAATTTAATAACAGAAAGACATCCCTCAGTTCATGTTGGAATACATTTTTGGGGATGTATATTTTTGTGCAACAACTATAGTAGTATTCAGCCAGTAGATGGCAGTGTTTACAAGTTTGGATCTATGGTATATACTTGATGGTTTTTTTTCCTAAGTAAAACAGTTAAGCAGTAAAGCACATGGTGATTGTGCCCTTTGTTTGATCTGTGATGCTATATATAAACAGAATTTTACCTTCTTCCAGTTCAGCAGTGACGTGTACGGTAAAAGCTTATCCAGGCTGCCGGATTCCAAGTACATTTTCCAGTGTAAAGAAGCTAAGAACATCGAGAAAAGATAGCCTCTTGACTGCATCAAGTAAAATACCGCACGCCTCTGTGAAAATTAGCAATACTCTTCAACATAGCTCTATTTGTAAGGGAGTTCCACTGAATTCAGCGGGGTTCACTATCACTAAATGGGATTCAGGATTTCAGTGTTAACATAAGAGAGGATACTGAGCCTAAATACAGGGAGTCCTTGACTTATAACCACAATTGACCCCAAAATTTGCTGTTAAGTGAGATTTATTAAGGGGGTTTTGCCCCATTTTACGACCTTTCTTGCCACGAGTCTTTTATGACTCATGGACTTCAACTCCCAGAATTCCTCAGCCAGCATGGCTCAGCTTGGAAACCTCTCCCTTTTCCCTCAGCATGGCTGGCTCAGGAATTCTGGGAGTTGGAGTCATAAAAAAGCCAAGGTTGCCTACCCTTGACTTACATTTTAAATTGCTCTATTTGATTCTAATTTCATTTTAAAAAAGTATTTTATCCCAATTTCATTTTAAATGGTATTTTATGTCTATTTTATCCTGAATTATATTTTAACTAATTCCATTCTAAATTGTTTTTACTGCATTTTAGTATAACGTGTGTTTGGAACGCTGCACTTTGATATGGCCCATGGGCTAATCAATAAAGATTATTATTCAAGGAATTTTTTTCTACAGTGCTGTTGTAGCTTTGAACGGTCACTAAGCAATCTGTCGTTAATCGAAGACTACCTGTTTATTTTTTTCTCTTGCGGCTCCATTTTAATTGATTACCTCTCCATCCACTTTTTGCGAAACTACGGCATACTCTGGAAATACATTCTGAAGGATGCAGCTGCTACTAACAGCTGCACCCTGGTAGGAAGACCCCAGACATAAAAACACTTACCAATGATTAGTTCCTGTATGGGATCAAATGCAAAACAAGCCGACACGTTGTCGGAAATCCAGTGGATGATCTGTTAAAAACAGAAAACAAAATCTGATATCACTTGGGCAAGCCGTCACACCGTGTAAAAAGGGAGTTGGATTCCCTGTGATCTGAGGTCTCAGTTTAACGGAGGCTTCGTCACCTACTACTAATCGAGTGAAAAAAAAAAACCTTTTCATTTCATAACTGCCATGTACAGATTGTCCTCGACTGTCGCTGAGCCTGGAATTGCAGTCATTAAGTGTTGTTGTTGTTGTTAATTGCAAAGTCGTGTCCGACCCATCGCGACCCCATGGACAATGTTCCTCCAGGTCTTCCTGTCCTCTACCATCTTCTGGTGTCCATTTAAGTTCACACCTACTGCTTCAGGGACTCCATCCAGCCATCTCATTCTCTGTCGTCCCCTTCTTCTATTGCCCTCAATCTTTCCCAGCATCAGGCCGTTCTCCAGTGAGTCCTTCCTTCTCATTAGGTGGCCAAAGTATTTGAGTTTCAACCTCAGGATCTGGCCTTCTAAAGAGCAGTCGGAGTTGATCTCCTCTAGGACTGACCGGTTGGATCACCTTGCAGTCCAGGGGACTCGCAGGAGTCTTCTCCAGCACCATAGTTCAAAGGTCTCCATTCTTTGGCGCTCAGCCTTTCTTATGGTCCGACTTTCACAGCCATACATTGCAACTGGGAAAACCATGGCCTGGACTATACAATTGCTATTGCTATCTAAAACGTAGTGGCGCAGTGGTCAGAATGCGGAATTGCAAGGTTAACTCTGCCCAGTGTCAGGAGTTCAATCCCGACTAGTTCAAGGTTGACTCAGCCTTCCATCCTTCCGAGGTTGGTAAAAGGAGGACCCAGATTGTTGGGGGACAAGAGGCTGACTCTGTAAACCACTTAGGGAGGGCTGTAAAGCATGAAGCGGTATATAAGTCTAAGGGCTATTGCTATTCAGCTTAGAGTTCAGCTCCTTTTCTGATGTACCAAATTAACTGAGATTATCTTGCACCATGTGATAACTGGCAACTGACTTGATTAAAAAAAAAAAAACACAAAGAATCCAAAGTGTTTGCTATTTTATACACAACAATAAGTAGACACCGATTTTCGTCACACTACTATAGAGACACCCTCACTCACCTGGTTTTCTAACTCCATCGTGCTTCCCACATGCAGAAGGAGACAGTGCAAGGCTGCTAATTTGTCATTATCCGACTCGCTCTTCCACAGGAATTGGAGCAAGGCCTTTGGGTTCATTTCCACAGCAAATATTTTTCCCGTGCTGCGATCCCATATGCTCGATTTGGCCGGGGAAAAGACGGCGTCAGCGTTCAGTTGATTGATTTCTGCATCTTCACCTGAAGAAAAAACAAAAATGAGCCGAAGGATTTTAGAGATGGTTCGCTCACCGCAGGCTGAAACACAGGCTCTCTAGTTTGCTGGAAACGAACTATTTTTGTTAAAAAAATAAAATAAAGGTACCTGTTAGAAAGAAACTGTGGCACATGAGGTCAGGGTGCTGAGTATTCAGAAGATGTAGGAACTGTCCAGGTAAGTACACAGCCACGTAACAGCCTATTTGGGGATGAATGTTGTTATTTTTTTAACATAATCAATCAAAATGAAACAACACAAGATTGAGCTGTACGCCCTAGGTGCATTATTTATTCGGCCGTTGCGATGTTGACTGTGCAATCTCATTAAACGGTCCTGAAGGCAGGACAAGGAGCAACGGATGGAAACTAACCAAGGAGAGAAGCAACCTAGAACTAAGGAGAAACTTCCTGATGGTGAGAACAATTAATCAGTGGAACTGCTTGCCTCCAGAAGTGGTGAATGCTCCAACACTGGAAGTTTTTAAGAAGAGAGTGGACAGCCATTTGTCTGAAAGGGTATAGGGTTTCCTTCCTGAGCAGGGGGTTGGACTAGATGACCTCCAAGGTCCCTTCCAACTTTATTATGATTATGATTAAGAAGAAGAGACTGGACAGCCATTTGTCTGAAATGTATAGGGTTTCCTGCCTGAGCAGGGGGTTGGACTAGATGACCTCCAAGGTCCCTTCCAACATAATAATAATAATAATAATAATAATAATAATAATAATAGGAGGAGGAGGAAGGAGGAAGGAGGAAGGAGGGGAGGAGGAGGAGGAAGAAGAAGAAGAAGAAGAAGAAGAAGAAGAAGAAGAAGAAGAAGAAGAAGAAGAAGAAGAAGAAGAAGAAGAAGAAGAAGAAGACAAGATGCCATATCCAGTCTGAACATCTGGCTGACTGTGTGATGATGATGATGATGATGATGATGATGATGATGATGATGATAATAATAATAATAATAATAATAATAATAATAAAAAATCCTAGACTACAGGTAGTCCTTGACTTGAAACAGTTCATTTAGGGACCGTTCAAAGTTACAACAGCACTGAAAAAAGGGACTTGTGACGGTCTTTCATACTTAGGACCGTTGCAGCATCCTGAAGGTCATGTAATCAAAATTCAGATCTTGGCAACTGGCTCATATTTACGACGGTCGTAAATACGATCCCCTTTTATGACCTTTTGACAAGCAAAATCAATGGAGGAAGCCAGATTTCACTGAACAACCTGGTTATTAACTGAACAACTGCAGCGATTTCACTTAAGGCCTGTAGCAAGCCAGGTCGTAAAACGGGGGCCAAGCTCACTTAACCCGTGTCTCACTTAGCGACAGAAGTGTCGGGCTCAGTTGCAGCCGTACGTCGAGGGCTGTACCTTTATTCCTATTTCGTATTCAGGCAATGCAATTTGGCTCCCTTTGCGAAACGATTCTAATGTTGTGGGATGTTTCCACAGGAAGTAAAGCAGCTGAGGAATTCAAATGTTTTCCTTCTAGAAAAAGGCCAAGTCTTATGACTCTATATAGGCAATTAAAACTCTCTGTTTCTGCCAAGCAAGAAGGAAGCCAATTTTGAAATAGTTCGTTATTTGGCCAACCAGATTTAAGGGGTGTCGGGAAGAGATCACGACAGATCCCAGAGACAAAGGCAAAATAAAATACATTATGTTCCAGCTTTTCGGTAGAAATAGCTCCCGACTGCCTTCGATCAGAAGGGTCTTTCGTTCAGAGAAGCAGAAGAGGAAGAGGGGGGGGGGGGGTTAAATGATCAATTTACCAAGATCCAAAAAAACCAGCTCCTTCTTCATGTGTAGAGAATCCATTTCCTCTAAAGTGCTAGTATATGTTTTACTATAGCCTGCAAAGAGGAAAACATAAAGGTGCAGGTAATATAATTTCTTTCAATTCTATCTATCTATCTATCTATCTATCTATCTATCTATCTATCTATCTATCTATCTATCTATCTATCTATCTATCTATCATCTATCTATCTATCTATCATCTCTCTCTATATCTATCTATCTATCTATCTATCTATCTATCTATCTATCTATCTATCTATCTTTGGTTGTTCGAGTTTTCTCCCGCGTAAAATTGGAAGTGCCTTGGCGACATTTCGACGAAGTCCCATTCATCATCTTCAGGCTGGTGCTTTCAGCTTTGTGCTTCGAGCAGCAGAAATATATATATATTTCTAAAATTTGGATATATATACACCTTTGAAATGCATCCTTAAAAGTTTGGACAAAACATCCTAGGGCTGCAAAGTCATGCAAATGTATCAGGAAATAACTTCCCTTGAACATTTATGTATTTGTATCCCGCGTTTATTATTTTTGACCAATAACTCATGGTGGCGAACAGATCCTAGGCCCCTTTCTCCTCCTGTTTTCCCCACAACAACCCTCTGAGGTAGGCTGGGCTGAGATTGAGTGACTAGCCCAAAATAACTCAGCTGGCTTTCCTGGCTAAGGTGGGATTTGAACTCGCCGTCTCCTGCTTTCTAGCCTGGAGCCTTAACCGCTAGATCAGCGGTTCTCAACCTGTGGGTCGGGACCCCATTTCATGGGGGTCGCCAAACAACGCAGTCCGCCATTTTTTCCCCCTTTTCCTTAGCTGTGCTACTCCCTTTTATTCTATTGGCTTTTGAAAGCCAATAGAATAGACTCTCTTGAATAGAGTCTAATTCTATTGGCTTTCCAAAGCCAATAGGAATTGTCCAGGCTGTCTCTGCCCTGCTGAGCCCGCCAAAAGTCCCATTCTGCAAACAGTGTGCACCAGTTGAGTAGTCCTCGACTTACGACCGGTTGAGTAGTCCTCAACTTACGACCGGTTGGGGCTTGCGGCATTAAAAAGGTTGAGAACCACTGCGCTAGATCAAACTGCCTCTCCATTAATCATGAATCAATATAACATTCTGGCTAATTTTTAAAGAGAGAATATAATACTGCAGGCCACTTTAGTTGACTGTGTTCAGCAGGTCAGCGGTTCAAATCTCACCGGCTCAAGGTTGACTCAGCCTTCCATCCTTCCGGGGTAGGTAAAATGAGGACCCAGATTGTTGGGGGCAATGTAAATATATATATATATATATATATATATATATATATATATATATATATATATATATATATATATATATATATACATTGCTTACTGGTGTACACCGCTTAGAGAGTGCTTGCACTTAAAGCGGTATATAAGTCTCATAAATAAATAAACTTACCTTTGTGTAGGAAAGCTACAGAATATGTCACTTCTTTGGCATTTGTAGTGGCCAGGCTGTAACACAAACACAAGCTTCCTAGGAAGGAAAAATATTATTAAGAAACTGAAAATATGGAGTTTCCACTTTTTTTTTTTTTTTTGAGATTTTGAAGGAAGCAAGCATCCTTCTCTTGTACACAAACCTGTGTCGCTGGTAAAAATATGCACATCCAAAGACTTGGGTGTAACTTCTTGGTCTTGATAACAGCTATAATTCAAGTTCACAGATCTGGGAAGAGAAAACAGGAGATACTACTGCATCATCATCATCATCATCATCATAATGTTGGAAGGGACCCTGCAGGTCATCTACTTTACTGAAATATGTTCCATACTCTAAATAAATCAATAAACTGACATTCATAATCCTTGCGAAAGGAATCAATAGGGATGTCTGCAACACAAGTACACTGTTTCATTGTAAAGATGCTGATGCTGATGATAATAATAAAGTTGGAAGGGACCTTGGAGGTCATTTAGTCCAGCCCCCTGCTTATGCAGGAGAACATATATCATTTCAGACAAATGGCTGTCCAGTCTCTTCTTAAAAATCTCCAGTGTTGGAGCCTTCACTGTTTCTGGAGGCAGGTGGTTCCACTGGTTAATTGTTCTAACTGTCAGGAAATTTCTCCTAAGTTCTAGGTTGCTTCTCTCCTTGATTAGTTTCCATCCGTTGCTTCTTGTCCTGCCTTCAGGTGCTTTGGAGAATAGCTTGACTCCCTCTTCTTTGGGGCAGCCCCTGAGATATTGGAAGACTGCTATCATGTCCCCCTTCGTCCTTCTCTTCATTAAACTAGATGATTGATTTTAACTCAGTTTAACTATTTTGGAAGGATAGGCATACAGTCCCAACAACTCAAATGATTTGCAGAGGTGAGGTCCATTAGCAACATGCAAACTGCCCAGCAGTGTAGATTAGCTATCCCTGATTATAATGATACAGCTATGATGGGTTGAAACGCTTATGCAGAATTCTCCTTACACCTATTTGTAAATATGTACCATCTAGGTGTATTTTCTTGTCTTTCTAGGTCCTTTTAGAGCAGGGGTCTTCAAGCTCGGCCCTTTGATGACTTGTGGACTTCAACTCCCAGAATTCCTCAGCCATCATGGCTGGCTGAGGAATTCTGGGAGTTGGAAGTCCACAAGTCATCAAAGGGCCAAGTTTGAAGACCCCTGTTTTAGAGGATTGCGGGGTGTCCCCCCCATTTTTATATATTTTTTCAATTTTTTTTAAAAAATGTATTTACTGTATTACATTCACAGAAGCAAAGAGAAATCCCCCCCCCCGTAAACTCACTTTAATCTTATGTCAGCCACAGAAATCTCTAAAGGTGCTTCGAGCTGTTTAAAAAACAAAAAGAGATATGAGGATTTTGCAAGCAACACTATTTCTGTTGAACACAGAACATCAACCCCAAAGAGTCACAATAAGAATAAAACCAGTTGTACAGTGCCTCCTACTGGTCAATACATAATATAACGTTTCTAGGCTTTACATTATGCTCTCTGCTCCTGGTTTGAGATACCCTTTACTTTTGGAAGTGTTGATTTGTTAAAGGAGGCAGGTTACATGTGTTTAATAACCAGCGTGCACTGAAATACACAAGGAGTAGATGTTAAGTTCACATATACTGCACTAAACCATGATGTAAATTTGCTTGCTTCCAAATAATGTCAGAATGCAATCAAATGTGGCTTATTTAAATTTTCTTTAAGCCTATATATATGCGATTTTTGTTTACGATTCAAAAATAGATATTATCCTTTTCATTCATCATCACCCCAAAAAAACACCTCCACATAGTTTAACATTACTTTCAATATATAAAACCTCCAGGAGAACTTACTATTAGTTTAAAGTCTTTATTGGGGTAAAATTGGATGCAATTTAATGTGTCCCGTTCTTCCTACAATAAAAAAAAACATAATATTAACAGAGACTGAAGTTTGATCTGTGGAGGTAAACATCCTGGCTCCAGAAAATCTAAGTTATTATTATTATTATTTTTAATTGCAAATGAAAGTTTCTCAACAGATTCTTCACGGTGGACCAAAAAAAGGGGGGGGGAAGAATAATTGATTTGCATCTTTTCTTTTGCAACTTTGAGCTCTCCCTGATCAGACAATGCAAAATTAAGGTTTTCGTTAAGAGGAGAGTCAACAAATGCAGACTGTAGCTACAAGTTATTATTATGGCATATCCAACTGAATACAGGTAGTCCGTGACTTACAAGAGTTTCTTTAGTGACCATTCAAAATTACAAAACCACAATACACCTTTGGTATTATGAATTAACCAACCGTATATTTCATTCGCGAGAAAAATCCTTTGGTTTTTAGTTACAATAGCTTTAATTACTAACTTTGATGGTATCTGGAAAAACAAATCTTATTATTTTAGCGCATGGATCCGTTTTCTATCAAGACATCAGATTCTGACACGAAACAGCATAATTTTCATTCAGAGGAAAACCAAAATCAAAGGTAAGATAAGGAAGGATGAAAGAAACAATGTCATTTACAAAATCAATTTGCAATCAGTTCTACGTGGGACAAACCTCACGTCAATTAAAAAACAGGATCCACGAACACTGGCTGGCAGTCAAATGCCACAATCACAATCAAATGCCTGGCTGAGGAATTCTGGGAGGGGCCTTCAAACTTGGCCCTTTCATGACTGGTGGACTTCAACTCCCAGAATTCCTTAGCCAGCAGGCCTGGCTGAGGAATTCTGGGAGTTGAAGTTCACCAGTCATAAAAGGGCAAGGTTTGAAGACCCCCACTCTATATCATCATAAACCAGATTTTTTTTTAATCCCACTTTTATTATTGTTATAAATAACTCATGGTGACAAATGTGCCTAATATTTCTTCCTCCTCTTTTCCCTACAAAAACAACCCTGTGAGGTGGGTTAGGCTGAGAGGGAGGGACTAGCTCCAAGTCACCCAATCAGCTTTCATGCCTAAAGTGAGACTAGAACTCAGCGTCTCCAGGCTTCTTGCCTGACCAAATGGGTTAACAATTTATGTTATAGTTCTGGAGCCAATTTTGTAACTGGCCTCGGAATTTCAGTATGTTTTTTTTAAAAAAAATATTTCTTGTAACAAGGGAGAGCAAGATTATTATTATTTTTCTCCTGAAGAGTCTTCCAGGTATGACTTCAATCTCCTGTAGGTTAAGAGCTCCACATCATTTTAAGATGGGGGTCAAACTGCTGCTATCAAATAACCCACCACTCATAAGACTAAGCGAACTATATGATCAAGAAAACACAAACGTTTTCACGTTTTTTCACCTTTGTGACAATATAGAAGAGTCTTTGTTCTCGCATGTCCCACTGGGACCAAATCAGATCATCGACAATTCTCTCCTTCGAAAGCCGGCTCGAAGTTTCAATCGTCTAAAAGGGAAGGAAAAGAGCACCGTTCCAGCAGAGAAATAGTACGACGTCATGTCATACAAAGAAGACAGAATAAATAGGACTGGAAGGGACCTTGGAGGTCCTCTAGTCCAGCCCTCTGCTCCAAAAAGAAACTCTATTCCATTCTGGAGAATGGCTGTCCAGACTCTTCTTGAAAAACTCCAGTATGGAGCACGCAAAACTTCTGGAGGCAAGTGGTTCCACTGATTAACTTTTCTCACTATCAGGACATTTCTCCTTAGTTCTAGGTTAGATCTCTCTTTAATAAGATTCCACCCATTGCTTCTTGCCCTGCCCTCAGTTGCTTTGGATAATAGGTTAGAATAGAATAGAATAGAATAAGGAATAGAGTAGAATAGAGTAGAATAGAGTAGAATAGAATAGAATAGAATAGAATAGAATAGAATAGAATAGAATAGAATAGAACAGAACAGAACAGAACAGAACAGAATAATGGAATGAAGAATAGAATAGAATGGAATGAAGAATAGAATAGAATGGAATGGAACGGAACAGAACAGAACAGAATAGAGCTGGAAGGGACCTTGGAGGTCTTCTAGTCCAGCTCCCTGCTCAAGCAGGAGAACCTATTCCATCTCAGCCAAGTGACTGTCCAGTCTCTTCTTAAAAACCTCCAGTGATGGAGTGCCCACGATTTCTGGCGGTGAGCTGTTCCACTGGTTACTTGTCCTCACTGTCAGGAAGTTTCTCCTTAATTCCAGGTTGCTTCTCTCTTGGGTCAGTTTCTACCCGTTGCTTCTTGTCCTGCCTTCAAGAATAGCTTGACTCCCTCTTCTTTGGGGCAGCCCCTCAAATGCTGGAAGACTGTTATCACGTCACCCTAGTCCTTCTCTTTGATAGACTAGACATATCTAGTTCCCTCAATCATTCATCGTATGGTTTAGCCTGCAGATCTCTGATCATCTTTGTTGCTCTTCTCTGCACTCTTTCTCAGATCTCAACAGCTTGTATTGTGTTGGCAATGAGTTTCATCTTACCTTGTAATAATTCATCAAAAATCACACCAGATCTCTGCCCAGGTAATTATTTTCTACATCTTGAAATACGACATTTAGGACAAAACTGGGGCATTTTTCACTCTGCCCGATCTCATTTCAGCCCCAACAAAAAAAGCATAAAAGGGCAGAAAATTAAAACATACCACCCGGTCTCCTTCTTTGACAGTTCTGACGTCCAATTTTTCAGCATCTTAAGAAAGATAAATACAATTTTAGGCGACAGGTGTCAAGGTACGGAGCATCAGGTAGATTGAACGTGATTTAACAAATCTATATATTTGTTCGTTTCTGTTATCAGGGTTCAAAGGAGAGGCTGAAGGGGCAAATAACATGTAGCGACAAAATAATACTAATACTAATAGAATAGACCTGGAAGGGACCTTGGAGGTCTTCTAGTCCAGCCCCCTGCTCAAGCAGGAGAACCTATACCATCTTAGACAGGTGATTGTCCAGTCTCTTCTTGAAATCTCCAGTGATGGAGCACCCACGATTTCTGGTGGCAAGCTGTTCCACTGGTCAATTGTCCTGTTATTCCAGGTTGCTTCTCTGATTAGTTTCCAACCATTCTTTCTTGTCCTGCCCTCTGGTGCTTTGGAGAATAATTTGACCCCCTCTTCTTTGTGGCAGCCCTTCAAATACTGGAACACTGCTATCAAGTCACCCCGATTTTATTTTGGTTAATTCAGCAGAATACAATTATTTGAAGAAGTCATCCCATTTACTCCTGTCCATAAACTCTGTCATTCTGAATAAAGGTGGAAAAAAACAAGGGGAACAACATGCAGGCAGCATTTCCTGTAGGCAGTTCTGATATGTATGTGTGTTGGTGTTCCTATTGCCTTTTAACACGCTAAAGCTAGAATCTGCCCAAGGAACTTGCAACCAGAATGCAGAACTAAAAGCACTTACATTTATCTTCTGAAATGAGTAGGAGGCAACTACTTGACAACGAGGTTTCATCTGCAACGGGATATAGAAACTGAAAAAAAAGAATTGTTCAGAGATTAAAAAAATATATTATGGTTTGCCCCCGGCATCACATAAGGGAGACTCATAATTGGATCTTATTAACATAACTTGTTATTTGAGAGACTGCCTTCACCCAACTATATCTGCCTGTCCCATCAGATCCAGAAGTAATAGTATATTTGTTGCTCGGGGTTCAGCTGTGGGGTTTTGTTAATGCTCTCTGTGTGTGGCTATTTCCTTGCAGATGTTTCATTACCAGACTAGGTAACAGCATCAGTGGCGATGATGTAACTTGGTTTGGTGATGAAACATCGGCAAGAGAACAACCAACTCAGAGAGCACCAAGATCCCACAGTCCTCCTCTCCTCCTCCTGTGTGTAAGTGGAGGACCACCGGTACAAGGTTGCTTATTAGGCTTAGTAATGAAAGAATTACAAAGACGCAAGGCCCTTTAGCGCTTTCTAGCATGCTACTAGCGTACAAATAATTTTCGAATCTGGAGGGGGGAAAAAATTAATAAAAACCACTTACTTGTACTCTGACCCAGCTATCCACAGCCTTCAAAACTTTCACATTATTAAGCGGGTGAATTTCAATGAGCAAGGTCAGACATTTAGGAACTGGAATAATAAAGAAAAAAAACAACAAAGAAGAGAATGTTAATCCATCATTCAGTGAGTTTGCGAAGTCCATTTAAGGGCGTTGAGGTCATTTGAGTACCTGTTTGAAATAGGAGTCTTTTCTCTTCCTGGACGGTCCGAAGAAAACTGATGGCTGATTTAAAAACAAAAAACAAAAAACAAGATATTGAAAATATAAGAACTGGATCACCCTCAAAGCCGACACCAGCCAGAGCATAGAACAACTCAAAGAAGCAAAGCAAAGAAGTGGGGCAGATGGGGAGAGATCTGGTCCACAGAATCACCAAGCATTGATTATTTGACTAGACGTTTTGTTGAAGAAAAGTTCAACAAAAGTAACGGTTCTGCACGCGTGCCTGGCTGAGGAATTCTGGGAGTTGAAGTCCACAAGTCATGAAAGGGCCAAGTTTGAAGACCCCTTCCAGAATTCCTCAGCCAGCGTGCCTGGCTGAAGAATTCTGGGAACTGAAATCCACAAGTCATCAAAGGGCCAAGTTTGAAGACCCCTGTCTTAAATCTAACAAACAAACTGGAGGCTGGCTGAGGAATTCTGGGAGTTGAAGTGAAGTCCCCTTCTGGGAGGAATTCTGGGAGTTGAAGTCCACAAGTCACAAAAGGGTCAAATCTGAAGACCCTTCCCAGAATTCCTCAGCCAGGCACGCTGGCTGAGGAATTCTGGGAGTTGAAGTCCACAAGTCATGAAAGGGCCAAGTTTGAAGACCCCTTCCAGAATTCCTCAGCAGCGTGCCTGGCTGAAGAATTCTGGGAACTGAAATCCACAAGTCATCAAAGGGCCAAGTTTGAAGACCCCTGTCTTAAATCTAACAAACAAAATGGAGGCTGGCTGAGGAATTCTGGGCACTGAAATCCACAAGTCATCAAAGGGCCAAGTTTGAAGACCCCTGTCTTAAATCTAACAAACAAAATGGAGGCTGGCTGAGGAATTCTGGGAGTTGAAGTCCACAAGTCATGAAAGGGCCAAGTTTGAAGACCCCTGTCCCACAGCATAGATACAAATTGGAAGTAGGGTTTTTATGAGATCTGGAAGGGTAGAATACAAATCTAACAAAAACTCAAATAAGGGAAAGTCAACATTGGAGAAGCATGACATCCTTCCATGGCAATTTCCAAATTCCTGAAAAACTTAGTAACTGAATTAAAAAAAGAGAATGAAGGGGAGGGATAATCATAAAACTGGTCAAAATCAAAGGGGTCTGTATCAATTCACAACATCACTCCACCAGGAGGACTTACCCAACAAGGTCTTTTCATGATTGATTGAGCAGCTGATCACACGCAGGTCTTTTTCGAAAGTATACAGGTGCTGTTGAAAAAGAAACGGTTGTAACCTGGGTTACGAACAGGGGTTTCCGCCACACATGCATCAGACCTGGATTTAGTTTTTAGGGTGATGCACAATTCAGGCACTGAGGTTTGTGAACCATAATCTACAGCTTCGCATTTTAGGCGAACCAATCAAGAGGTGATGTTCAGTAAATTCCAAGAAAGAAATGCATGGCTTAGTTTATTTACAAGTTGTGAATGAAGTCACTGACTCACACTGGAAGGAGGAGGAGGAGGAGGAGGAGGAGGAGGAGGAGGAGGAGGAGGAGGAGGAGGAGAATGAGGAGAAGAAGGAGAAAGAGGAGGAGGAAGGAAGGAGAATGAGAAGGAGAAGGAGAAGGAGAAGGAGAAGGAGAAGAAGAAGAAGAAGAAGAAGAAGAAGAAGAAGAAGAAGAAGAAGAAGAAGAAGAAGAAGAAGAAGAAGAAGAAGAAGAAGAAGAAGAAGAAGAAGAAGAAGAAGCAGCAGCAAAGTCGATGGGGGAAGCCAGATTCACTTAACAACCATATCACTAACTTAATAAGTGCAGGGATTCATTTAACGGCCAGTGGCAAGAAAAGTCGTACAAGGGGCAAAACTCACTGAAGAATTGACTCGCTTAGCAACATAAATTTTGGGGCTCAACTGTGGTCGTACGTCAACCTCTGTCTGTCACAGGGTTCTCTCCTAAATTTTATACTATTGGCTGAATGTTATTATGTTGACCTTTTGCTTTTAACTGCTCACTTTTGTTTGTATATGTTTATTTAACCAGACTTCATGCTGGCTGATTTCACTGCAAAAGATACAATTTTATTGGAAACAAACTGGCTTGTAACCTTAAAGACAACATTTGACTTTCAAACGGCATTTAATCCTTACAGTTTCAGCAAATAAGGCCTACCTGGTTTTTTTTATTATCCTCCTCGTACAATCCAATGTGGGTGCATTCCTGGGGTCCCTGTAAAGAAAGTGGTTGAGTTTTAAATATTCATATTTTAACCCTATTTTAAATATTTACTCTTCATTATGAAAAAGCTTTCTCTGTCAAAACTTCACCAGTTTTATTTTGGGGTTATTGACAGTCTGGGATATGCCAGGTGGCATCCCTTCTTCCATCGTCAGAAAGCAATAGAAAACGTGAAATTACTTTACTCCTCTATATCAAGCTGCTCTTAGTACATAAAATAAAAAGACAGAGGAAAAATAATGAAGGTTTTTTTTTTCCTTCATTAAAATAATAGAAAGCTTAGAATCGTATTTATGCCACGGCGTCTTTCAGTCGTTAATCCGATGTTAAGAAAACCTAACTTGATTTAAATGCACTCCCTTGTTTTTATTTTGTTCGTTGCCTGGGATTATTTGGGCAGAGAGGGATGGTCACGTCTTTGATAAAATAAAATATAAATATAAACTTCCCTTCACCTTTTTCTCAGGACAGAAAAGTAGTGTGAACGCATGGAGATCCCTTCCTGATACTCTTTTCATTTTGGTATCATTTATTTCATTCTTTGTCCGTGTCCCCATCTCTTTGTCACCTGGCAAAAACTACGTTGGGAAATTAAAAACTCACTAAGGTTGGTCTTAGAGCAGAGTGCAGAGAAGAGCAACAAAGATGATCAGGGGACTGGAGGCTAAAACATGCAATGAACAGTTAGGGGGACCTAGGTACATCTTGTCTAATGAAGAAAAGTTTTAGGGGGGACATGATAGCAGTCTTTCAGTCTTGAGTTGTCACAGAGAAAAGGGTGTCAACCTATTCTCCAAAATATCTGAGAATAGGACAAGAAGCAATGGGTGGAAGATGGTTAAAAGAGAGAAGCAACCTAGAACTAAAGAGGAATTTCCTAACAGTGTGAACAATTAATCAGTGGAAGCTTCCAGAAGTTGTAGGTGCTCCATCACTGGAGGTTTGGAAGAAGAGATTGGACAGCCATTTGTCTGAGATGGTCTAGGTCAGGGGTAGGCAACCTTGGCTCTTTTATGACTCGTGGACTTCATCTCCCAGAATTCCTGGGCCAGCATGGCTCAGCTTGGAAACCTCTCCCTGTCCCCTCAGCGTGGCTGGCTCAGGAATTCTGGGAGTTGAAGTCCACGAGACATGAGGGGGCCATAGTTCCCCCATGCTGGCTCAGGAATTCTGGGAGTTGAAGTCCACGAGACATGAGGGGGCCATAGTTCCCCCATGCTGACTCAGGAATTCTGGGAGTTGAAGTCCACGAGTCATAAAAGAGCCAAGGTTGCCTACCCCTGCCCTATATCAGGGGTCCTCAACCTTGGCTCTTTTATGACTTGTGAACTTCCAGAATTCCTGAGCCAGCATGGCTCAGCTTGGAAACCTCTCTGTCAACGCTGCAAATATTGAAGAATATGTATATTCTTCAATATACAATATTTGCAGCGTTGACACTCTCCCTTTCCCCTCAGCATGGCTGGCTCAGGAATTCTGGGAGTTGAAGTTCACAAGTCATAAAAGAGCCAAGGTTCCCGACCCCTGGTATAGGGTCTCCTGCTTGAGCCGGGGATTGGACTAGATGACCTCCAAAGACCCCTCTGTTAATCTGTATTCTGGTGTTGTAGTTCATTTTGATGAGCAATGGACCTCATTCTTCAGGCCCAACTCAAGATTCCATTGACAGTAAAAATCTACTTGCTCCAGGGAATTACATACGACCATTTCTCAAGTAAAAAAACAAATTGGCCTTACCTTCCAAGTATAAAGAACATTTCCATTTCTTTCCACGTTTATGATATGCGGCGTTTCCAAATGATTTCCCCCAGCATCTAAAAAAGGTAAGCATGAATGTATTACCAACTCTCTCAGTCCAATTGTACAGGAAAGTCAACATCTGAAAAGAATAGGCAAACATGATGTAAGACAGGAGTCCCCAACATGTGGGTTGCAGCCCGGTACCGGTCCGTGGCCTATTGGCCACAGGAATGGCTGGTGAGTGAGCACACGTGTGCTTGCACCCTCCCCACTCGTGCTAATGCCGCCATGCGGGCGCTAGCAGCCCCGTTTGCACATGGCTAGCACCGCCGCCAGCATCATGCAGGTACTAGTGCCCTGTTTGCACATGCGCACGTGCACTAGCAGCCCATTTGCGCATTCGTGCAGGTTCCAGTGCTGCCACCAGCGCCGCTGTGGGTACATGCGCCCCGCTTGTGCTAGTGCCGCTGCCGGGCGTGTGCCTGTTTTGCGCATGCACAAGCCTGTACATGCTCCTTCCTTTCCCTCTGGGCTACTAACCCGGAAAGATTGGGAAGCTCTGATGTAAGAGATGAGCAGGCTGAGCGGGAAGGTGGGGTTAAATGTGTCATAAGTTGAGAATCACTGCATAGGCACAAGAAATCCTGTGTTCAGCTCTGCCATGAATTCTGTTGACTCTTATCTAGTGCCAATTTGACCATCGGTATAGGTAGCAATCTTGATGTACGCCCACAGTTGAGCCCAAAATTGACGTTGCTAAGTGAGATATTTGTTAAGTGAGTTTTGCCTCATTTTACGACCTTTCTTGTCACGGCTGTTCAGCGAATCACTGCAGTTGTTAAGTAAATCTGTTTTCCCCATTGACTTTGCCGGTCAAGTCACAAAAGGGGATCACGCCACTTGAGGACACGGCAACCGTCATAAATATGAGTCAGCCACCAAGCGGTTGAATTTTGATCCCATAACCAAGGGGAACGCTGCAACGGTCGTAAGTGTGAGAAACAGTTATAAGTCACTTTGAATAGTTACTAAATGAACTGTTTTAAATCAAGGTCTACCTGTAAGGAACTCTGCTATGCTTCGAACTCAACAAAAGCTCCTGGGTCACGCGTCGTGTTTACAGTCAATTCGAATACAGTAAAAATAACTTTTTCCAGCTTTGTTCAGCGGCTTTAGTAAGGAGTGACGTTCCTGCGTCATGAATAGGATCGCTGTTTGGAGGCCAAGTCTCAGAGTAGGCCAAATCTTAACATCACATGGATAATATTATTAAATTTGAGAACAGTGGAAAACAAATTGAGCACTTATCCATAGGAAGGAATTGATCTACCACATGAATTTATTTGAAGACTCTAATGCGTTAACGGTTCTAATCTTTTTTCAAAAGATCCTTTGAACAAAGCCGCATCGCCTTTTTAATTCTCGCAAGCAATAAAATAGACAATAACGGCATTTTGAATTGGTTCATTATTTACAGAAATACACTCCATCGTAAATCCAGTGGAATATAGAATAGTGGGTGCCACTGACTTTGGGACGGTTTTAACTTATTTCACAGCAAACCGGGATGCTTTGCAAAAAAAAGGGGGGGGAGATCCCAATATTTTGGGGTACATCTGTGCATCTTTCAACGGCGTTGAACTTCAAAAAGATGAGTAGAAATGTTAGTATGTCGATTAACGTCCCCAAAGACAGACACAGGGATTGTCTCACCTACCCAAACTACATCACAATATTTCAGATTGATTCAAGAAATAGAACATTCCATCTGCAAAAAATTAGTAGATTGGAAAGAAACGATGAGCTAAAATGGATGGGAGGGCACTCAAATCAAACGTATATAAATGTGAGGGGTGGAGTTCCGTTCTCCGAGCTTATGGGGTGGTTTCTGAATGTTTTGTTACCTTAAACAAGAAGTCCTTGACTTACAACCTCAACTGAGCTCATGTAGTTCTGTAGTTTACAATTATACTAAACTTTGGCAACAGTATTCCTGGAGCCTAGTAATGCAAGCCCCCCATCACAACATCCTATGCTCCCAAAAGGAATGGAGCAGTTAAGAGTCCAGAGACCCCACTGCTTACTTGGAGTAAGTTAATTCACTAGGGCTGAGAAACAAAATTGGATTCTGCTATCGCTAATAACAATATGCTTAATACCTATACAAGAAGGACCAGGGGTGACATGATAGCAGTGCTCCAGTATCTCAGGGGTTGCCCCAAAGAAGAGGCAGTCAAGCTATTCTCTCCAAAGCCCCTGAAGGCAGGACAAGAAGCAACGGATGGAAACTAACCGAGGAGAGAAGAAACGTGGAACTAAGGAGAATTTTCCTGACAGTGAGAACAATTAACCAGTGGAACAACCTGCCTCTAGAAACTGTGAATGCTTCAACACTGGAAGTTTTTAAGAAGAGGCTGGACAGCCATTTATCCGAAATGGTATAGGGTTTCCTGCCTGACCACGGGGTTGGACTAGAAGATCTCTAAGGTCCCTCCCAACTATTCTATTCTATTCTATTCTATTCTATTCTATTCTATTCTATTCTATTCTATTCTATTCTATTCTATTCTATTCTGTTCTGTTCTGTTCTGTTCTGTTCTGTTCTACTCTACTCTGCATTCTATTCTATTCTATTCTATTCTGTTCTGTTCTGTTCTACTCTACTCTGCATTCTATTCTATTCTATTCTATTCTGTTCTGTTCTACTCTACTCTGCATTTTATTCTATTCTATTCTATTCTATTCTATTCTATTCTATTCTATTCTATTCTACAATCTGTCTACTCTACTCTACTCTACTCTATTCCCTATTCTATTCTATTCTATTCTATTCTATTCTATTCTATTCTATTCTATTCTATTCTACTCTACTCTACTCTACTCTACTCTACTCTAATTCTATTCTGCAATGTCCTTTGTAGAGAAGCTCTCCTAAATAAATTTTGTCTTACCCAAGGAAACAGTTTGCACAATGCCCAAACTTCTAGTGTTATTGTTTGCTTTGTAGAAATGTGAAGATCAATAACAAGCCAGTGCTGAGTTATACATAAACGCTCTTCCTCCATCTCTGAGAAGAAAGAAACTGCAACTATATGTGTCAAGCTGTGACACAAAGAAAGAAGGCTGGCGTATACACGATAGATGGTTAGCAGGAAGTTGGAATGAATTATGATTTCCTCCTGTCTAGCAGTTTTCAGCTCTCTTTTTCAATTATTAGTGCTACAAGGTGACCTTGTCACCTTTTAAGGAAGTTTCAATAAAAATTCAGTTGGCACTTGGTTATTTTTTGCCCAGATATGCAAATAGACTCAAAAGTCTCCATCATTCACGGAAAAAAAAATGGAGGTCACAGTAAAGATAAACTGAGATAGAGACTAGAAATGTATATATATAGGTATATTATATGTAATTAATGTACAATATGGACTGAGATGTCAGTCAAAGACGATTTACCATGTTCAATGTTTTTAATTCTTTTTTTTCTTTGTACTTAATAAAAATTTAAAAAATATTTTAAAAAAAAGTCTCCATCATTCTCCGCCCTGATCTTTACTAAGGTTTAGTAACTGAGATGAGATCCAGCCCAACCTAACAACTGCAGTGATTGGCTTAATAACTGTGCCAAGAAAGGTTGTTAAAATGGGCAAAACTCACTTAACAACTGTCCCTTTTAGCAACAGAAATGTTGCGCTAAATTGTAGTTGTAAATTCCGGGCTACCTATAAATACTGTGGTACACCTATGATGGAAATATGTCTGAGGAATTGTGAGAGGGGTCTTCAAACTTGGCCCTTTTATGACTTGTGGACTTCAACTCCTAGAATTCCTCAGCCAGTGTGCCTGGCTGAGGAATTCTGGGAGTTGAAGTCCACAAGTCATGAAAGGGCCAAGTTTGAAGACCCCTCCCAGAACTCCTCAGCCAGGCACGCTGGCTGAGGAATTCTGGGAGTTGAAGTTCACCAAAGGGCCAAGTTCGAAGACCCCTTGACTTGTGGACTTCAACTCCCAGAATTCCTCAGCCAGCGTGCCTAGCTGAGGAATTCTGGGAGTTGAAGTCCACAAGCCATCAAAGGGCCAAGTTTGAAGTTCCCTGCATTAGGATCCCGTTTTTCCAACTTTTGCGCTGAAAGACCCCAACAAGGCAGAGATCCGTCTGGCTCGCTCGCCCTGCTCCTGATCGCCTCGACCCCTCGTTTTGCACACACCCCCCCATGCAAGCAATTCTGGGGGGGACTTTTTGGGGGGGGGTTCTCCTCCTGCTTGCTTGCACCCCAGCTGAGGTTTGCAAAGCCCAGCCCGGTGCTCACCTGCGCTCCCCTCTCGGCCCGCCCGCTCCGCGAGCCAAGGCGCCACGTCCCGGGAAGGCTGGAAGCGAGCGCTCAGCTGGCAGAGCATCGCCCGGAAAACGGCGCCCAGCCCGGCGGCTGCAGCGGAGGAAAGCGCTCCGGAGGGTGCGGGCGCCGCTGGGCTGGCCTCGCCGGGTAGAGACTCCCTTTAGGACCCGGGGGAGCAGCGGCGGCGCTTCCATCCGCTCTGCCTTCCCCAGCGCTGCTTTCACTTCTGCATCAGCTGCGGCAGCCCCGCGCTCCAGCGGGCTAATTAGGCGGGGAAGCGCTTTCCTATTGGAGGCGGCGCGCGTCCTTCAAGGGGAGCCTGGAGGGGCGGGACCGGCTCTTCTGCGCGGGGGGTGTGTGTGTGTGGAGAAGCAGCTGCGCGCCGGACGGAGCAAATGCCGGAATTGCTATTATTATTATTACTAATATTTTTTTGCAGATAGTTCATCTTTATTTATTTTTTAACAATTTTTTTATTAATTTTTTTTAACAATCTTTTTTATTAATTTTTTTTCCCATCAAAGTATGTTAATTTTTCCAATCAACAAGTTGTCTGGAGTTTGCTAAGCTAACGCATGTTCAATTCCTAATCCTTCATTCTTTTCTCTAACCAAGAATAAAATAAATTCCAAATTTGATAGTAGTCCGTGTCTTCTTTGTCTTTAAGCCTCAGAGTTAGTCTGCCCATCTTTGCACATTCCAATATTTTCATGATTATTTCTTCCTCTGATGAAATTCCTTCCTCTTACTACTATTGTTGTTTGTTGTTTGTTGTTATTATTGGTCATCGCGCAGTCAGCCGGATGTTGAGACTGGATTTGGCATTTTAGTCCTCGTTATTACTGTTATTGTTGTTATTATTATTATTTTAATTATTATTATTATTTGCACAGTCAGCCACATGTTCAGACTGGATTTGGCATTTTTGTCATTATTAGTATTGTTGTTGTTGTTATGGTTATTATTATTGATCATCGGACACTCAGCCAGGTGGTCAGACTGGATTTGGCATTTTTGTCATTATTAGTATTAGTATTAATCCTTACACACTCAGCCAGATGTCCAGACTGGATTTGGCATTTGTGTTTATTATTCTTGTTATCGTTATTCTTGATTATCCCAGAGGCAGCCAGATGTTCAGGCTGGATTTGGCACGTTTATTATTGTTATTATTGATCATCACAGAGGCAGCCAGATGTTTAGACTGGATTTGTCATCATCATTATTATGATCATCGCACAGTCAGCCAGATGTTCAGACTGGATTTGGCATTTTGTCTACCTATCGAGTCCTTCCCAAGGACCTGGGATAGGCAGATGTGGATGTTTGATGATATTACAGGTATCGTCGCAGGATGGAAGCAGTTCCTAGTAAGGCCGCCTTTTGCAATTTGATGGCGAGTTTGTCAATGCCAATGGTGTTCAAGTGGTGCTCCAGTTGTTTTGGGATTGCACCCAAGGAGCCTATTACTACTACTACTACTACTACTACTACTACTACTACTACTACTACTACTACTACTACTACTACTACATCATCATCATCATCATCATCATCATCATCATCATCATTATTATTATTATTATTATTGTTATTATTATTATATCCCTTGGTTGCTTCCCCCACCGGGATGCCCAGGGAGGGCTCTGTCCTGCTGGGAGCGGCTCATGTAGAGCATCGCATCAGGATCGGCAGCAGCTGCGTTTGCAAGTCTTTGGGGTCCCTTAAGGAAGAAGGAAGGGTTGCCAATAAAGGAAAATATTCCACTTAGGGTTAGGGTTAGGTCACCATGAACTCGTAGAGCAAAATGGACATCGCCAACAAACCCGGAGTGCTTGGGTATGGTTAGGAGGGCAGTGACTTTTCTAGGCTGCCCTATCTATGTTTCCTGGCAAAATACATGGGAAAATCCCATTGGAGGAAAATTCCACTTAGGGTTAGGTCACCATGAACTCATAGAGCAAAATGGACATCGCCAACAAACTCGGAGTGCTTGGGTATGGTTAGGAGGGCAGTGACTTTTCTAGGCTGCCCTATCTATGTTTCCTGGCAAAATACATGGGAAAATCCCATTGGAGGAAAATTCCACTTAGGGTTAGGGTTAGATCACCATGAACTCATGGAGCAAAATGGACATCGCCAACAAACTCGGAGTGCTTGGGTATGGTTAGGAGGGCACTGACTTTTCTAGGCTGCCCTATCTATTTTTCCTGGAAAAATACATGGGAAAATCCCATTGGAGGAAAATTCCACTTACGGTTAGGGTTAGGTCACCATGAACTCATAGAGCAAAATGGACATCGCCAACAAACTCGGAGTGCTTGGGGATGGTTAGGAGGGCACTGACTTTTCTAGGCTGCCCTATCTATTTTTCCTGGTAAAATACATGGGAAAATCCCATTGGAGGGATGAAGCACCCACAACTTCTGGAGGCAGGGTGTTCCACTGGTTAATTGCTCAGATCTGACTGTTGCAGGACTTTGAATTACTCTTCAGCTCTCATTAAATCCCTGCTATTTTATATCTATATAAACTGGGTCACACACATTAACCAGTGAGATAAAGGACAAGCATTTGCAGAATGTAGCAAACCTGGTTAGAGCTAACCTTGGTTAGGATTGTGTAGCTTAGTGTGGTGGTCAAATGGAACCTATGGATTGTGGATAGGTAGGAGATTGACACCTTTGATCTTTGGTGTGGGTTCTGAGGCTCAGGAGAGAATTAAGAAAAGAAATGGACCATCAGACAAATCAATCCAGACTTCTCACAAATGAGCAAGTTTAACTGCCACTTATCTGATTGTGGCCTAGTCTGTGGCCCTTCCTCCTATCTCTCAAGGTCATTTCCACATGCCATAAAAATGTATACTCTTTGGGGAGAGACTACAGCTTCAGGATGTAGATGTAATAATTGCACCCAGTTGTCTGTCCCTGATGTCCCCAATAATATATATTGACACAAATTCACAAAATACAAACCATCTTTATTATTTGTTAACAATCGAATGTGAAGCACAGTTTCATATTAAAGGCAACAATGAAATGGAAGGTAAAAACTGAGGCTTCGTCTTCCAAGGACCCAGGACTTTTTCTAAATTATGATGACTTGGACTGACTAATTGTGATAAATTTATTCATGTGTATAACCCTGATTTGGATACAGCCTTGTGGGAACTGAAGTCAATGCAAGGCTGTTGTAGGAGATGACCAGGCTGAGCCCGAGGGAGGGGGGTAAAACGTGTCATCAGTCTTGAGTCCTTTTGTACCCACAAGGGATCTCAGTCCAGACCACCGTGAATTCTGTGGCTTCTTATCTACCGCTAATTTCCCTTTGGCTGTTAGTAGCTCAGATTCTTGTAGAGAGAGCTTCGATAAATCCTTATACGCATTTGAACTGCCTCAGTTTCTTGATTCCCCTGGCGTTTGGCAGCTTCCTGACTAAAGCAATGGATGGTCAAAGAAGGATTTGAATTGAGCCCACTCAACCTGTCCACCCCATCTCAAGTGAAATGCAAAAATACCCCCAAACCTACCTCAAATTAACCCTTAGTTTACATCTGATGCGCAACCTTAATTTTAGGACCAAAAAACAACAACTCCACAGTGAACTCGGTATGAGGGAAGCAGTGAAATCCTTAGATCTTGGCTGGTATTCCGAAATGCAACATTAAATGTTGGTTAGCTTATTATTCCAGTGGGAAGTTTAACTGTTATATTAATGGGATGGAGCATTCGTGACAATGGTCCGAAAGAGTCTTTCGTTTACGGAAGAGAAAGTTAAGATAATAACTTAGGGACGTCGTGCGTTTCGGTGCGTTGGAAGTCTCTTTCCTCTTCCGAAGGAACAAGTGTGTCAAGGAAGGTCCTAAAGTGGGGCAAAATTCACTTAGTGACTGTCTTGCTTAGCAGCAGAAATTTGGGGCTCCATATTGGTCGTAAGTGGGGGACACACACCGGAATCAAAAGTAATCTTCCCATGTGTTCCCTATTGAAACAGGTCAAACTATTCCCATTAGTCTCGCCTACCCCGCTGCTCCCTTTTTGAATTGAAGAACGGTTTAGCCGCCGCCCTACGGTTGTTTCCCCCATTGCTTGACAGTATTTTGAATAAACCATTTTTGACCTGTGCAATTTTGCATCACTGGAGCATAGTAGGGAGAACCGTGATCCTTCGCAAGTTCAAGACACCTTTTCGTTTTCCTGTTGATTACAGATGATCCCTGGAATAAAAAAAAAGTAATATTTTTTTTAAAAGGCACATAATTGAATTCAGTGCCTGTAAATATTTATTATTCAGTGTATCCCCTGTCTTTACTTTGCGTCAACACCATAGCAATAGCACTTAGACTTATATACCATTCCACAGTGCTTTACAGCCCTGTCTAAGCAGTTTACAGAATCAGTCAGTTTCCCCCTCCCCAACAATCTGGGTCCTCATTTGCCCGACTGCGGAAGGATGGAAGGCTGAGTCAACCTTCAGCCATTGAGAATCGAACTGCTGGCAATGGGCAGAGTTAGCCTGCAATACTGCATTCTCACCATTAAGCCACCACGGCGTACGTAGCAATAGCAATAGCACTTAGACTTATATGCTGCTTCACTGTGCTTTACAGCCCTCTCTAAGCGGTTTACAGAGTCAGCCTGTTGCCGCCAACAATCTGGGTCCTCATTTTATCGACCTCGCAAGGACAGGAAGCTGAGTCAACCTTGAGCCAGTCAGGATCGAACTCCTGGCAGTGGGCAGAGTTAGCCTGCAATGCTGCGTTCCCACCACTGCGCCACCAAGGCTCCCTCAATTAAATGCTTACTTGCGTGAAATCCCAGAGCATGTTCAGGCCTTTTTTCTTCGCTTCATTACATTGTTCAATGACTGGCAGCTTTCCTTCTCCAGGGTCTGTCAAGCATCTGTCAACCGTGTTGCGCCGGGATCGTATACCTCCCACAAAGAATTCTCCAGTGCTGTGATAGAACATGTGCTGGAAATACAGGGTGTCTGCAGCTTTTACAACCGTTCGTTTCGTGACCGTTCAAAGTCTCCTGCGTTGAGCAGGGGGTTGGACTAGAACAGAGGTCTCCAACTTTCTGGGCTCACGGCCCGGAGGGAAGGAGCGCAGCTTCTAAATTGGTACACGAGCGCATGCAAATGGGACCGCACACACTGGCATGGCAATAGCAGCCCTGTTTGCACATGAGCAAACAGGCCACTCACACCCACCTGGCACTAATGACCTCGTTCGCATGTGCACAAACAGGCCATGCATACCCGCCCTGCACTAGCGGTCCCATTTGTATATGCACTAGTGTCCCCATTCGTGCATGTGCACAAACGGGCCACACATACCTGCCCTGCATGCATAAAAGGGCCATGCACACTTGCCCACACTAGTGGTCCTATGTGCACATGCACAAAGAGACCATGCACACCCACCCAGTGCTGGTGGCCTCATTCTCGCCTACATGCATTTGCAAATGGGGCCGCAGGCTGTAGCTTGAGTGGAGGGGGAGTGAGTGTGGGTGTGTACGCATGTGTGCATCGGCCAGCCACTGCTGCAACCCATTGCCCAAGAGGCCATAGACTGGGGACTCCTTGTTGTGATTCCTCGCCAGCCAGTGGACTCGGCAGCTGGGTCTGAGGAATCAGAGCAGGAGGAGGAGGAACCTGGAGTGACATCAGAGTCAGAGGAAGGCTCTGAGGAGCTCCAAGACTTACAGTCGGACGAAGAGCCTGGCCCTTCTACTCGCGCGCAGGCTGAGACACAGCTGTGCTGGGAGCCTGAGTTGGACAGTGATGAAGAACAGCTGGAACAAATCCCGGATGCACAAATGCACAGGCAAGAGAAGCGAGTAGGACAGAGGAATGCGATGGGGCGGCTCAAAAGGCAAAGGAGAAGGCATTAGGAAGCCACGCCTTGGGCTGCATAATAAAAGGGAAGGTGTGGGAGGTGCTGGTGGCTGAAGGCAGCCGTTCGTGTTGAGGAATCGAGTTTCTGTGGACTGTGTTTGTTCGCCTTGGACATGGACTCAGGTCTGTGAGAATAAAAGGGGTTGGTTTTTTCTTGCGGTTCCTGCCTGCTTCTTGGAAGAGGGGTTTCTCCTTGTGAGCAGAACAAGGACTCACGTAGGCTGGGACAGAACACTCCTGAACTATAAGACCTCCAAGACCCCCCTGGAAACCGTATTATTCTACATTCGATGGAATTAGCATTTTCGTCACTGTCTTGACATTTCCAGAAAAAGTACAATGCCGTCTTACCTGAGGGCTGTATCCATGGCAGATGTACAATATGGGAGTGTTCCCAGGAACCGGCCCTTGATCTATGCAGTTTTCCTCACTTAGCGGGTTTTTCATCTACAGGGTAAGGGAGAGCAAAGAGCTGGATTTAAAATCCCAACTCATTGAGCCTGCAAACCAGGATCAATAGAACAAAGCAGAATGTGATAGAGTCAGTTCTCGGCTTATGACTGTTCATTTAGTGACCGCTCAAAGTTACAACGGCCCTGGAAGAAAGTGTCTTATGACTGTTTTTCACATTTACGACTGTTGCAGCCTCCCCATGGTCACGTGATCAAAATCTGGACATTTGGCAACTGGCTCATAACTGTGACGTCGCAGCATCCCCTTGGGGTCACGTGATCCCCATTTGCGATCTTCTGACAAGCAATGTCAATGGAGGGAAGCCCCAATTCGCTTAACAACCACGTTACTAACTTATCAACTGCAGGGATTCACTTAACAATTACGGAGAGAACAGTTGTCAAATGGGGCAAAACTCACCTAACAAATGTCTCACTTAACAGCTGAAAGTTTGAGCTGTAAAATGCTATGGGGCACTATATAAGCCTAAATAGCCATGGCCATAGTAGTTAGACTTATATACCGCTTCACAGTGCTTTACAGCACATTTTAAACTCCTGGTTGAATGAAACTGAATTGAACTGAATGAAAAAAAAAAACCCTCTTACATTTCAGTCTGAACTTCCCTTATGAATAAACGTTCCATTAAACACTAAAATAAATAAAGCAAGCTAGCCAACTAACTTGGCAGACCCATTAGAAAAACAGTGTTTGTGTGTGTGTGTGTTTGTGTGTGTGTGTGTGTCTGTGTGTGTGTGTTGGGGGGGCACCTGAAATCGAGTGATGTGCTGTTTTGCAAGAAGCAAACAATTATATCATCTTACCAGCTTTTACTTACTGGTCCATAGCCTACAATGTTAACTTGAGGGACCAAGTTAGGGTAGACATTTTTGATATACCAATCAAAGCTTTTGCAGTTCAGTCGTTTCCTGAGTTCTTTTCGAGAAGAAATATCTCCGTAATCTATGCCGGAATTCTGGAAAAAGAGGACATCGGTTTCAGAGAGATGGCAAACACGTAATTCAAATGATTCAATTTAGAGATATTTCAACGTATGCTTAAAGAGGTTTGAGAGAAAACCTCGGGAGAAAATCTTAGGGGCTTTTCACGGTCTTATTCAGGCACTGAAAACATCCATGACAATTTACTTTCCCCAGTAATAAAGGGCTGTTCATTGGAAGAGGAAGAGGAAGGTCCTAGCTAGACAAGATGGGCAGTACATAAATCAAATAAATAAATTCAACAAAATAAAGTATAAAATAAATAAAATATGAAATAAAAATAAATAACATAAATTAATAAAATAAATAACATAAAATAAAATTCAATAAAATAAAATAACTAACAAGGTAAAATAAAATAATAAATAAGATAAAATATAATAATAAAGTAAAATAAAAAATAATGAAATAAAAATAAAATAAAACAAAATATAAAATAAATAAAATAAAAATAAATAAAATAAAATAATAAAATAACTAAAATAAAATAAAAATAAATAAAATAAAATAATAAAATAACTAAAATAAAATAAAATTCAATAAAATAAAATAATTAACAAGGTAAAATAAAATAATAAATAAGATAAAATATAATAACAATAAAGTAAAATAAAAAATAATAATGAAATAAAATAAAAAATAAAATAATAAAACAATATAAAATAAAATAAAAATAAAACAAAATAATAAAATAAAATAACTAATAAGGTAAAATAAAATAATAAATAAGATAAAATAATAATAATAAAGTAAAATAATAATAATAAAATAAAATAATAAATAAAACAAAATATAAAATAAAATAATAAAATAAAATAAAATAACTAATAAGGTAAAATAAAATAATAAATAAGATAAAATAATAATAATAATAAAGTAAAATAATAAAGAATAATAAAATAAAAAATAAAATAATAAACAAAATAAAACAAAATAAAATAAAATAGTCCTTCAACTCTTCAAATCATGAAACAAATAAAGTAAGAATATACCGTAATAAGAGGTCAAGAAAAATCAGTTCAAATATTAAAATTGTGACTTAGGGCAGAGACAGAGGTTTCTTCAAAGTTTTGATTGGCAGATAAACAATTCTTATCCGCCTGTTCAAGATCCACCTGATCTTTGAATATCTACCAGGCTGGGAAAGAAGGAAAGAATAATTTTTTTCTTGGGCTTCAGTCAATAAAGGTTTGGCCCTATTTTAATCCATTTCCGCTCTCTCCCTCTTCACTACAGGTTCAACTTTGATACTTGATTAGTTTCTCCTTGATTGGTTTCCACCCATTGTTTCTTGTCTTGCCTTCTGGTGCTTTGGAAAATAAATTGACCCCCTGTTCTTTGAGGGGCTGCCACAAAGAAGAGGGGGGTCAACGTATTTTCCAAAGCACCAGAAGGCAAGACAAGAAACAATGGGTGGAAACTGATCAAGGAGAGAAGCAACCTGGAATTAAGGAGAAACTTCCTAACAGTGAGGACAATTAATCAGCGGAACAGCTTGCCACCAGAAATCATGGGCGCCCCATCACTAGAGATTTTTAAGAAGAGACTAGACAGTGACTTGTCTGAGATGGCACAAGGTCTCCTGCTTGAGCAGGGGGTTGGACTAGAAGACATCCAAGGCCCCTTCCAGCTCTATTCTGATGGATTGATTGACTTCTTACACAGATAAAATTTGCCAACAACCTCAAGAGGTACGTTCCAGGCGTAGTAGACCATGTATTTATATTCGTCCATCCACACTTCTGCGACACGTAATGCATTTCTCTTCACAGCAAGGGCCAAATCCAGCAAATAGGGCTTGTGGGCTCGCTCCAGGTGTGCAATCCTTGAACACGGCAAGACTTCAACTCTCCCACTGCATTGCCAAGCCTGTTGTTGTAAAATAAGAATAGAGTCTTCAGGGGTTTTTTTTCATAAGAAAAAAATATGATTTAAAGGCTAAACAGCTTATGTAAAGATGTAATGTAATGTGACTGATGCAATAATAGGAATGATTAAGCAGGTGTGTGTATCCCTTTAAGAGCCTGAGTATAAAAGGGAAGTTTTTTGCTGGAGTCTTTCTCTCTCGTCCGTTTGACTGCTGTAATTGCGGTGCATTGGAGTTTGCTGAATTATCACCATCTGTATCTATTTTGTTTCTAATATATTTGTAGATATTGTGATGTAAACCACCATTTAATTACAAACCACTGTTTACTGTAGTTACTCCTGGGTTACCTCAGCAAAAAAAGACTGTGCATGCTCTGACAGAATAACTGCGAGACATATGATTAATCAATGGACTAAGCTGGCTTCTCTGAGTTGCGGGTGCTCCATCACTGGAAGTTTCCAAAAACAGATTGAACAACCATTTGACCAGCAGGAGATTGGACTAGAAGATCTTTAAAGTCCTTCCCAGCCCTATAATCCTACTTTCTATATAATTCTTTTTTTCTCAAGAATCCTGGCTGCAGCGAACTGGTAATTGAGGAAAGAAGCCCTACCCACTAGGCAGGCTCCCAAGAGTCCCCTGATTGGCTGCGTCTGTAAGGGTTTTTCCCTTGGGCCACACAACACCACCCACTTAGTTTGAGAAAAAACACCCAGACCTACGTCTTCGTCTACTCCAAATGATCTACAATACAGGCAGTCCTGAACTTAACAATCACAACTGAGCCCAAAATTTCTGTGGCTAAGCGAGACATTTGTTAAGTGAGTTTTGCCCCATTTTACGACCTTTCCTGCCACAGCCGTTAAGGGAACCACTACAGTTGTTAAGTCAGGAACAAGGCTGTTAAGTGAATCTGACTTCCCCATTAACTTTGCTGGTCAGAAGGTGTTGTGATTCCTCGCCAGCCAGTGGATCCGGCAGCTGAATCTGAGGAATCAGAGGAGGAGGAGGAGGAGGAGGAGGAGGAGGGGCCTGGAGTGACATCAGAGTCAGAGGAAGGCTCTGAGGAGCTCCAAGACTTACAGTCGGACGAGGAGCCTGGCCCCTCTACTTGCACTCAGGCTGAGACACAGCTGTGCTGGGAGCCTGAGTTGGACAGTGATAAAGAACAGCTGGGACAAATCCTGAATGCACGTAAGCTCAGGCAAGAGAAGCAAGCAGGACAAGAGGAAGGGGCGGCTCCAAAGGCAAAGGAGAAGGCATTAGGAAGCCACGCCTTTGCTAAATAATAAAAGGGAAGGTGTGGGAGGTGCTGGTGGCTGAAGGCAGCTGTTTGTGTTGAGGATTGAGTTTCTATGGACTGTGTTTGTTTGCCTTGGACATTGACTCAGGTGTGTGAGAATAAAAGGGGTTGGTTTTTTCTTGCGGTTCCTGCCCGTTTCTTGGAAGATGGATTTCTCCTTGTGAGCATAACAAGGACTCACGTATACTGGGACAGAATAGAAAGTTGCAAAAATGGATCACATGAACCAGTACAAAAAAAAGACAAGAAAATATTAATAATAAAAGTCTCACCCTGATGCCTAATTCCACATTTTCTCCGCCGTAAATGTGCATTCCGCCATCCAGAACACCGATCTTCCCCAAAAATTCTCTGTTCGCGGCAAGTATTCCCATGATAGAAGGACTCCTGATATGAAGAACACCAAAAGGGTCATCAGCTTTTATTCATGAATATCTATCAAGTTGGACAATGTTTGGATGAAACATTAAAGAGAACCAGGGAATGGACACAGAAACTTTTATTGATTTTCATTCCAGAGGACCAAGGGTCAGCAAACTTTAGATCGTTTGGTTGGGAGAAAGAGAGTTAAGATGGCGCCTCCCTAGAAGTTCTCAGAGTGTATCTTGAGTGTTCCTTGCTTTAGTTTAGCAAGATTCTGTCTACAGGTATATAAGGAACGGTTGCAGGGATTGGTGTGTCTAGTAAGTTTAATGTAGAGAAGGACAAGGGGGGACATGATAGCCATGTTCTAATATCTCAGGGGCTGCCCCAAAGAAGAGGGAGTCAAGCTATTCTCCAAAGCCCCTGAAGGCAGGACAAGAAGCAACAGATGAAAACTCATCAATGAGAGAAACAACCTAGAACTAAGGAGAAACTTCCTGACAGTGAGAACAATTAACCAGTGGAACAACCTGCCTCCAGAAGCGGTAAATGCTCCAACAATGGAAGTTTTTAAGAAGAGACTGGACAGCTATTTGTCCGAAATGGTATACGGTTTCCTGCCTGAGCAGGGGGTTGGACTCGATGACTCCAAGGTCACTTCTAACTTTATTATTATTATTATTATTATTATTATTATTATTATTATTATTATTATTATTATTACAAGCTTTAGTAAGAAAGAACATCAATTAAAAACTTCTGGTTATTTTCATTCCGGGAAAGTTGAGGTGAGACAAGCTTCAACACGTAACAGGATAACTTACCGGATTGGTGCAGTTGGGTCTTTGAGGGCATACCAGTCTTCTGGTATGGACTCGTAGAGACACCAAAGAGCCCAGTCAAACCCATCGGCAGCCTCTGCGTATTGAGTAAGTTGGAAATCATCAAAACGGATGTTGTCAAACACCGGCGATATGATAACGGTGTGGTCCTCCTTGATGCGCGAGAGAATTGGTTCAGCCCTTCATTAATGCAGAAAAGAGTTCATGGAACTATGTAGGACTTTCAAAATCTACCAAGCCAAGCTAAGCTATCAGGACAATGAATGGAAATGGACCTGTTGAGTTCCTCTCTTGGAGACGGGTGACGTTCGAGGCTTACCATTCCGTGTTGACTTCAATATGCGCATCCAGGATAGCCACCACATCCGCACGAGATGCTTTCCAGCCAGAAATCCGAGCTTCCGTGAGCCCCATCCTTTCTTGATGTCTCACAATTTTCAGCAGTCCTGGATGTTGGGCATTGAATTTTTTGACATGCTCCTCCAAAGGGCCTTTAAGTTCCTCTGTGGTGAAAAAAAAAACGTAACAGATGTTAACAGCATTAATTTGAGATGTTTATGCCAGAACACAGGTGAAAATTCGAATTTGGTTACCCAGGTAAAATTTTCATTCTCTCTTTGCTATTTAATAATGTTGAGAGATACTTGGTTATTGTGTGTGTGTGTGTGTGTGTGTGTGTGTGTGTGTGTGCGTGTGTGTGTGTGTGAGAGAGAGAGAGAGAGAGAGAGAGAGAGAGAGAAGAGAGAGAGAGAAAAATCAGGTTTATATATTTTTCTCCTTTAGTTAAAGTTTTTAGTACCCTTAGTGTCCACTTTTTAAAATTACTTCTCTTTAATCTCTTTTTTTCTATTTAATAATTTAACAATTGTCGATAAGAAAGACAAAAAAGTCTGGATAGTGGACGTGGCAGTGCCTGGAGACAGCAGAATAGACGAGAAAGAACTGGAGAAGATAACAAAATACAAAAACCTACAAATAGAAATAGGAAGACTGTGGCAAAAGCAAGCAAGGGTGGTACCAATAGTAATAGGTGCCTTGGGTGCAATCCCAAAACAACTGGAGCACCACTTGAACACCATTGGCATTGACAAATTCGCTATTAGTCAATTGCAAAAGGTGGCCTTACTAGGAACTGCTTCCATCCTGCGACGATATCTGTAATACCATCAAACATCCACACCTGCCTATCCCAGGTCCTTGGGGAGGACTCGATAGGTAGACAAAATGACAAATCCAGTCTGAACATCTGGCTGACTGTGCGATGATCCATAATAATAATAATAATAACAATGTAAACGTCTTTCCGTGTGAACTTAATGTATCTGTCCACAGAGTTGATGTGTTCGGTGAAGGAGGAAAAGAAGGCTCAAAGAAGCCATCTACATTAAAATTAACAGCCTTCTCTCAACTGGGGGTCTGGAGGGGGATATGACACCACCTAGCTCCAGTCGACAACACGGTCCTTTCAGCAGTTCCAAGAAGGCCCCACAATCATTCGCGCTACTCAGGTGATCCCGAGAGCACAGGTAAGCCTCCAAGTGGCCTCCACGACTCTCAGAAAGAGCACCAATGACCAGATGACTGCAAGGAATATAAATCCTTCCATCCTCCACCATCCAGTCAGAACTGATGAAGCTTCTTAGATGAGAAGTGAAACGTCTTCAAGGAAAAAAAACGAGAAAGTCCTGTTGCCTCTTGAAAAAGCATCTTTGGAAATCCTCTCCTCTCTTTATCCAGAGAGATTTGAAGAGCTGGTCTACTCGCTGACTGGTTGTTCTTTGTCACTGTTGTTGGCTCTGCTTTTTGCAGAGCTGTCTTCAGTTTGCCATTTTTTCTTCCTTCCTACCGTAGCTAGTAGGGCGTGCTATTGTGTAAAAAAGGGGAGCAAATGCCACACTCGCTCACACTGATGTTATTACTCAGTTGGATAACGAAACATCTGCAAGGAAATAAGTAACCTCAGAGACCACCATGATTCCACATTCACAACAAAAAAAAGAACGTAATACCTCTTTTTGCCCATGCTCACAGTGAGACTCTGTGTATTAGAGTGCTTTGTTTTGAGTTTAACCCGTGTGAAATGATTTCTTCAGACTCAAAACATTTCAAATTGGGATGATTTTACAGAATCTGGTTCTCCAAACCTACGTATGCAGCAACTGAGAATAGCTGCCCAGCAGCTGGAAAAAATAATGTCCTGAAAACATAATTTAAGGCGTGTGCAGAGAGATCTTGTCGTAATACAGCGTCCCATGTATTCTGTACAACCACTACAGCAGTATTCAACCAGTAGATGGCAGCGTTTATAAGTTGGTAGTTGCATCTATGGTGCAACTCTATGCCTTTTTTCTGAATAACGTTTCCTGCTTCCTTGTTGCAGTAAGCAGAAAAGCACATGGGGACAGTGCACAGTCTGTTCTGCAGGATTATATACAGAATTTCTAACACATCACAGTGGAAAGAGGGTGTGTTGGTTTGTTGCAATTCCTTAACAGTACGGTAGTACATTTTATTCAGTAAACAATCTGGAACATCTATGTTTCTATATACAGGAAGTCCTTGACTTACAACCACAATGGAGCCCCAAATTTATGTTGCTAAGTGAGACATTTGTTAAGTGTGTTTTCCCTTTTATGGCCTTTCTTGCCGCAGTTATTAAGTGAATCACTGTTACACGATTAAATATGAGTCAATCGCTAAAAGTGTCCGAATTTTGATCACGTAGCCATGGCGGATGGTGAAATGGCTGTAAGTGTGAAAAAACATGCTAAATCACTTCTCTCAATGCCTTTGTAACTTCAAACAGTCACTAAATGAACTGTTGTAAGTCAAGGATGATCTGCAGTCCAGTTTTCCGTAGAAGTCCCCGATTTCATGAAAAAGTAGTTTGCCCATGGAAAAGTTTCAGACCGTGCCACTTACCGTTTGAACTGCAATCATCAATAAGGATGATTTCCTTCAGGAGGTGAGACGGTGTTCGGTTAATTATGCTGGTGATTGCACGCAAGAGGATGGAGGTGGCCTCATTAAAGAATATAAGAATTACACTAAGAGTTGGGAGATCAGACGAATATTTCTTCTTGCGACATCTGGAGGAAACCCAGAAAAACGGATATTCGTTAGATTATTGTGGCGCAATGTGAGCGAAGAATTTCCAGGGGCAGAATAACAGAGCTGGAAGTCACCATCAACAAAATTCAGACGCTTGGCAACTGGTGTGTACGAATGATGGCTGCCGTGTCCTGGGGTGTGTGTGTGTGTATGTGTGTCATGTGATTCCCTTTTGGGACCTTTTGCCAAGCAAAGCCATATGGGGAAGCCAGATTGACTTAACAACTGTGCTACTAACTTAACACCTGCAGTGATTCACTTAACAACTGTGGCAAGAAAGGTCGTAAAATGGGGCAAAGCTCACTTAAGTGTCTCGATTATCCATCGAGAAATTCCGGGCTCCGTTGTGATAAAGTTGAGGACTAGCTGCATGAACTTCTGCTTTTAAGAATACCCAGTGCACAGAAATCAAGCGAGAAGGAAGCTGCTCAAATGTCATTAAGGAGATTGATGTTCTTGCAGACACAAGAAGACACACACCGATCCTGTCCCTTTTTAGAATATGTCCCAGTTTTGTTAGACAAATTAGTTCACAACTTAGGACCCCAACAGAGCTCAAAATTTCTCCTTCTGCTAAGTGAATTTTGCCTCTTTTGACAATCTCAAATCCTGAAAGCGAATCCCCGCAGTTGTGAAGCTGGTCACACAATTATTAAGTGAATCTGGCTTCCCCCGTTTTCTTGGCTTGTTGGAAAGTCAGAAGCACAGGACAGAACAACAGAGCTGGAAGGGACCTTGGAGGTCTTCTAGACTGACCCCTTTCTCCGGCAGGAGGCCCTATGTCACGTGAGACCGGGACACCGCGGCCGTCATAAATAGGAGTCAGTTGCCAAGCGTCTGGATTTGGGATCGCAGGACCAAGGGTCGTAAGTGTGAAAAACGGTCCCAAGCCCCCCCTTTTTTTTCAGTGACGGCGTCACTTTGAATGGCCACTAAATGAAACCGTTGTAAGTCGAGGACTTCCTGCGTTCAGCATGCTTCCAACTTTCTAATCTGCCCTCTGTGCCAGCCTGTTGGGTTCTACATCGCCACGGCCACCATCACTCCCCACGTCGCCAGCCTTGCCCGCCCTTTGGTAAGCCAAAGACGGAGAAAAGCAACGGATGGAAACTAGAACTAAGGAGAAACTTCCCGACAGTGAGAACAATTAACCAGCGGAACAACCTGCCTCCAGAAGCGGTGAATGCTCCAACACTGGAAGTTTTTAAGAAGAGATTGGGCAACCATTTGTCCGAAATGGTCTAGTTCAGTGGTTCTCAACCTGTGGGTCGGGACCCCATTTGGGGTCGAACGACCATTTCATGGGGGTCGCCAAACAACACAGTCCGCCATTTTTTCCCCCCTTTTCCTTAGCTGTGCTACTCCCTTTTATTCCATTGGCTTTTGAAAGCCAGTAGAATAGACTCTCTTGAATAGAGTCTAATTCTATTGGCTTTCCAAAGCCAATAGGAATTGTCCAGGCTGTCTCTGCCCTGCTGAGCCCACCAAAAGTCTCATTCTGCAAACGGTGCTGCACCAGTTGAGTAGTCCTCGACTTACGACCGGTTGAGTAGTCCTCGACTTACGACCGGTTGGGGGTTGCGGCATTAAAAAGGTTGAGAACCACTGGACTAGATGACTTCCAAGGTCCCTTCCAACTATTATTATTATTATTGATCATCGCATATTCAGCCAGATGTTCAGACTGGATTTGGCATTTTGTCTACCTATCGAGTCCTTACCCAGGACCTGGGATAGGCAGATGTGGATGTTTGATGGTATTACAGATATCGTTGCAGGATGGAAGCAGTTCCTAATAAGGCCGCCTTTTGCAACTGACTAATAGCGAATTTGTCAATGCCAATTGTGTTCAAGTGGTGCTCCAGTTGTTTTGGGATTGCACCCAAGGAGCCTATGACTATTGGTACTACCCTTGCTTGCTTTTGCCACAGTCTTTCTATTTCTATTTGTAGGTCTTTGTATTTTGTTATCTTCTCCAGTTCTTTCTCTTCTATTCTGCTATCTCCAGGCACTGCCACGTCCACTATCCAGACTTTTTTGTCTTTCTTATCGACAATTGTTAAGTCTGGGGTGTTATGTTGCAGGTGCTTGTCTGTTTGAATTCTGAAGTCCCAGAGCAGTTTAATTTTATCATTTTCTATGACTTTCTCTATTTTATGATCCCACCAGTTTTTGCTTACAGGCAAATGATATTTTTTGCAGATCTTCCAATGCACCATTGTTGCTACTTTGTCATGCCGCTGCTTGTAATCAGTTTGTGCAATCTTCTTGCAACAGCTTACCAAGTGGTCCACTGTTTCTTCAGCTTCTTTGCATAGGCGGCACTTACTGTCTGTTGCTGTCTTCTCAATTTTGACTTTGTATGCATTTGTCCTTAAGGCTTGGTCTTGTGCAGCCAGAATTAGTCCCTCGGTCTCTTTCTTCAATTTTCCTGCTCTTAGCCATTGCCAGGTTTTATTATTATCTGCTTTCCCAGCTATTTTTTTAATGTATTGGCCATGTAGTGCTTTGTCTTCCCATGCCTCTATTCTGTTCTTCATTTGGTCTTTCTTGTAGGCCAGTTTGGTCTCTCCAGTAGTTAGTAAGCCTTCCTGATATACTAATTTCAGTGCATCTTCATCATTGTTCTTCAGATATTCTTCCAAAGCCATTTTTTCTTCTTCAACCATCTGATGTACTTGTAGCATTCCACGCCCACCTATTTGCCTTGGTAGATAAAGTCTATCAATGTCACTGCGTGGATGAAGGGCATGATTCATTGTCATTATTTTTCTGGTCTGCCTATCCATTGCTTTTAGTTCTGCTTGAGTCCAGTCCACTATTCCAGCTGTGTACCTAATGACTGGGATTGCCCAGGTGTTGATTGCCTTTATGGTATTTCCTCCATTGAGTTTGGATTTTAAGATCTTCTTCACTCTCTTGATGTATTCACCTCTAATCTTTTTCTTGACTTCAGTGTGCTTGATGTTGTCAGCTTGAAGGATACCCAAGTATTTGTAGTACTCTTCCTCATCCAGACTCTTAATGTTATTTTTGTGGGGCATCTTGATTCCTTCAGTTTTCATTATTTTTCCTTGTTTGATAGTAACTGTGGCACATTTGTCCAAGCCAAATTCCATTACAATATCTTGGCTATATATACGGACAGTTATTATTATTATTATTATTATTATTATTATTATTATTATTATTATTATTATTATTATTATTATCGATCATCGCACAGTCAGCCAGATGTTCAGACTGGATTTGGCATTTTGTCTACCTATCGAGTCCTTACCCAGGACCTGGGATAGGCAGATGTGGATGTTTGATGGTATTACAGATATCGTCGCAGGATGGAAGCAGTTCCTAATAAGGCCGCCTTTTGCAATTGACTAATAGCGAATTTGTCAATGCCAATGGTGTTCAAGTGGTGCTCCAGTTGTTTTGGGATTGCACCCAAGGAGCCTATGACTATTGGTACTACCCTTGCTTGCTTTTGCCATAGTCTTTCTATTTCTATTTGTAGGTCTTTGTATTTTGTTATCTTCTCCAGTTCTTTCTCTTCTATTCTGCTATCTCCAGGCACTGCCACATCCACTATTATTATTATTATTATTATTATTATTATTATTATTATTATTATTATTATTATTATTATTATTAAACACAACTTCACCTGGGGTGTCTGGTCTCTTTCAAAGGCCTTTCCAGAGGCAAGCGATCGCTCAGGTAAACGTTGTACCCGTACTTATCAAAGAGCTGCTGGGCCACAATTTGCTGGTCCTCCATTAAATCTTTGCCCCATCTCTGGAACAGAGGGGAATCTGGGAAGCGCACCCTGGGAGGCGCTTCAGGCTCCCTCCGGTTTTCCTTGCCCTGTTCGTCTTCCTGTATTTCCCGGTGTGGCTTCTCGGGCAGTTTCAGTTCATCCGCTGCCTTCTTTTTTTCATCTGATTGTTTTATATACTTTGCTGAAAAACACAAAAAGGGAAAGAGGCTGAGGGATAAAAGCACCCAAACGTCAGAAAGAATCACTTAGAATATAGATAGAACATAAGGCTGGAAGGGATCCCTGAGGTAACAATAACAACAACAACAATAATAGAGTTGGAAGGGACCTTGGAGGTCTTCTAGTCCAACCCCCTGCTCAGATAGGAAACCTATACCATTTCAGATAAATGGCTGTCCAGTCTCTTCTTAAAAGCCTCCAGTGTTGGAGCACCCACACCATGGTCAAAGAGGACCTCTGTAGTGCAGTCAACCATGATGGAGTCAGAAATCATGATTAGAAGGAGGCAGAAATACTACAAAGGGATCGGGACGATGAACGACAAGTTAATTTTGATCCAGATGAGTACTTTCAACCCTGAATGCTTAACAATGGGTTTTCTAGCTATTAATAATTGTGGAGGCAAATTCCATAAATGCTTCTTGCTTTCCCAGCCTTGTGTGTGGTTGAATTAGGTTCTGCTGTGATTCACAAAGGGGGTAAAAAAAAATTGCTCGGAGGTGGAAGAAAGATCTTCATCTTGGAAGGTTGAAAGGTTGACCCGCAAACTCTGGGCGAAAGGTCATCAAGCAAAAATGTCACCCAAGAAGCAGAAATGACACGTAAGAAATACTGTCCATCGGGGTTTCCTCTACCTCAGTGGTTCTCAACCTTTTTAATGCCACGACCCCCAACCGGTCGTAAGTCGAGGACTACTCAACCGGTCGTAAGTCGAGGATTACTCAACTGGTGCAGCACCGTTTGCAGAATGGTGGGCTCAGCAGGGCAGAGACAGCCTGGACAATTCCTATTGGCTTTTGAAAGCCAATAGAAAGAGACTCTATTCAAGAGAGTCTATTCTATTGGCTTTCAAAAGCCAATAGAATAAAACGGAGTAGCACAGCTAAGGAAAAGGGGAAAAAAATGGTGGACTGCATTGTTTGGCGACCCCCGTGAAATGGTCGTTTGACCCCAAATGGGGTCCTGACCCACAAGTTGAGAACCACTGCTCTACCTCCACAACTTTAAGGTGAGCGGACTTCAACTCCCAGAATTCCCCCGCCAGCCTTGCTGGTGGTGGAATTCTGGGAGTTGAAGTCCGCTCACCTTAAAGTTGCTGAGGTAAACACTGGTGTACATTATTTTAATGTCATTTCGTGCACCAAATACCTGGGTGTTTATGGAAACACCCAGAGACAGTAAACTTGGCTTGCTAACTTATCTGGACTCTTGGAACCTAAAAGTTAAACAAATTAGAAATGATCATGAATGATTTACCATTTACCAATTGTTCACAATTCATTTAGTAACCGTTAACAACTACACACAATACTTTATGTAGGCGGCTATGGAACCAGTGACAGAGGCAAAAAAATGAAAACTGGTTGCTGATCGAATTAAAAACATCCCAAACATCTCAGAACGGTTTATAACCGTTGTTTAAATATCGCCTGGAACTCTGCAGGAGGAATAAGACTTGTTTGCATAGTTGAGGAGTAATTTAAAAATGTAAAACGCGAGAACAACTTTTTTTAAAATGTGAGGCAAAGCATTCCCAATGGCTCTTCAAAGCTGTAAGGTAAGTTCCAATTTCGGAGTAATATTCTTGCCTCAGCACAAAAAGAGATCCTATATAAACACCCTACCTCCCTTCTCCTCTCCCCTCTTCTCCTCTCCCCTCCTCTTTCCTTCCTTCCTTCCTTCCTTCCTTCCTTCCTTCCTTCCTTCCTTCCTTCCTTCCTTCCTTCCTTCCCCTCCTCTCCACTCTCCTTCCCTTTCCCTCTCCTCTCTTCTCCCCTCATCTCTCCTCTCCTCTTTTTCCATCCCTTTCTCTCATCTCCCCTCTTCCCTCCTCCCCTCATCTCCTCTCCTTTGTCTCCAGTCCCTCTCTCCCCTCCTCTTTCCTTCCTTCCCCTCCTCTCCCCTCCCCTCTTCCTCTCTCCCTCCCTCCCTTTCCCTCTCCCCTCTTCTCCCCTCATATCTCTTCTCCTCTTTCCCATCCCTTCCTCTCATCTCCCCTCTTCCCTCCTCTCGCCTCCTCTCCTTTCCCTTTGTCTCCGCTCCCTCTCTTCCCTCCTCTTTCCTTCCTTCCCCTTCTTTCCCCTCCCCTCTCCCTCTCTCTCCCCTCCCTTTCCCTCTCCCCTCCCCTCTCCCCTCCCTTCCTCTCATCTCCCCTCTTCCCTCCCCTCATCTCTCTTTTCCCCTTGTCTCCGTTTTTTCTTCTCTCTCCCCTCCTTTCTTCCCTCCCTTCTTCTCCTCTCTCCCTCCCTCCCTTTCCCTCTCCCTCTCCCCTCTCTCATTTTACATTCATCTCTCTCTCCTCCCTCTCTCACCGCTCCTCTTTCCCCTCCCTTCCTCTCCCCTCTCCTCTCCCTCTCTCTCTCCCTCCCTTTCCCTCTCCCTCTCCCCTCTTCTCCACTCATCTCTCTCTCCTCCCTCTCTCGCCTCTCCTCTTTCCCTTCCCTTCCGCTCCACTCCCCTCTCCCTCTCCCTTCTTCCTTCATCTCTCTCTCCTCCCTCTCTCACCCCTCCTCTTTCCTTCCTTCCCCTCCTTTCCCCTCCCCTCTCCCTCTCTCTCCCCTCCCTTTCCCTCTCCCCTCCCCTCTCCCCTCCCTTCCTCTCATCTCCCCTCTTCCCTCCCCTCATCTCTCTTTTCCCCTTGTCTCCGTTTTCTCTTCTCTCTCCCCTTTCTTCCCTCCCTTCTTCTCCTCTCTCCCTCTCCCTCCCTTTCCCTCTCCCTCTCCCCTCTCTCATTTTACATTCATCTCTCTCTCCTCCTTCTCTCACCACTCCTCTTTCCCCTCCCTTCCTCTCCCCTCCCCTCTCCGCTCCCTCTCTCTCCCTCCCTTTCCCTCTCCCTCTCCCCTCTTCTCCACTCATCTCTCTCTCCTCCCTCTCTTGCCTCTCCTCTTTCCCTTCCGCTCCACTCCCCTCTCCCTCTCTCCCTCTCCCTTCTCCCTTCATCTCTCTCTCCTCCCTCTCTCACCTCTCCTCTTTCCCCTCCCTTCCCCTCCACTCCCCTCTCCCTCCCTTTCCCTCTCCCTCTCCCCTCTTCTCCCCTCATCTCTCTCCTCTCTCTCTCCCCTCTCCTCTCTCCCCTACCTTCCCCTCATCCCCTCTCCCCTCCTTCCTCTCCTCTTCTCCTCTCTTCTACTTCTCACTCCCCTCCCCTCTTCTTCCCTCTCCTCCTTTCTCCCTCTCTCCTCTCCTCCTCTCCTCTCCCTTTTCTTACCTGCACCTCCTCCCTGTCCTTCCTTTTTCGCAGGAGAGCCCTTATAACATCTTAGCTTCCTATGTTTATAAAAACATCCTAAAATGTTCAGTAAAATCAGAAGAGGGAGTTGATCCCAGTAGTTACTGGGTGTGTGAGGGACCTACGGGTTTTGTTCTCAGTTGCTACTCTGAAGATCCTTTATTCTCTTGCCTTCCCTTGCTCTACTTCATAAGCCCCTGGAAGAAACTGTTTTACTTTGCCTCGCAAGAGTATTTCCTAAGGGACACGACTTTGCCCCCAGCATTCAAGAGAATTTAATAGCTGACACTTTATACTGTCGGTATTATTTATTGATAAGTTGTATTAGGTAGCGTTTGGCAATGGCGTGGAGCAGTATTTAGTTAGCAGTTCCAAACTGCTGGACCTCAAAACTAGATTTTGCATTCATAACTGAAATTGCAAAAATTGCAGCAATAAAATATAACACTTTGTTAAATAATTCTTTTAACCCACAATATGCCCAATAGTAATAGCGGTGGGAATGGAGAGGGAAAGGATAACTATTTAATCTAGTTCCCCCTCCCTCTCTCTCAATCTATTATCTATCTATCTATCTTTTCTCTGCCTACCTACCTATCTACTCTATCTTATCTCTCTGTCTGTCTGTCTGTTTGTCTGTCTGTGTCTGTCTGTCTATCTATCTATCTATCTATCTATCTATCTAGCTATCTTCTCTACCTACCTACCTATCTTCTCTACCTACCTACCTACCCACCTACCCACTTACCTATCTATCTATCTATCTATCTATCTATCTATCTATCTATCTATCTATCTATCTATCTATCTATCTATCTATCTATCTATCTATCTACCTACCTACCTACCTACCTACCTGTCTAATTCATTGGCAACCCATCTTACTGCAGGGCAACTTGTATATTAGTTATATAACTCATATTTAAGCAAAATTGTTTCTCTCTCACCTGCTTTCTTTCAAATTATTTTTCCTGAAAAGGCTGGAAAAGATCAAACATGCCCAAGGAAAAGGAGGAGAGTTTTAAAATTTTGAAACTCACGGTGTGCAGAACAATGAAATCCTGTATCGGAATGCGCTCTGAGAGGTTTTCTGCCCGTGGTTATAATATTTAGAATAGAACAGAGCTGGAAGGGACCTTGGAGGTCTTCTAGTCCAGCCCCCTGCTCAAGCAGGAGACCCTATACTATCTCAGACCAGTGACTGTCCATAATAAAGCCTCAGCAGAAATGGCATCTGTTCTTACTTACATAGATTGAGGAACATTGTCTCTATTTTTTCTAGGTGTCCAACAAAGTCATTCTCTCTTGCCGAATCCAAAGCTCGTTCGTCTCGATGTCCACCAGGTTCCCTTCTTAGGGTCCGCACTTCACGTTGCACGTGCATCACAAACAAAATATTCACAATGAAGAGCAGGATGAGCAACGAAGGAAGGAAACCTGGCAATTTCCGTCCTAGCACCATTGCAGAACGTATTAATTCCCTCCAAGGTTATCTTCTCCAGATGGTCGGGAAGGGAAGAGATTCCACCACCAATACCTTCTCCGTTGGAAGACAGACTTTTCTGGATATCTAGCAAACTTGTAGTGGCAATTTATAGTCCCTGGAAACTGAGGGTGGGGCTGAGCTCCTGTCCTTACATTTGTGTGGCTCGACACAAAAGTAAATGCAACAAAAAAATTTCCCAGCCCACTAAAAGAGCTGCATTTATTTGCTTTATCTGTTGCATTTCTATAACCACCCATTTCACACGCCTGGCTCTGGGAGGCTCGCACAATTAAATTGCAAAAACAAAAGAACAATTATAACCAAGCCATTAAAAGCTACAAACAGAACAAGGGCAAGTTTGATGAAGTCTCAGACACAACGGGCAACCATTTCACTGGCTACAGAGCTCCATGGGATTCCCCAGGCCTGCTCAATTTCACATGGGCATAGGCTGCAGCTGGAGGGCCCACGTTGTGTTTTATTGTCTATCCTAGGTGTTTTTTTTGCAATTCCAAAGTGAATGTTACAAACAGACTCCTCCGAATCTTAAGGCTGACTCATGTTGTTCAGTTTCCACACCAGCATTCAGCCTTGGAGAAGGCCTTCATTCATTCTTTTATTCTCAAGACAGGGTTGATGGCCAAGACTTTCCTAGATCTTGGGCCACACGAAGCTGAGACGTTTCCTCTGAAAGTCAGGTGCTGCATCTTCTCTGCTGAATATGGGATGTTTCTCCAGGATGAAAACTAGAACCATCTACTTCACGTTCTGTTCAGAATCACAAGAGTAGGAAAGGGACCTTGGAGGACTTCAAGGCAGGAAACCCTGTACAATTCTGGATAAATGGCTGTCCAGTCTCTTCTTGAAAACCTCCAGTGATGGAGAACTCACAACTTCTGGAGGCAGGTTGTTCCACTGATGAATTGTTCTCAGTGTCAGGAAATTTGTCCTTAGTTCTAGGTTGCTTCTCTCCTTGATAAGGTTCCATCTATCAATTCTAGTCCTCCCTTAAGGCGCTTTGGAGAAGAGAATGACCCCAAACAGCATTCCTCTCTCAGTATGGATTTGTGATCTGAGAAGGTAGCTTTAGTCCAGTGATGGCGAACCTTTTAGAGACCGAGTGCCCCCAAACCGCTCCCACACTCGTCCCCACTCCGCCGTGCCCACTGGGCCACCCACCACCTCGACAGCCCATCACAGATCACCCAGGCAGCCCATCAGCGCCATGGTGGCCACGCTCTCCACCCGTGCCCCGAGCATCATCTGCGCGTGATGGGGCATAAGGGTGGAGTCTTGCCCCGGCTGCCCGGCTACCATGTCCTTGGCTGCGCAGCATTGAGTGGGCCATGCCCGGGGGTGACTCTCCTCCGGGGGGCTGTTGGTGAGGAGGGGACCGTGGGAGGAGGCAGTGCTGGGGCGACAGTGCGTGTGCCCACAGAGAGGGCTTCGAGTGCCGCCTCTGGCACGCGTGCCATAGGTTCGCCACCACGGCCTTAGTCTTTTCCCACAAAGGTTTTCAGCCCCCTCTCATAAAGAGAATGTCCAGCTGGGCCTACATAGCGGTAACTATCTTTCTGGAAGATAGGAATTGTTCTTAATAAGTATTGAAAAGAATTTAGGAATGTAGGAGTGTAGTTATTTGTGTTCAAAGAGAGAAAGGATGTTTTGCTGCTGACTTAAAACAGAGATGTCCAAGCTTGGCGATTTTTAAGACCTATGGGCTTCCATTCCCAGAATTCTGGGAGGTGAAGTCCACAAGGCTTCAAATCGCCAAGGTTGGACAACCCTGACCTAAAGGAAAAAGGAGAAGAAGAGAGACTGTAAGTAGAAGACTATATAGCGTTCCAGACATACGGCTGCCCAATCTCTTCCTCGGATTTTGATTCGGGAACAAGAGTGAAAGCACTGTGATTTAAACTGACCAGAATGCCTGGCCATCTAATCAAAATGCCTAAGCGTGGTACCCAAAATCATCCTTACTTTGGGATGCAAACGAAGAGAAGAATTGCAAAGGAGAAGACCAGCCACAACCGTCTTGAAGAGAACTGCAAGGAACTGTACAGAAAATCCAACAGGAATTACAAGCAAACTGACCTCCAGAGGGGTCTGGAAGGAGATGTAGCCACCAGGTGTAACCACCAGCTTAGAGTAAGTGGGAGCGGAACAGTTCAAAGAAAAGCAGTCCAGGAAGTAGGAAGAGTAAAAAAAGAGGTAAATCATACAGGTGGAGTTAAGAACGCAAGAGGTTCAGTAACACACCCAGGTTTTTTGGGACGGGGGTGAAGGTGGTGCTTTGCGACACACCCAAGTTTTGGGGATGATTGATATGATTGATTCAAGGTTAATCCTAATTATAGGAATTAAGGTATAACAGGAAGAAGAACAAGGAAGGAGCAGGAAGAGAAATCAAAGTATAACAGGAAGAGGAGCACGCTTCTAGGAATAACAATAAAAATGTAAGAAATTCGTATTTACGTTGCCACCAAGTTTATTTTGTGTGTGTGTGTGTGTATCGTAAAACACTGTTTCTCTAAGCCAAATGTGTTTCACCTGATTGTCACCACCTTTAAAAATAATATATGTCTTGGGCAATTCATCATGATGTGAAAATCAATATTATTTTTTCAGGGTGAGGTCCAATCTGGAACTGCCAGAAGCTGATAATTCTGGTAATATTCAGGAGACTACGATGTACGGCGACAGAAAATACGTCAGAAAACAGTTAAAAGTCCCAAAGTCTGCGACAGGCAGTCCTCAACATACGGCCACAGTTGAGCCCAAAACTTATGTTGCTAAGTGAGGCGTTTGCTAAGTGAGTTTTGCCCTATTATAGGACCTTTCCTGTCACAGTTGCTAAGCAAATTGCTGCAGTTGTTAAATCAGTAACACCGTTGTTAAGTGGATCTGCCTTTCCCGTTGCCTTTGCTTGTTAGAAGGTTGCCAAAGGGGATCACATGACACACACACACACACACACACACACCGGGACACTGCGACGGTCATAAATGTGAGTCAATTGCCAAGCATCTGGATGTAAATCACAGGACCATGGGGATGTTGCAATGGTCATATGTGTGAAAAACAGTCATAAGTCCCTTTTCAAGCTGATCTATGCTGGCTCAGGAATTCTGGGAGTTAAAGTCCATGAGTCACAAAGCGGCCTAGGCCTAGTCCAGAGGTAGGCAACCCTGGCTCTTTTATGACTCGTGGACTTCAACTCCCAGAATTCCTCAGCCAGCCACAGTGAGGGGAAAGGGAAGGTTTCCAAGCTGAGCCATGCTGGCTCAGGAATTCTGGGAGTTGAAGTCCACGAGTCAGAAAGTGGCCTAGGCCAGAGGTAGGCAACCTTGGCTCTTTTATGACTCGTGGACTTCAACTCCCAGAATTCCTGAGCCAGCCATGCTGAGGGGAAAGGGAGAGGTTTCCAAGCTGGCTGAGGAATTCTGGGAGTTGAAGTCCACAAGTCTTAAAGTTGCCAAGGTTGAGGACCCCTGATATAGGGCAGGGGTGGGGGACCTTGGCTCTTTTATGACTCGTGAACTTCAGCTCCCAGAATTCCTGAGCCAGCCAGGCTGAGGGGAAAGGCAGAGGTTTCCAAGCTGAGCCAGGCTGGCTCAGGAATTCTGGGAGTTGAAGTCCACGAGTCCTAAAAGAGCCAAGGTTGCCTACCCCTGGTCTAGCTAATAATATGAAAGGTTATGTTCACTATTCGTCTGTTGAATTTGTACAAGAAGGCTAAACATCCAGATAGGATCGTGCATCAGAGAGATGGCATGACACGTTATCAGTGTACATCGTTCGGATTGGTCGGAGAGAGTTGTAACATAAGGTATATTTCATATACCTGTATGTTATATCGGGTAGGAATTGCTATCAAAGTTACCTGGGGAATATCAAGTGGATTTGTGTAATGTGAAAAGAAGGACTAGGGGAGATGTGATACCAGTCTTCCAGTATTTGAGAGGCTGCCCCAAAGAAGAGGGGGGTCAAACTATTCTCCAAAGCCCCTGAAGGCAGGACAAGAAGCAACGGATGGAATCTAATCAAGGACTGGTCTGTGGACCGGTACCGGGCCGCAACATGCCAGCAACCGGTCCGCACAAACAAGCAAAGTCCCATCCGCGGGATGCAGGCAGCACACAAAACCACGCACCCTCCGGTCCGCGGAAAAACCTCTCTCCACGGAACCGGTCCCTGGTGCCCAAAAGGTTGGGATGGCGCCGGTCTAGGGTGCTTCTTAAGGTGACTTGGCTCCTACTGGGGCAGGATGGTGCCCAGCATGTAGCAGGAAATGGTGATGGATTAGCCTGGCATTTTTGCAGATGAAAGCAATCCCATTTTCTCAGAACTTCGAGCCAACTGGGAGGAGTCCGAGGGAATAGCCGAGGTGCCATCTGACTGGTGAGATGATCTGGGACATGTTTGAGCACTTAAATCTCCAGGAAGCGGAACGTGTCCTTTGTGAATCATCTCTGCCACATCTGAGTTAGATAGAGCCCCACCTGGCCAGCATCACTTACCAGGGAGAGGATGGATGGCTAGATCCAGGTAATAATAAAGCCTCTTGTGAGAGGTCAATGCAAGTGGACACTGAACATGTGTCCAGCCCCATGGGCTTGACATTGACGGGTGAAAAACAAGAGGATGAAGGAGAAAATTTTGTAACTAGTACATGAAGAAGCTTGAACATGTGTTGGCTTGTACAGGAACAGAAAATGGAATGTTGTTTATTAACATGGGAGCTACAGAGCATGGAAGTTCTTCTGCCTGTCTATCTACAGATCAGCTTGGAACAGGTTTAGATGAATATTCTTCAAATGCAAATAAAAAAATATCTATTGATATTATGGCATGCTTATCGAAAGAAATGAAGGTTGATGATCTTCACAATAATATAAAGGGGACAGTTGCAAATAGCACCACTAGCGCTGGTCTTGTTGTTGTTAATTGCGAAGTCATGTCTGACCCATTGCGACCCCATGGACAATGTTCCTCCAGGCCTTCCTGTCCTCTACCATCTTCTGGAGTCCATTTAAGTTTATGCCTACTGCTTCAGTGATTCCATCCAGCCACCTCATTCTCTCTCGTCCCCTTCTTCTCTTGCCCTCCATCTTTCGGCGCTGGTCTAAGTAATGAACATATGATGGCATTTGTCTCCGCAAAAGAGGATGATTCTCTGTTTACTGAGACACTTAGGAGTAACAATGAACTCTTAAGTAAACACTGTATAAATCAGCCATTGGGTAGTGAAGAGAAGAGCGAGAACACCGAATCTTCCTTGGATAACAGGAAATGTGGAGTTCTGAGGAAGATGGTCTCCAAGAAAATAAATATAGTTTCAGCGGTGCTACATCTCTTATCAACAGACGGACTGGGTTGACCTATTACCGTTCGCAGAAGTAGCATATAACAACGTGGTTCACAGGAGCACCGGCTTCGCCCCCTTCCGCGTGGTGCATGGCCAAGGTTACCTAACCCTCCCCTAAGATATTGGAACATTGCTCATAGAGGTAGTAACAGAGTAGTTCTCTACTTATAACCACAACTGAGCCCCAAATGTCCATATGTTAAATGAATTTTACCTCAGTTTACTACCATTCGTACCACAGTTCTTAAGTGGACCACTGCAGTTGTAAAGTTGTTAAGGGAAGCTGACTTCCCCGTTGACCTTGCTTGTCAGAAAGCCTTGAAGCCTGATCATGTGATCCCGGGACACTGTGACCGTCATAAGCGTGAGTCAGTTGCCAAGTGTATGGATTTTAATCACATGTCCGTGGGGAATGCCGCAACGGTCGTTAATTGTACAAAACAGTGGTCACTTTTTTCTGCGCTGTTGTAACTCTGAGCGGTCCCTAACAAATGAGTGGTGAAGTTGAGCACAACCTGTCTATTGAATGCAGTGGTTATCAAATACT